TTCATCCTCAATGCCCTTGCTGATGGAAGGAGGTTTTTACTCTGTCTGACAGGACATGGCCCCATTCTTTGTTTCCTTTACATGGATCAGCCGCCCTGGTCCCTTTGCAGAAAAACAGCCCCGAAGCAGGATTTGGCTCTGGCATTTGTACGAATCGTCGGCCCTCCCCATTGGGAGAGTGGTGGGGGTGGGGGGTGTTATCGCCCGGGGACTCGTCTCTAGGCTGAATTTGAGATCTAATATGGACTGGTATTGTTAAATTACAAGCAGGGCCAGACCGCTGCGGCCGGGAGCCCTGGCCTTCCAGATCAGCTCATTCTCCACGGGCGGAGATCAGCGGGACATTAGCTACATGCTAACGCGGTAAAACAACTCCTACGTCATCGCTCTACCACATTTTTCTTGCTAAAAATGCCTGGAAAAACTCTGTTAGCTCCGGGTTACCATGTAGCTAATGTTCTGCAGATCACCAACTGTGGAGTAGTGTCGGCCAAAGCTCGGCAAGCAGCCCACTTGGCTAAGCGGCCCACCGGTACACTGCCGAAATGCCAGATAGGCCAGTCCACCCCTGGCTGAGGCTAAAAACTTACTACCACCTATCCCGGACTTTGCGGCTGAGCTTGCGTCATCCTGGAGGAAGCCACTGTCCACCCGCGATGCAGTATCGGGCTATGGGTAGTTCGTGGATGAGCCATCATCTTGCCTCCCTGCCTCAGACGGTGGTGTCGCCGGCGGCAGTGGTGAGCCCCGTGGCTGGTCGATGACCCCAGCCCTTACCTCCCAGGAAGTCTGTCTGAAGTAAATGCCCTCCTGCGGGCCCACAGAAATGCTCTACGAACCATAAATAGAAGACCCAGTCATCCTGATCTCAGGACCGAGTTTGTTCAGGACTTGGACTCTTTCGGACTTCCAAGTCTCAGCTGTCATCGGGTGAATTGGCCATGTTCAGCTGCCATTCAAAGCCCCCGTCCCAAAAGACTTTGTTTACTGCCTCAGATGGGTAAGTTGCACTTGTTCAACAGTTTAGCACATTGTTTCAATAAGACTGCAGTTTGCATTTCAAATTGGTCACATAAGGCTGTCAGCCCGCTTTGCTGCCAACTAATGGCTTAATTTTCAACACAACTCCTGTCTGCAGACAATTTCTAACAAGGCAGGGGAGGCCGTTTTCTCTCATTTGGCTGGAAAACAGCGGCTCTCCACTGTTTGCAGACACGGAGATCAGAATGTGTGTCGTCAAACACGGTGCAAAGCCCTCCTGCTCAGCTAGAGGCCAACCGCTCCATCATGACTTTGTTGAGCAGCCAGCTTATTGCGAACCTTTCTCTGGCACGCATTGCGCTGTGTCCCCTTGGGTTGAGTGCATGGTGGCAGTGAGTAACTGCCGGTTACAATTCCGAGTCGGACAACCCAGGTTTACTGCTGTTGCGTGCACTGCTGTGAATGTAGGTGCAGTGGTCACGCTGAGAGGAAATTCAGGCTGTTAACAAAAGGAGCTGTTCGAGCAGTCACCCTAAAGGAAACAAACAAGGATTTGTACAACCATTACTTTGTTGTCCCCAAAAGGAGGAGGACGTTGCCCCATTCTGGATCTGTGTATACTAAACAAGTATTCGTACAGGTACAGTTTTTCTAAATGCTAACGCTCAAGCAGTTTCCAAATGCCTTCAGCCCTGGAGATTGGTTTGTTGCGATCAATCTCATAGATGCATATTTTAATTTGGGGATTCATCCCAATCACAGGTAGTTCCTGTGCTTCGTGTTTGAAGGAAAAGCTGAGGAGTAATTGGTTCTCCCACTCAGATTTGCCCTAGCTCCCTGCACATGTTCCTAGCCCCTGCCTATATTCCCTGTGGCAGGAGAACCAAGCCTTTGAACAGAGTTATTAAGATCTGGCCGGAGCGAGCTCTTGATCAGTTAGAGGATAGGCCTACCCAGTCTCTCAGCCTCTCCAGTAGCAGGTGATGGTCAACAGTGTCAAAGGCTGCAGTCAGGTCCAGCAGGAACAGAACAGTCCCCTGCATCACTGTGAGTCAGAAGGTCATTAGAGACCCTAAGAAGAGCTGTTTCAGTAGAATGAGCTCTACGAAAACCTGACTGGAAGCTATCATAGATGTTATGCTCATCAAGAGCAGCTGTGAGTTGTTTAGCCACAACCTTTTCCAAGATCTTGGAGATGAACGGAAGTTTAGAGATGGGTCTGAAGCTGCTATGGAGAGAGGGGTCGAGACTCGGTTTTTTAAGAAGCGGGTGGATTACAGCGTTCTTAAAGTAAGCAGGGACCTGACCAGAGACCAGAGAAGCATTAATTATAGAGAGCACGCTGGGACCGATGGACTGAAAAGCACTTTTAAACAAAGATGAGGGTAAGATGTGGAGGGGGCATGCAGAGGTCTTCATAGAGTTAACTAGTTTGGTTAACTCAGGCAAAGAAACAGGAGCAAAGCTATCTAGGATGATGGGCCTGGTTGGAGTCGGGAGAGGCAGCGATAAGGCTGAAGGAGAGATGCTAGATCTAACCTTATTGACTTTGTCCACAAAGAAAGACAGAAAGTTCTCACAGTCTGCAAAAGAGTGGATGGAGGCTGTAGGAGAGGCAGGAGAGACGATGCTGCTGATGGTGTTAAACAGCACCTTGGGGTTCCCTTTGCTCTGGGACACCAGGTTGGAGAAATAGGAAACCCTGGCGTCTCTGACTGCAGAGTTAAAGGATGTCAGAAGATCCTTTAGGTGCAGCAGATGGACGTGGAGATGGGGTTTCTTCCACAAACGCTCAATTTTTCTGCATTGGCGCTTCAGGCTGCCAGTAAACCAGGGAGTAGGGTTCACTGCAGGAACTGATCTGGTTCTGATAGGACAGACGTTGTCCAGAATGGAGAGGCAGTGCTCGTTGAACTGAGAAGTTAAGGAATCTGGGTCGTTATCAGAAGAACAGGGTGGATCAAAAGCAGCAGAAAAATTGCTAGCTGTGCTCTCATTAAGAAAACGAGAACTAACCATACGGCGAGCAGGAGGCGGGGACGCAGAAACTGACAAGTTAAAGAAAATGCAATGGTGATCTGAAATATCAACGTCCTCAGGACAAACACTGTCAGCATTTAGACTCAGGGTAAAAACTGTCACGCTGACGGGCAGGAGGCTCGAACCCAAGATGCAGAACACCAGATCACTCGGACAGGAGCGGAGGTAAAGAAGTAAATTCTTTATTTTTAAGGTGGAGGCTTAATCCAGCAGTTAAAACACAAAAACTGGACTCAGGCAAAAACACGGGGAGGGAACAGAACAGAACAGCACATACACATACAATGGACCAACAAACACTGAAGGACAAGACAAGGCTTATAAACAGGAGGGAGGTAATCAGGGAAACAGGTGACAGTTGTGAGGAGTGAGGGCTGGAGGGAAAGCAGGTGCATACAATTATCTAAATGGGGAACAAAACCAGAGGAGGGCAGATAAACCTAAAACTATAAAACACGGATAACTAAACTTAGGGACTGAGGGCCAATATAAACAACCAATAACTAGAGGGGTGAGGGCTGAGGAGAATAATGGCACACAAGAGGAAAACCTGGAGTGGGAACTGGAGGGGCTGGGGAACAAAGGGACACAGAACATGACAAAAACAAGGTCTAGAGTGTGCCCCCTGGTGCGTGTGGGGCCAGAAACATGCTGGGTGAAGCTGAAGGAGTCCATAAGGCTGGAGAAATTTATGGCAAAGTGATCAGAGAGATCATCAACGTGGATGTTAATGTCACCCACAGTCACCAGTCTGGACAGCTTCACAGTGGAGGATAGAAAGTCACTAAACTCCTGAAGGAAAGAACTGTTTGGACCAGGCGGACGATAGACCACAGCACAGTAGAACGGGTCCTTACGCCCGACTTTAATCAGCTGCAGTTCAAAGGAAGCAAAGTGACCAGAGGGTGCACCTGAGCTTCCCCCCAGAGTATGACTTAACAAAAGGCATTCATTCCTTCTATAGACCACTAAAAATATATTAAAAATATGAGTGACCATTAATATTGGCCAATACTGGCATTAAAATGTAATACCGGAAAATATTGGTATCAGTTTTCAGTCCTCTAATGATCAAACTTTTACATACAAAGTATAGTATACACAAATATACAAATATTATGCTATGCTCTTCGGCTACTTCACTGCACCCTCAAATATAAAAATACAACAGATCTGAGGTAAAGTTTTTGAGATTTCTGACACAACTTGTGAAGTAGATATTTGCCCTGTGTACTGAGCGTACGCTTCCCTCACCGTTCGTACAGTTGCATGAGAAAATATGTGAACCCTTAGGAACTGTATGGCTTTCTGCACAAATTGGTCTGACAATATGATTTGTTCTATTGACAATCACAATCTGCTTAAACTAATACCACACAAATAACTGTATGTTTCAATGTTTTTATTGATCACAGCATGTAGCTATGTGTAACTAGCCAGCTAACAACCAAACAAAAACAAGAATCTTCACCCAAGGCTTGCTTTACTTACATGAAGATCTTTATAAATGTTTCATCTCCATAACTGCAATATACAGCAAAAGAAAAAATGCATTACTAACTAATACACACATCTTAGATTCAGCTGCTGTAGGAGACTAAACAAAAATGGCACTTTTCCTATTATGTTTAAGTTTTTCTTTTTTTTAATGGGAGAGGGACACAGGGAAATTAGGGGTACACGATATCTGTACATCAGATATTAGCAACAAAAGCCAGCATTGAGCATCTCTACATGACATGTTTGAACACTGCTTGAATTCAAGTAAAAACAACAGGATGAAAAAGTGACTGTCATGGATTAAGGTACAGTTGGGCAGTGCCTTTCTTAACAGTCACTGTAGTGAATGAATGACTATCTGACAAGAACAAGACCAGAGTGGAGGTGTTTAGCAAACGGCCTAAATGCAATAATTTGTGACTTGTTAACAGGGTTTTATAACATGCTCACTGCTCATATCTCTGTTGTTGATGTAATCACTGATGCTGCCTTACACCTTGCCTATAGGTGGGTCCACTTGGAAGATGTTAGTGCACTTCAGTCAGTCTCTTTCTATGACCTTCTCTGTGTGATGAACCTTTAAGTGACTATTCTAAACTCTGAACATAGTCTTCACTTTCAAAGTACTTTTGATTGGCCTCCAGCATACATTGCTTCCTGGAATATCTTTTGAAAATGCATTTTTCTCCACATATCTTGATCGTTTCTACTTTACTCATCTGTCTATATTCTGCTGAAGGTAAGATTTTACTTGTTCAAGGATGTCCCGTCTTTCATGTATTTTTCTGACATTTTCAACAAGGGACACTGAGAGCATGACATGAATGCTACGGCCTGTGCCTAAATTAACCTTTTGAACAAATGGAGGCTTTGGCAGGTTAGTTCATTTATTCACATTAACCTTCACAGAATACTGCTATTGAACCAAAATTAACTACTTTTATAATGTGTTTACTCATCACCTATTCATTATTTAATTATGAAAAGTGAATCTAATTTGCTCAACCCTTAACAACCCTCGAATTGCCTAAAATGCCTGAATGGAGCCTAATCTATAACGCTTGCTTGTACAAAAAACAGGGTCTCAAAACTGTATAGTGACTTTCCATTCAAACTATATCGTTTATAAAGAAAAGCTTGATGGAAAAATTAGATCAACTGTAAGCAAAACTTTGGACCTGGTGTAAGTACATTCAGACAGAAAACCTGGAAGCTCAGCCGGTGAGCTGGTAAAATGTTTATTTTAAGACACATTTTCAGACATAGACTCACACGCACACAACCAACAATCAGCCCCATCTTTAAACTCAGAATTAAAATTAAATCTGGAATTAAAATATATTGTTTTTAAGATATTGTGTTTATATGTACATTTCAAATTAATTATTGGTGCATGAATTGTGTGATGTGGGACAGTGCTTCCGTTGTTTGGTACCATTAGAGTCCACACCAGAAAAAAACATGTCAAGACAAGTTTATATTTATTCTTCAATCAAAAATATATTTTCTTTGTTTACATGGATGTGCGAGACCTAAAAACTTACTCTGCAACCTGGCCCTAGGGGTGATAGTTTTGCTTAGCTTTATCTTTGAACTATGTCAATGCAAGAGAAATATAGAAATTTTGAAACTATCAATTGGTGTTTTTGGTAAGAAAATGATTGGTACTGCATTAATGATAACGTGTCATTTCAAAGACTAATAAATATAAAGTTAACAATTAAAATGTTTATGTAATGTTACTAACACAAAAATCTTAAGTTTTGTGTCATTTGCTTCCACTAGGTATACTTTTGAGCCCAACTGAGACTACTTTACAAGAACGTGCAACTTTTACAGAGTCATGGTCAGCGGAGGCTATGGATGAATCATCATCATCAGACCCAACCCTTCCAAGTTTCACAGCATCTGATACAGTTGTTACAACATCAGGACCTGACTCAGCAGGCACAATTAGCATAGCAACCCCAGAGACTACAAATTCTGACTTTGCAGGGACGACATCAGGACATTCCCCATCAAGTCCATCAAGCACAGATAAATCAGACCCATCTGAAACAACCTTCTCAACTGGCTTGACGGCTTCCAAATCACCAGAGACTACTTCAAACTTTGATACTACGTCTCCTTCAGAGTCTATAACCTCTAGTCCTGTTGGCACCCCCCACACATCAGACACAACCTTCCCAAGTGATTCTTCAACATCTAACACTGCTGGAACAACAGCAGGACCTGGCTCAACAGGCTTACTTAGCACAGTGACCCCAGAGTCTACAGAAATCGCCACACCATCTGAAATGACTTCATCAACTGGCTTGCAAACATCCCAGTCACTCGAGGCAACCTCAGGTCTTGAAACTTCCCCTGCATCCGATTTGGCAACGTCCAGACCTGTTAGTACTTCCCCAATGTCAGAACCAACCTTTACAGGTGGTTCTACAACCTCTGACAATGCTGAGACAACATCAGAACATACCCCAACAGGTCCATCAAGCACAGTGATTTCAGAATCTCTGGAAACAACTTGGTCATCTGAAACAACTTTCTCAACTGACTCACCAACATCTCAACCACCCGAGACTACTTCAAATTCTGATACTATGTCTCCTTCAGAGTCTATAACATCTAGGCCTGTTGGCACCCCCCATACATCGGACACAACCCTCCCAAGTGATTCTTCAACATCTAATGCTGCTGGAACAACATCAGGACCTGACTCAACAGGCACAGTTACCCCAGAGTCTACAGAAATCCCCACACCATCTGAAATGACTTCATCAACTGGCTTGCAAACATCCCAGTCACCTGAGGCAACCTCAGGTCCTGAAACTTCCCCTGCATCCGATTTGGCAACGTCCAGACCTGTTAGTACTTCCCCAGTGTCAGAACCAACCTTTACAGGTGGTTCTACAACCTCTGAAAATGCAGAAACAACATCAGGGCATACCCCAACAGGTCCATCAAGCACAGTGATTTCAGAGTCTACTGAAGCAACCTGGTCATCTGAAACAACTTTCTCAAATGGCTCACCAACATCTCAACCACCCGAGACTACTTCAAATTCTGATACTACGTCTCCTTCAGAGTCCATGACATCTAGTCCTGTTGACACCCCCCACACATCGGACACAACCCTCCAAAGTGATTCTTCAACATCTAATACTGCTGGAACAACAGCAGGACCTGACTCAACAGGCTTAATTAGCACAGTTACCCCAGAGTCTACAGAAATCCCCACACCATCTGAAATGACTTCATCAACTGGCTTGCAAACATCCCAGTCACCTGAGGCAACCTCAGGTCCTGAAACTTCCCCTGCATCCGATTTGGCAACGTCCAGACCTGTTAGCACTTCCCCAATGTCAGAACCAACCTTTACAGGTGGTTCTACAACCTCTGACAATGCTGGGACAACATCAGGACATACCCCAATAGGTCCATCAAGCACAGTGATTTCAGAGTCTACTGAAGCAACCTGGTCTTCTGAAACAACCTTCTCAACTGGCTCACCAACATCTCAACCACCCGAGACTACTTCAAATTCTGATACTATATCTCCTTCAGAGTCTATAACATCTAGTCCTGTTGGCACCCCCCACACATCGGACACAACCCTCCCAAGTGATTCTTCAACGTCTAATGCTGCTGGAACAACAGCAGGACCTGACTCAACAGGCACAGTTACCCCAGAGTCTACAGAAATCCCCACACCATCTGAAATGACTTCATCAACTGGCTTGCAAACATCCCAGTCACCTGAGGCAACCTCAGGTCCTGAAACTTCTCCTGCATCCGATTTGGCAACGTCCAGACCTGTTAGTACTTCCCCAATGTCAGAACCAACCTTTACAAGTGGTTCTACAACCTCTGAAAATGCTGGCACAACATCAGGACATACCCCAAGAGGTCCATCAAGCACAGTGATTTCAGAGTCTACTGAAACAACTTGGTCATCTGAAACAACTTTCTCAACTGGCTCACCAACATCTCAACCACCTGAGACTACTTCTAATTCTGATACTACGTCTCCTTCAGAGTCCATAACATCTAGTCCTGTTGGCACCCCCCATACATCAGACACAACCCTCCCAAGTGATTATTCAACGTCTAATGCTGCTGGAACAACATCAGGACCTGACTCAACAGGCACAGTGACCCCAGAGTCTACAGAAATTGCCACACCATCTGAAATGACTTCATCAATTGGCTTGCAAACATCCCAGTCACCTGAGGCAACCTCAGGTCCTGAAACTTCCCCTGCATCCGATTTGGCAACGTCCAGACCTGTTAGTACTTCCTCAGTGTCAGAACCAACCTTTACAGGTGGTTCTACAACCTCTGACAATGCTGGAACAACATCAGGACATACCCCAACAGGTCCATCAAGCACAGTGATATCAGAGTCTAGTGAAACAACCTGGTCTTCTGAAACAACTTTCTCAACTGGCTCACCAACATCTCAACCACCCGAGACTACTTCAAATTCTGATACTACGTCTCCTTCAGAGTCCACAACATCTAGTTCTGTTGGCACCCCCCACACACCGGACACAACCCTCCCAAGTGATTCTTCAACGTCTAATGCTGCTGTCACAACATCAGGACCTGACTCAACAAGCTTAATTACCCCAGAGTCTACTGAAATCGCCACAGAACCTGAACTTACTTCATCCACTGGTTTGCAAACATTCGAGTCCACCTCAGGTCCTGAAACTTCCTCTCCATCTGATTTGGCAACGTCCAGGCCTGTTGGCATTTCCCCAACCTCAGATCCTACTCTTACAAGTGGTTCCACAACACCTAATGCTGTTGTAACAACATCAGGACATGACTCAACAGACTCAACTGGTAAAGTGACCCCAGACTCTACTGAATTAATCACATTATTTGAGACAACTTTCTCCACAGGTTTACTGACATCCCAGTCATTTGAGACAACTCTAAACATTGAAACTACATTTTCTTCAGAGTCTTCCACATACAGGCCTTCCCCAACATCAGATTCAACTATTACAATAGGTTCAACAACAACAGATGCTGCCATGACATCATCAGCACATAACCCAACAGGTTCATCTAGTACAATGATCCCAGAGTTTCCTGAAACAACTGCAACATCCTTGATAACTTTCTCCACTGCCTCACTAACATCACCTGATAGTATTAGTCCTACCTCCTCACTAAACCCAACCCATGCTGGCAGTTCAACATCATCTGATACAACATCAGAACCCAACCCAACTAGTTCCACAGCAGGGCCTACTAAAACAACGGTGCAATCTGAATCAACTGCTTCCACAGACCCATCAACATCTCAGTTAGTTGAAACCACTTCAAAAATGACAACAGTGATACCTCTCAGATGCCAAAATGGCGGCTTCTTTGATGGATTCAAATGCATATGTCCCCCTGCATTTACTGGAGAAACATGCCAAAATGCTAACACCTTTGTGCCAGGTACTGTTATTTGCAAGTATGGTCAAGTTGTAAAGATGTTTCCCAAACAGTTTACAGGTCATGTGAAAATTTTGTTTTATTTTTTTGCAGATAACTTCAATGAGTCAGTGAGAGTCAACTTTGCGATAAATCAGGCATACGACGAAAAATATGACGACAAAGAATCCTCTGAATACAAAGAGTTTGTTCAATCCTTTACTACAACGGTAGGTTAAACTCTTTCGCACATAATTCTATAGTATAGATTATGTTTAAATGAATATTTCATTGAAGTATTGTTGTTAATAACAACAGTTACCACTACTATGGTATTTCACCTTGATTTGTGCATGCTCTCGAGACCTTATATCGACAACATCATACACATACATTATGTATCTACTCCTATAACTGCATCTGGGTAAGCATGCCTAATTGTCTTGCCTGGGCCACCTCAGGTTGTTTGGAGTAACAAATTATGCTACAGTCATTGGTCTATTGGGCTGATTTATTTAAAGTGTGACCTATTTGGAGCTTACTCAGTTGCCATACTTTGGACAACTTACAGATACATCTTAAAAATTAGAATACCGTGAAAAGTTCTATATTTTATGAAGCCCAAAAGTGAAACTCAGTGCTATCATGTTTGGAAGCCAGTATTACTCACAGAATAAGATATTTCAAGCCCTTTTGACAGGTAATTGTGATGAATATGGCTTTCAAATAAGAAACCCCAAAATTCTGCATCTCAAAAAATGTAAATTTTACAAAGGATCAATAAAAAGATACTTTAGCCAGAAATGTGAAGCCTCTGAAAACTCTGTTCATCTCTATCCATCAACAAGTTGGGCCTCAATCAAATGTGGCATGGAGGCTATCAGCCTGTGGCACTGCAGAAGTGAAATGGAAGCCCGGGTTGCTTTGATCATGACCTTTAGGTAGTGTTGGGAGTAATCACGTTTAAGTATAACGGCATTACTAACGGTGGTATGTTTTTAGATAACAGAGTCATCTAAATAATGTACTTTTCCCACTGTTGCAGCTCTGTTACCGTTACTTGACATGTAAAGTGGCACGTTACTCCATTACTATAATGTGAAGAAAAAAAGTGGTTGAATGAAACACAGTGGTTGTCAGGCTGGCAGCCACAGCAGTGATGTGTTGGTGGCGCACGAAACAGCTCTTGTGCCGACCGGAGCCGGAGTCAGTGACACTAGCCGCCCATACCCACACCCGCCATCCTACCCCAAGCCGGAGTTACAAACGTCGCAAATAAACACACAGCTATGAACACATCAGGGTGTTTGTTTGCAGCTCAAAGATGTGTGTGTACGCAGCGCCATAAACAATAAGCTCCGATTGCTATGAAAGCAGTGAGGGGACTGAGTGCAAAATTATTACATTGCTGGCAGGGTACGAATTACACAGAGGCTTCCAGGGGAGCCCAGTGGGACGGGGGTCTCTATTCTTGCCCTGGCTCCTGAAATGCCTTCAAACGGCACTGGGTGTGGGACTGAGTTTAGAATGTGATCTGAGTTGTATCAAATATATAAATATTACGTGATTATATATGATTGCTTTAGGAAGTGAAAATGTGTGGTGGGATTAATCTACCTACATTTTCCTTTTCAAACACTTTGTTTTGTTTTCTTGTTCTTTGTTTGACAGTTTTTCTGTCCCGTCCTCCCAATCCTACAGAAAAACTGCTGCCTGGCTTCCTATATTTTCACCTAATGTGTTACTTTTTAACTAAGCAATTCAAAGGGATCTGCAAAAATAGCAAAGTGCGCGCCTGGTCACACCAGTGAGGTGAAGTCACCGGTGCACAAGACAGGTGATGCGCTCCACTCCACAGCAGCGAAGTGCATCGACAACAATTAAAATACAGACAGCACCACAGGATATGAGCCGGCAAAAACGATTGTGTGTTAATCGGGGTGATGACACTTTGAAAATGTTACTGTAGACATGCGTAGGACGCAGCTGCCTTGAGCGCATCAGCGATCTGTGTCCCCTCTGCTCAAAAGAATCCCCGGAGAGTCCACATAAATAATAGAATATAACTGGAATCAGATCTTTTTCCGGGCTCTCCCTGGGTGAGTAGGTTGAGGGCTTCCAGGGGAGCCTGACTTCCTTACGGGTGAGCCGGGCTTCCCTTAGCTCCCCCGTAATTCGAACCCTGATTACAGGACTGCCAACTCTTACGCATTGAGCGTGAGACACATTACATAAAGTAATGTCACAGTTACTTTGCTAGGTAACTAATAATTTTTACAAAGTGTGTAAAAAGTGCGTCAAACTGAAACAACCAAACACCCCAGTTACTTTTAGAAAATATTGATTTGTTACTACAACTAATTACTTTTTTAACGTAAGACACCCAACACTGCCTTTAGGTAATCTCCATTGTTGAGTTTGGTCTGTCTTTATAATACCTTATAGATGATCTATGGAGTGTTCTGGTCAGTAGCACCGTGATCATTGGATCAGCTTTAGGTACCTTTGGCAGTGTAGGCAGAGGCCAAGTCTTGTCAGCAAAACCAAGCATAGAATGCTCCATAATGTCTGCCAACACTGTGGACTTCAGAAAACACAGTGAACAATATCAGCTGATGAAATGGTGCCCAAACCATAAGTGAATGTGGAAACTTAACATTTGACTTAAGAAATAAGTCCATAAGAAATAAAAACTACTTTCATTTGAAAAGAGGTCTTTAAACCACTGAACAACATTTCTGTTTGTTTGTCATTAGCCCGTGCTTTTGACAAAGTCTGACTGGTCTGTGTATAGTGGTTCTTGATGCACTCAATCCTGCCCATCTTCCAACCCCATTGTTCATTTCCACTCAACCTTCTATCAATAAAGTTAATACAGCCAGGGTAGGTCAGGGGCTGGGTGACACATGATGGAGGCGGATGCTGTGGAATATATATATATGTGTGCGTGTGTGTGGGTGTGTGTGGGTGTGTGTGTGTGTTTGACAGACAAAAAAACATGCAAGTAAACAATTTTGAAGAGATAATGACATAATTTCACCTAAGGTCTTTATTACAAATAATAAATAATTTTCATATTTACAAGTGTTCAGCAGTTGCTCAATAGTGTGAAGACTGGTGACAAAGTAATTCACACTGATAATGATCATCGTCGTCGTCTTCCTCCGCTTATCCGGGTCCGGGTCGCGGGGGCAGCATCCCAACTAGGGAGCTCCAGGCCGTCCTCTCCCCGGCCACCTCCACCAGCTCCTCCGGCAGGACCCCAAGGCGTTCCCGGACCAGATTGGAAATGTAACCTCTCCAACGTGTCCTGGGTTGACCCGGGGGCCTCCTGCCGGCAGGACATGCCCGAAACACCTCCCCAGGGAGGCGTCCAGGAGGCATCCTGACCAGATGCCCAAACCACCTCAACTGGCTCCTTTCGATCCGGAGGAGCAGCGGTTCTACTCCGAGTCCCTCCCGAATGTCCGAGCTCCTCACCCTATCTCTAAGGCTGAGCCCGGCCACCCTACGGAGGAAACTCATTTCGGCCGCTTGTATCCGCGATCCCGTTCTTTCGGTCATTACCCAAAGCTCATGACCATAGGTGAGGATTGGGACGTAGATCGACCGGTAAATCGAGAGCCTGGCTTTCTGGCTCAGCTCCCTCTTCACCACGACAGATCGGCTCAGCGTCCGCATCACTGCAGACGCCGAACCAATCCGCCTGTCGATCTCCTGATAATGATCATAACAATTTAAATATCATCAAATTACTATTAACAACTCCTGTAGCAGACTTTCTTTGTAAAACCATCTATGATTTCCCCATTGTCAAGCATCTTTGGAACACCTTGCTGAGTGTATACGAGCATAAATGTTAAGCATCACACACATATGTATTTTATTTTATTTATATCTTTAGATTATACTTTTGCCTCATCAAGTGCGTATAGGTTGCTCTCCACCCTTTGGCTCTGTTGGGATGGGGTATAGTACAAGTTCAGTAAAATTTGCTCATCGTCTGAAGCACTAATATGTACATTTTTATTCCGACTGCGTGAGAGTGAACATATTCTGCAGCCGGCCCACACTAACAACAATTAGTAGGGCGACGGTGGCACAGGAGTTAAGAGCTCGCCCTGTAATCAGAAGGTTGCAGGTTCGAGCCCCGCTCAGTCTGTCGCTGTCGTTGTGTCCTTGGGCAAGACACTTAACCCACGTTGCCTGCTGGTGGTGGTCGGAGGGACCGGTGGCGCCAGTGTACGGCAGCCTCGCCTCTGTCAGTGCGCCCCAGGGCAGCTGTGGCTACATCGTAGCTCATCCCCACCAGTGTGTGGATGTGTGTGTGAATGGGTGAATGACTGATTGTGTTGTAAAGCGCCTTGGGGGGTTCCAGGACTCTAGAAGGCGCTATATCAAATACAGGACATTTAAATTAGTACATGCAATTGAAACATTAAGTCCTCCATTTGAAATGATCAAATTTACTCAATGACTGTATTGTAATGTCCCTACACCATGTTGCTTGATATACACAGGTATATTACTTTGAATGTTTAAATTTGGTTCAAACTAAATTAAAATGTCAAAAATATTAACGCGTTGTGACTTTGATGAGGGCAGTTACATGTTTTAATAGTATTATAAAACTAGACTGACTCATCAGTCCAATGGAAAAAGTCCCAGTACTCCCAAAGAGCAGTCTGACCTCCAGCTTCTCCATCAATGACCTTTTGTGGCATCCCCTCCTTGTGGAGGGTTTCAGTGGCATCTTTTGGACATCTGTCAAGTCAGCAGTCTCCTCCATGACCCACTGAGAAACCAGTCCCAGACTGACATTTAAGCTCGAAAAACACTTGCAATAATTTTGAGTTAATTTTCTGAGAAGGGTGAAAAACAATGACTTTCCAATTTTTACACTATTTACAACCCTAACCCCAACTCGTTATTTACAATATTCTAATTTTCTGAGACACTAAAATCTTTTGGTAAAGAAGTAGAAGAAGAAAATATCATTTCTATAGCGCCTCTCAAGATAAAAATCACGAGGCGCTTCACAAAAACAAAAATGTAAAAATATAAAAAAGCATTTAGAAAATGTTTTAAAATATATTTAAAATGAGCAAAAATAGACAACTGTGATTAAAAATGTTAAGAAAGAGAGAGAGTGAATAGGAAAGAGGGAAATCAGTGGATCCTGAGGAAAGCGGAATAGGTGGGGAGAGCAGAATAAAGAGAGAGAGGTGAAGAAGGTCATACAAAAGCCAGCTTGAACAAGTGAGTCTTCAGCTGCTTTTTAAAGGAGACCACTGAGTCCACTGATCTCAGGCTCAGGGGGAGAGAGGTCCAGAGTCTGGGGGCCACAGCAGCAAATGATCTGTCACCTTTGACCTTTAGCCTGGTGCTGCACAACCAGTAGGCTTTGATCACTGGACCTCAGGGACCTGCTGGAGGTGTAGGCACTAAGAAGATCACCAATGTAAGATGGTGCTTGTCCATGTAAGGCCCTATAGACCAGAACCAGGACCTTGAAATGAACCCTGAAGTTGACTGGCAGCCAGTGAAGCTGGAGGAGAAGCGGGGTGATGTGGGTGTGTTTGGAGGACTTGGTCAGAAGCCGAGCACAGGCGTTCTGAACCACCTGTAGACGGTTCAGGGAGGTTCTGCTCAGACACGTGAAAAGAGAGTTACAGTAGTCTAAGCGTGAGGAGATGAAGGTGTGGAGAACTGTCTCAAGTTCAGAGCGGGACAGAATGGGACTCAGCTTAGCAACGTTCCTGAGATGGAAGAAGGAAGAGCCAACAAGAGAACTGACATGAGACAGAGTTATAATATCAGACTGAAGAGGAAGAATTTACAACTCTGAGAAATGTTGACCAACTAGTGCAACCGACAGCTCCTGTGTGCACTATAACTGATAAACGGTTGTTACTGAGATTATAATAAACACCGTACCTGCTCAAATAAGACCTTGATGCCAGGTAAAGTTTGTGGAGCTCTGTATCTAAGAGAGAGAGCGGCACTGTTTGCTACAGACTAAACTTCAGGTGTTGTTGATGCTGAGTGAGAGGGGTCTTGCCCATGTGTTGGTATGGCTGGTGGCATGGAAGCTCCAATATTATGGGTAAGATGGACATGAGATAGCTAGTGTTTTGATGTACATGTCACCAGACAGTAATGTAGTACATACTGTAACTAACTGCATGTTTACTGCAAGATCATTTTCATCGTTCCACTTTAAAGACGATGTGCTCCTGTTTCAGATGGAGAAATATTATCAGGATCAGAAGATTCCACATTTCAAAGCAGTACTAGTGACTAGTGTGAGGTAAGAAACTCACAACATTTAGATTAATTTAATCATAGAAACATCCTTTTATCTTTTTGTTCATTTGCATCGACTTTTAAAAGTTTTTATTTGTATTTCCATTAGTCCAGGAGGTCCTTTACAACCATTATCAGACCAGACTAGGGCGGAGGTAAAGAAGCTCCATCACATCAGTAGCATATTCGTTTATTTATTACAACAATCAATAGTGTTTTTTCTTATTAGGTGAGAATCTCAGCCAAAAAACGTGATGACACAGCACATAAAGAGAGGTAATATTATATTTCCTAATATAATTGTGAAATTTATCATGCATGAAATAATGAGCACTGACTGATCTCATGTTTATAATTAGAAACTGAAACAAGCAAACAAACAAAAACAGGGCAAAATAGATAAAATCATTACTATGCAAAAAAAGAACGAGAGAGAGAGAGAGAGAGAGAGAGAGAGAGAGAGAGAAAGAGAGTGAGACAGAGAGACACAGAGAGAGAGAGAGAGTGAGACAGAGAGACACAGAGAGAGAGAGAGAGAGAGAGAGAGAGAGAGAGACACAGAGAGAGAGAGAGAGAGAGAGAGAGAGAGAGAGACCGAGAGAGAGAGAGTGAGACAGAGAGACACAGAGAGAGAGAGAGAGAGAGAGAGAGAGAGAGAGAGAGAGAGAGAGAGTGAGACAGAGAGACACACACAGAGAGAGAGAGAGAGAGAGAGAGAGAGAGAGAGAGACCGAGAGAGAGAGAGTGAGACAGAGAGACACACAGAGAGAGAGAGAGAGAGAGAGAGAGAGAGAGAGAGAGAGAGAGAGAGAGAGAGAGAGAGAGAGAGAGAGAGAGAGAGAGAGAGAGAGAGAGAGAGAGAGAACCCAAGAGTTCTGGTCATCCTCCAGCTACATACTGTAGTTATTTCCTAACAAACAAAAACAGGGCAAAATAGATAAAATCTTTTCTATGCAAAAAAAGAACGAGAGAGAGAGAGAGAGAGAGAGAGAGAGAGAGAGAGAGAGAGAGAGAGAGAGAGAGAGAGAGAGAGAGAGAGAGAACCCAAGAGTTCTGGTCATCCTCCAGCTACATAATGTAGTTATTTCCTTTGGCCAAGCAACTGCAGTAACTTACCCATGTCAAATACACACACACACACACACACACACACACACACACACACACACACACACACACACACACACACACACACACACACACACACACACACACACACACACACACACTTCTCAACTTCTCACAATGTTGTACTTAGTAATTTTATAGCAAAGACAATAGAGAACTAATTCCAGTTAATTCTAATATTTTTAGAGTAATGTATTTATTACTAAAAAAATTAATGCAGCTAAAAAATGATTGTGTTTGTATCAAAAGATCACCTGATAATTACACATTTTAGCATCTTAAACTCTTTTTTGCTGAATACAAGTGACTAAAATACTGAAATAAAGAAACAACACTGGTCATTCTGGATGTGTGGATCCATAATAACACGTCCAAATCCCTCTGCCGGCAGTGTTAGTGTCGCACACGATGTGGTTTTGTCAATTCCAAACAACCGCTCTGAGCAACTTTATGAAAATGGTTTTGAAGCCATCACAGACGCTGTTTCAGCCCTTCAGGACTGCGAAGGTAATCCAGTTCACTGCAAAAGCACACAGAAACATTGCTTCTGTTTTAATCCAAATAAATCATTAAAACGATGGACTTTCACTTTTATTTTATGTTTCTTTAGGAAACTTGTTTTTTGTAAATGTAATTTAACAGCTTTTTCCTCACCAATTGCCAGATTGTGCGTTTAACATCACAAGCTCCTCTGTGAATAAAGCAGAAAGTGACAAGCAGAGTGAGTATTGTCGTACTTTGTAAAGTTTATGTCTTTATTGTATTTTTGTTTTGGTAAAATAATCTCACAACATCATTTATGAGCAAAATAAATAGCGAAATCATGTAAAATCTTAGGACTGCCAGATGATTTGAAACGAAAGGCATTTTCCAACAGAGCTCATTGAGCAGTGGAAAAATCCATCTTTAGGAAAGAACCGGCAGCAGTTCTGCTGGCCTTGGTTCTATTTTATTATCAAACACGTTTATTCTTTCTGAGCAGCTGCATTGATACCCTAATAATTCAGCACGTCATCGAGTATCGTGACATTTTTAACAACCATAACCAAAAGTGTTATTTTTATCAAATGTTCTGCTTTTTCCAGCTTTATGTGAGAAGCTGGTTGGGAACTCAGGTGCTGCTGCACACTATACGCCAGTGACTGAAGGAGACACCATCATATGTGTCACTCGGTGTGACAGTCGACATAAGGATCCCAAAATATGCAAAAATGAAGGAACTTGCAAAGTGTACAGTGATATGGGACCTGTCTGCGAGTAAGTCTTTGTTTTTGATTAGACAGACAGACAGGTAGACAGCCATGTCAGTGACAAAAGTGGACTGCATCCATTGCTGTGGAAGAGTTTGTGATTTATATCTAAATGCACCCCCCTGGGCTGCACCCCCCTGGGCTGCCACCTTACTGTGGTGGAGGGGTTTGAGTGTCCCAGTAATCCTAGGAGCTAAGTAGTCTGAGGCCTCTGGTAGGGTGACCCATGGCAAACAGGTCCTAGGTGAGGGATCAGACACAGTGCAGCCCAAAGACTCTTTTTGATGATTAATACAAATGGAAACTGTGTTCCCTTGCCTGGATGTGGGTCCCAGGGGCCCCCCATCTGGAGCCAGGTCTGGAGGTGGGGCACGTCGGCGAGTGCCTGGTGGCCAGGATTTCACCCACAGAGCCCGGAGGGGCACAGACCGAAGAGGACACGTGGGTCCCCCTTCCCATAGGCTCACCATTTGTGGAAGAGGCCAAAGGGGTCGGGTCCAGGGTGTGGTGGGTTGTAGCCGAAGGGGGGTGGGGTGGGGGTGGGGGGATAAATTTTGGTGGCCTGTGGATTGAGTTTCTGCTTTTTGCAGATGATGTGGTCCTGTTGGCTTCATCAGTAAGAGATCTCCCGCTTTTACTGGAGCGGTTCGCAGCCGAGTGTGAAGCAGCCGGGATGAGAATAAGCTCCTCTAAATCCGAGACCATGGTCTTGAGTCAGAAAAGGGGAGAATGCCTTCTCCGGGACAGAGATGAGGTCCTGCCCCAAGTGGAGGAGATTAAATATCTCGGGGTCTTGTTCACGAGTGAGAGAAAAATTGCGAAAGAGTGCGAGATCGACAGGCAGATTGGTGCTGCAGTGATGCGGGAGTTGTGCCAATCTGTCGTGCTGAAAAGACAGCTGAGCCGCAAGGCATTCGGTCATCCGGGAGGAGCTCGGAGTAGACCTGCTGCTCCTCCACATTGAGAGGAGCCAGTTGAGGTGGCTCGGGCATCTAGTTAGGATGCCTCCCTGGTGAGATTTTCCAGGCCTGTCCAGCTGGAGAAGACCTAAAGAAAGACCCAGGACACGCTGGAGGGACTGTGTCTCTCGGCTGGCCAGGGAACGCCTCAGGGTTTCGCCGGAGGAGCAGGCCCAAGTGGCCGGGAAAAGGGAAGTCTGGGCCTCCCTGCTTAGGCTCCTGCCCCCGTGACTCGACCCCGGCTAAGTGGCCAAAAATGGACAGATGCATGGATATTTAAATGCTGTAAATATCACATTAAGTGTCAAGTAAAAACATTGCATACAGATGTTCAGTTTCCAGTGCAGTCAATAACAATAGGGACAGCTGTTTTAGTTACTTCTTCATGTGGGTTTGATGGGGATATTTTTCTCAGTTTTTACTGTTTTGTAGAACATAATTAATAAGTTTTTATTAAAGCTGCGGAAAGTATTTGTTTCACTGACTGTATGATTAACCTTAGATTAATATTTTTTAACATTTTTAACGTTTACTTATAAACAAGCGGTCCTCCACTCACGGTCACCATAAAATGTTTGGGTTAATTCTAAATGTCTTTGTTTTCAGGTGCCAGAATGTGGATTCCACCTGGTATTTAGGCAGTGACTGTGACCTGCCCATACACACAACAGCGTTTTATGCAGGTTTAAGCTCAACCCTCTGCCTCCTTCTAGTGGTTGTTGTTGCTCTTACTGCGTATTCATCTGTCAACAAACACAAACAGACAAAGTAAGCTGCAATCTTACTTTTTGAAATTGACAAAGTGCACGAAACACAACATGATGATGATTGTACTATACATACTACAGATTTAACAACAAAGACAAGTCTGTCTGTCTCCCATTCACACACACACGCATTTTATTTTTTTCTATGTTGACTCACACGCAGTATTCTTTATTTCTACAGACAGAAAGAGGTGAAAGAGAAGCTGGTGAACCAGTGGTTGAGTGAAGACTATGAATGGTCCCGACCCCGTGTCCCTGTGAACAGTTTTAAAGCAGGTAAGTTCCAACTTTATTTTAACCCTAAACTGCCCAATGCAATTAATGCTGCAAGTCTGTTGAATTCAGATATAGAATGGAAATTGTCTAACTGTAGCAGTAGCTCACGAGGTAGAGCGGGTTGTCCAGAAATCAGAAAGTTGCAGGTTCAATCCCGTCTCCTGTCACAGAATGCTGCTGTTGTGTCTTTGGGCAAGACACTTAACCTGCCTTGCCTGCTGGTGGTGGTCGTAGGGACTGGTGACACCTGTGTTGTGCAGGCCTCAACTCTGTCATTGCGTGTGAATGGGTGAATGACTGACAGTGTTGTGAAGCACCTTGGGGGGTGGTATAAAGCCGGGCATACACTGTGCGACTTTTTCACTCGTAGCACTCAGCTTCGGCTCAAACTGTACGACTTCCTCACAGGGCAGATCTCACGAGTCATTCGCTCACACTGTACGACCCAGTTCTCGGATGCGACCTGACTGCTCACACTGTACGTCTGGTAGCAACACATCGGCCCTAAAAATATGCTAAAAATAGCAGTTTTTACACAACACGTCAGACTTTTTTGTCTTGTCTCGCCTGTTGTCCTTCAGGAGTGCTGCAGGAGGACACACAGGGATTTATGGGGTTTGGATGAGGAAAACGAAATAAAGAAAGTAAATCTGTGTTTTGTGATCAGTTTAATTTGACATGAACACGAGCGGTTCTGATACTTTTTGGGTCGCAGCTGCTCGCAGCGCTGCTTCAACAGTGCGATACCCTCACGAGGGACGAGCAAAATATTAAACACGCCAGAAGTCCGTGCGAGCTCACGATTGCTGATCAGTAGCTGGTCACGTGGTGTTAATCGCCTCTCGTAACGCCCTGTACACTACACGATGCTCAGCGCTAAACTCGCCCCGATCTCGTGGATTCTCGCACGAGCGGAAAATCGGCTCACAAAAGTGAAGAAAAAAAACGCACAGTGTACGCCCGGCTTAACCCTGAGAAGGTGCTATAATAATACAGACCATTTACCATTTAGTTCTAGTATAACTATAGTAGTTATACCATAACTACTGTACCATAACTACTGTAGTTAAAGTATAACTACTATAGTTCTATTATAACTGTTGTAGTTATACCACAACTACTGTACCATAACTACTGTAGTTAAAGTATAACTACTATAGTTCTATTATAACTGTTGTAGTTATACCACAACTACTGTACCATAACTACTGTAGTTAAAGTATAACTACTATAGTTCTATTATAACTGTTGTAGTTATACCACAACTACTGTACCATAACTACTGTAGTTAAAGTATAACTACTATAGTTCTATTATAACTGTTGTAGTTATACCATAACTACTGTACCATAACTACTGTAGTTAAAGTATAACTACTATAGTTCTAGTATAACTATTGTAGTTATACCATAACTACTGTACCATAACTACTGTAGTTAAAGTATAACTACTATAGTTCTAGTATAACTATTGTAGTTATACCATAACTACTGTACTATAACTACTGTAGTTAAAGTATAACTACTATAGTTCTAGTATAACTGTTGTAGTGATAGCATTACTACTGTGGTTAAAGTATAACTATAGTAGTTATACCATAACTACTGTAGTTAAAGTATAACTACTATAGTTCTATTATAACTGTTGTAGTTATACCATAACTACTGTACCATAACTACTGTAGTTAAAGTATAACTACTATAGTTCTAGTATAACTATTGTAGTTATACCATAACTACTGTACTATAACTACTGTAGTTAAAGTATAACTACTATAGTTCTAGTATAACTGTTGTAGTGATAGCATTACTACTGTGGTTAAAGTATAACTATAGTAGTTATACCATAACTACTGTAGTTAAAGTATAACTACTATAGTTCTAGTATAACTGTTGTAGTGATAGCATTACTACTGTGGTTAAAGTATAACTATAGTAGTTATACCATAACTACTGTAGTTAAAGTATAACTACTATAGTTCTATTATAACTGTTGTAGTTATACCACAACTACTGTACCATAACTACTGTAGTTAAAGTATAACTACTATAGTTCTATTATAACTGTTGTAGTTATACCACAACTACTGTACCATAACTACTGTAGTTAAAGTATAACTACTATAGTTCTATTATAACTGTTGTAGTTATACCATAACTACTGTACCATAACTACTGTAGTTAAAGTATAACTACTATAGTTCTAGTATAACTATTGTAGTTATACCATAACTACTGTACTATAACTACTGTAGTTAAAGTATAACTACTATAGTTCTAGTATAACTGTTGTAGTGATAGCATTACTACTGTGGTTAAAGTATAACTATAGTAGTTATACCATAACTACTGTAGTTAAAGTATAACTACTATAGTTCTATTATAACTGTTGTAGTTATACCATAACTACTGTACCATAACTACTGTAGTTAAAGTATAACTACTATAGTTCTAGTATAACTATTGTAGTTATACCATAACTACTGTACTATAACTACTGTAGTTAAAGTATAACTACTATAGTTCTAGTATAACTGTTGTAGTGATAGCATTACTACTGTGGTTAAAGTATAACTATAGTAGTTATACCATAACTACTGTAGTTAAAGTATAACTACTATAGTTCTAGTATAACTGTTGTAGTGATAGCATTACTACTGTGGTTAAAGTATAACTATAGTAGTTATACCATAACTACTGTAGTTAAAGTATAACTACTATAGTTCTATTATAAATGTTGTAGTTATACCATAACTACTGTACCCTAACTACTGTAGTTAAAGTATAACTAGTATAAGGACCAATCAGATTTCTCAAAATCCAATGGGACAACACTTCATAAAACATATTGTTGATGTAAAAACAGCAAAGCTCTCTGTGCAGCTGTGATTGTAGACGTACGTTGCAGGTGCGGTACCTATAGCTCCTAGCTGTTGAGCTACTGAACAAGTGCAGCTTTAGCTACATGCACAGCTACTCAACAGGAGTCAGTGCATGCAGTCGGGCTCTAGAATAGTTTCACCTTCACTGTTCTGGCAGAACTTTAAGGTTTTTGTTGTGAACCAGGTTACGTTAAAGCTTGTAATGTGTTATACTACAGGGTTCAGTCCTGTGAGCTAAACTGCTTTCTCCTGTACATTTTCTTTACAGAACGTAATATCAGACGTTTTGATGTATCCTATATGTCTTTTCATGTTCGTGTCTGTGATATTCACTTTTATTGTTCTTTTAAGCCAACTCAGTGTCTAAAGTCGTCCTCCTAATTACTGCCCTTGATAGTCAGGCATTTGAGATGAAGGAAGTCTGCTGAGCTGTGGTGGCCTCATGGAGGGGGCCATCGGCTAGCACACTGCTGCTAACCACTCAAACATTCTCCCTCTCCTGATAATAACTTTTTACTCTCTTTGACGTTGAATGTGCTACTACTAGTTTACCCGTTTTAATTATAGATTCACTAGGATAAATACAATAAAGTTTATCTCTCACCAAATAGAATATTTACTAAGAACTCACTATGTAACCATAGACACAGTGTGTGTGTGTGTGTGTGTGTGTGTGTGTGTGTGCGTGCGTGCGTTCGTGCGTGCGTGCGTGCGTGTGTGTGTGTGTGCTCTGTCTTCTCCATCCCCAGTGAGTCATGGAGGATGGCCGCTTATACTGAGCCAGGAACCTCTGGAGGTTTCTTCCTGTTAAAAGGGAGTTTTCCTCTCCACTGTCGCTATATGCTTGCTTAGTATGAGGATTGCTGTAAAGTGACTTGATGCAATTTGCTGGGTTCCTTATATAGGAAACATTATTTCTGATTGGCTTAATGAACTGACCTGAATTGGAATGTTTATTATGTGAAGTGCCTTGAGACGACTCTTGTCGTGATTTGGCGCTATATAAATAAACTTGAATTGAACTCCTTGATGCAACTAAACCTCAAACGCCGTGGTGTTCATTTTGACTCCATCATGTCTGTAGAGCACCGTTGTTAGCAATAATTAGACAAGCAACATCCCAATATGTCAAAATCTTAATTAGAGATGAGCCCTGGACACTGGACACGAGATCAGATTAGGATATATTGCGATGCTCTAATTACAGATTTGTGTTACTTCTAGGTTACGTAAACCCTGTGCTTACATCAAATGGATCGGCCATCTACGATGACAAATCTCAGCAGCAGTCCTTCAGCACCTCAGCATACCCACGCCCACCAACACAGCCTCTTGGTCCCAGCCCAACCACAGGAAACTTTTCAGCTGACCTGCAGGTCAGTGCACACTAACAGAGGAGTCACGTTTGAATCGTTTTTGGTCTTACACTACTCTATTTTGCCACAGATGAGGACGATCAGGCCTGAGATGAGGATGTCCTGGGATGTCTGAGGAGTTCAGCTTTCACTGAAAACATTCACATATTTATTTGTATCTTAAATGAAATATAACTTTTATTTAAAAGTAATTACAATTTTATTGTAATTAGCCTAATTATTTATTCTTGCTCATTTGGTTGTGTTTTTGCTCATTCTTGATTAAATTAGATTTTTTTTCAACCAAACCAAAAAGTTGTAGGAAGGAAGCATGAAAACATTTAACTAACTCATGTGAACAAACTGCATTAAATTAAAATGCAACGAAAAACACTATTAATGCATTATTAAACATTCTATCTGTATTTCTTTCTCACTAACTCCACATGCTCTTTCATACATGTATGTTCTATTCAAACCAATGTCAGATGTTGTATGATGTGATCAAACCTTTGAACGGGTTCCTTTGCAGAAACAAATGACTGTTGTTACATTTCCCCAAAATACATATTGTTATTTACTTATTATTTACAGGTGAAATCAGTCTAGCACACATCCGGTGATTTGGATGAAAAATTATTTTTTATCTGTTTTTGCTAAATAATTGTTTATTTGTTATTTTAACTCGTCAGAAATGCTGCCTCTGTCTGTCATGACTGGTTTGATCACAAAGTGTTAAAGTGTTTGTGATCATTAACGCTGCTGCAGAATCAGGAGTTGTGAGTTTTAAGCTGTTAACCTGCTTTATTTTATGTAGATGAAATAATCTAATGTTCTAAATCAAATGTCTTTTTTAGGTTCAATCAATTCTGTTTGATCTCATTCACTCCACACCACTTATGCAAAGTGTGAGCTCAGTTTCATCTAACCAGCAGCAATTCTAATTTGTATTTTCAGTCAGTTCTGATTTGTAAATATCTTTATGTTATTTATAGCTTTGTGAAAATAATGTATCACACATCGACATATATACTGGACAATTCATTTCCATAGCCACCAATAACACGTTTTTGAAGAAAAATGGGAGGTGGCCATCACCGCCATTTTGACCGTGTCACAGGTTCCGTCAAGCCCAGACAATTCCACAAAAGGGAAGAGAGGTGGAGCTGAGGGTGGGGCTGTAAGGCTGGGATCAACTGACGACACCTGGTCGAACTAGCTACAAGCTAACCCAAAGCTAAAGCGGAGGTGGGAGCTAAGCTAATGGAGTTAGCAACCTAGCTACAACCGGAGTTAACTGTGCACAACACCAGAGCTTCTGAGTCAGAGATACGCCGGGCTGACCGTTGGGTAAAACCGGGTGGAACACAGAGGTCTCCAGAGAGCTCCACAAGCCGGCAGCCGCACAGCAGACAAGCGCCGCTGCGATCTGAGATGCGCAGAGCTGCCGCTGGGGCGAACCGGGTGGAAAGGTTTCCATCCCAGAACTCCACAAGCCGGCAGCCCGCGTAGCAGACAGAAGCTGCGATCAGACAGAGATGCGCCGAGCTGCGGGGAGGGGAGAACGGGTGGAAAACATCGGTCTCCCGAGAGCTCCACAAGCCGATAGTCGGAACCCAGCTCCACCAACATGTTATTTTTCAACCCATTTTCTAAAGTGCAGCATTATGTTAGATGCACTGGGTTTTACCCTATTACATTTAAATTTCATGGTAAAACAGTACATGTTAAAATCTAAGCTCAGCTCGGCAGTGACCTAAAATACATAAATATAATTTTACTTACCGAATAAAATGAAGTGGAGACTCCTTGGATGCTCTATTAGTGCAATTAATGCCACAGCAAGTCATTTTGTCCAACAATTGCACAAATAATATCCAAAAAAAAATACACACACACAGAGACTCAAAATCCCGGAACAGTTTCCAGGCCAGACCGAGGCTCTACTGAGGCCTTTCCCCGGAGCTAGCTCTGTGGTCACGTGGGTCTGATGCTCATTAATTATACAGAATTTTAGGCTTTCAATACACTTAAACAGAAGAGTGAGAAAAAAATTCACCCCCCTCAGAGTTGTCATGAGTGTAAACTAGATCATTTAAACCAAAAACATGTTTTGGTACCATGCTGTAAACATGTTTATTTCTGCTGTGAAATTGGTATTTTTAACATGGGATTCAATGAGGATTTGCTCGCTTCTGACACCAGCCCCTGGTGGATGAGGGTGGAACAGCAATTTTTGGTACTTCTGGGTTGGCCTCAATTTTTGAGCCACTTGGTATCACATGACTGTTCTGTTTTAGTCAGTGTTGACAGGGTTCTGAGGCAGGAACGGGGTAGAGACAGTACATTTAGGGGTTTGTACATTTAGCATTTTATTTTGGCATTGATGCTTTAAAGGGATATTCCACCCAAAGTAAAGATTTGTCTGTTGCCATATTCCCCATAGTTAGATAAGTATGAAAAAAAAACTATTTGTAACCAGCACAGTTCTCCTGATCCAGCAGTACTGTTTTAGCTTTAGCTTAGCATAAAACAATGTAAGAGAATGGTACCATATAGCCTTGAGTGTGAAAGATATGGGATTAGATTTGTGCCAATAGGATCAAGAAAAACACTTTGTGTCACGTTTGGAAGGATGGAGATGGTGGACCATGTGTGGTGGGGGTTCCGGAGGCAGAAGAGCAGGCAACGGATGAAAAAATAAAAATGGTTTAATTAATATGGCAGGTAGGAGACCTGGAGAGGGGTTGGACACTCTACTTTGCTGGAGTTGCTCCGGGTGAGAGGCGGAGGGCTGGGGTTGGCTTTTTGTTAGCCCCGAGACTCTCTGCCTGTGGGTTGGGGTTTACCCCGGGGGACAAGAGGGTAGCTTCCTGGCGCCTTCGGGTCGGGGAACGGGTCCTGACTGTTGTTTGTGCTTATGGGCCAAATATCAGTTCAGAGTACCCACCCTTTTTGGAGTCCCTGGGACGAGTGCTAGATAGTGCTCCATCAGGGGACTCCATTGTCCTGCTGGGGGACTTCAGTGCTCACGTGGGCAATGACAGCTTGACCTGGAGGGGTGTGATTGGGAGGAACGGCCCACCTAATCTGAACTCGAGCGGTGTTTTGTTATTGGACTTCTGTGCAAGCCGCAGTTTGGCCATAACGAACACTATGTTCGAACATAAGGATGCCCATCGGTACACTTGGTACCAGGGCAGCCTAGGTCGCAGGTCGATGATAGATTTTGTAGTCGTATCATCTGACCTGCGGCCGTATGTTTTGGACACCCGAGTGAAGAGAGGGGCGGAGCTGTCAACTGATCACCACCTGGTGGTGAGTTGGATCAGATGGCAAGGGAACATGCCGCGTAGACCTGGCAGACCCAAACGCATAGTGAGGGTCTGCTGGGAACGCCTGGCAGAAGAACCTGTCAAGACGGTCTTCAACTCCCACCTCCGGCAGAGCTTTGACCACGTCCCGAGAGCAGTGGGGGACATTGAGTCCGAGTGGGCCTTGTTCCACTCTGCGATTGTCGAGGCGGCTGTTGCTAGCTGTGGTCGTAAGGTGGCCGGTGCCAGTCGTGGTGGCAACCCCCGTACCCGCTGGTGGACACCAGAGGTTCGGGGAGCCGTCAGGCTGAAGAAGGAGGCCTACAGGGCGTGGCTGGTCTGTGGGTCTCCGGAGGCAGCAGACAGGTACCGGATAGCCAAGCGGGGTGCAGCAGTGGCAGTTGCCGAGGCAAAATCTCGGGCGTGGGAGGAGTTTCGGGAGGCCATGGAGAAAGACTATCGATCGGCTCCAAAGAGGTTCTGGCAAACTGTCCGGCGCCTCGGGAGAGGAAGGCAGCAACTCGCTCACACTGTTTACAGTGGGGATGGGGAGCTGCTGACGTCAACTGAGGCTATAGTCGGACGGTGGAAGGAATACTTTGAGGAGCTCCTCAATCCCACCAATGCGCATTCCGAGGAGGAACCAGAGCTGGGAGGCCTGGGGATGGACTGTCCGATCTCGGGGGCAGAAGTTGCTGAGGTAGTCAAACAACTACACAGCGGCGGAGCCCCGGGGGTGGATGAGGTTCGTCCTGGGTATCTCAAGGCTATGGATGTTGTAGGGCTGTCATGGTTGACACGTCTCTACAACATTGCGTGGTCATCGGGGGCAGTTCCTAGGAAGTGGCAGACCGGGGTGGTGGTCCCCATCTTTAAGAAGGGTGACCTGAGGGTGTGTTCCAACTATAGGGGGATCACACTCCTCAGCCTCCCTGGAAAGGTCTACGCCAAGGTACTGGAGAGGAGGGTCCGATCGATAGTTGAATCTCAGATAGAGGAGGAGCAATGTGGTTTTCGTCCTGGCCGTGGAACTGTGGACCAGCTCTATACCCTTGCAAGGGTGATGGAGGGGGCATGGGAGTTTGCCCAACCAATCCACATGTGCTTTGTGGATTTGGAGAAGGCTTATGACCGTGTCCCCAGGGGCACCCTGTGGGGGACGCTCCAGGAGTATGGGGTGGGTGGCTTTCTGTTAAGGGCCATTCAGTCCCTTTACCAGAGGAGCGTGAGTTTGGTCCGCATAGCCGGTAGTAAGTCGGACCTGTTCCCAGTGAGGGTTGGACTCCGCCAGGGCTGCCCTTTGTCACCGGTTCTGTTCATCACTTTTATGGACAGAATTTCTAGACGCAGCCGTGGTGTGGAGTGTGTCGAGTTTGGTGGCAGGAGAATCTCGTCTCTGCTTTTTGCGGATGATGTGGTCCTCCTAGCTTCATCCAGCTCTGACCTTCAGCTCTTGCTGGGTAGGTTCGCGGCCGAATGTGAAGCGGCTGGGATGAGGATCAGCACCTCCAAATCTGAGACCATGGTTCTCGACCGGAAAAGGGTGGCTTGCCACCTCCGGGTCGGGGGAGAGGTCCTACCTCAAGTGGAGGAGTTTAAGTATCTCGGGGTCTTGTTCACGAGTGAGGGTAGGAGGGATCGGGAGATCGACAGGCGGATTGGTTCGGCGTCTGCAGTGATGCGGACGCTGAGCCGATCTGTCGTGGGGAAGAGGGAGCTGAGCCAGAAAGCCAGGCTCTCGATTTACCGGTCGATCTACGTCCCAATCCTCACCTATGGTCATGAGCTTTGGGTAATGACCGAAAGAACGAGATCGTGGATACAAGCGGCCGAAATGAGTTTCCTCCGTAGGGTGGCCGGGCTCAGCCTTAGAGATAGGGTGAGGAGCTCGGACATTCGGGAGGGACTCGGAGTAGAACCGCTGCTCCTCCGGATCGAAAGGAGCCAGTTGAGGTGGTTTGGGCATCTGGTCAGGATGCCTCCTGGACGCCTCCCCGGGGAGGTGTTTCGGGCATGTCCTGCCGGCAGAAGGCCCCCGGGTCGACCCAGGACACGTTGGAGAGGTTACATCTCCAATCTGGTCCGGGAACGCCTTGGGGTCCTGCCGGAGGAGTTGGTGGACAAGGCCGGGGAGAGGACGGCCTGGAGCTCCCTAATTGGGATGCTGCCCCCGCGACCCGGACCCGGATAAGCGGAGGAAGACGAAGACGAAGGTAGGATGGTACAGCAGGAGCTAACGTAGCACGGTGAAAACACAACAATGATCTGACCAAGGACAGCAACAAGGAGGGAGGTATAAATACATGGGGAAAATGAGGAACACATGGGCAGGCTAACAAGGGGCAGGTGATACCAATAGGGACTAATGAGGCAGGAGAGGGACACAGTCAGGAAGGCAGGGGCAGAACATGACACTTTGGAGATCAAACAAATATTAAGACATTGAGAGAAAAAAATCGTTTCAAAAGAAAAACTTACGATCTGAATCAGATTCTTAAAATGATCAAGAAAAACACTTTGACGGTCAAACAAAAATTAAATTGACAGAACAAAAATTTTGACTAAAGGAAAAAATATGTTTCAAAAGAAAAACTTTCTATCTGAATCAGCTTCTTAAAATGAGTAACAAAGTATGTTTCCTTTTTCTGTTTGCCTCTATGTGTTTTTGTTATCAGTTTCCTTAGTTTCATTCTCGCTGCACACAGCTTTGCTCTCACTACCAGATTTGCACTTACACTTTCTGGCTTTCTCCTTTGCAATCCCTGAGTTTTTGGTTGCAATTCTGACCCAACCCTTTCGGGTGGGTGGGACTTCTGAGAAGTCCTCTCCCATAGGACAGTGGTTTCTCTTGAGTGACAGTTCAGTGACCTGGAAGTGATGTAGCCTCCAAGACTTTTTTTCCCACCTTAGCCAACAGCATGAATTTTGAGCCCCAAACACATTATTTCTGCTGTCTGTGGAGTCTACTGCGCATCTAAAGTGAGTATTGATTATATATTTTATCTTTTCTTAGTTAATCTGTAAGTTAAGCTACTTTTTAAGTTGGTTTTAACCAGACGTTAGCTCACTAGCTAGCTGCTAAGCAAGCCATCGTGCTAGCCTCAGGACAATGGTCTATTGTTCCAGAGAAACGTATTAAAAACTCATCTTAACATATTCATTTTTATTCCATGTTACTTGGACGGGCTAAACAAGTTCATAGTTCTGCCTGCTCCTTTTTCAGTGAAACAAATGGATTATATGACGTAACTCTGACTGAATAATTATCTAAGTGAGAATGTTTGATAATAAATTTCTTACCAGTATACCGATCTGACATTTGTTTGTCAGAACAGGACAAATCAGATTCAATGTGCTTTCTGTCACCCTAAATCCGATCCATATCTGATGTTTTTATTACTTAAGTTTGTATGAACAGTACATTTACCACTTTTACATCTCTGAAGTGAAACAGATCACATAAGCACTTGAGGAAGTGGAACACTAAATGTAAACAATGGATAAAACAAAATGATATATTTTGTGAGGTACTAGTTAGAGATAGTTGGGAAGCACTGATCTAGGTAATGCGCCACAAGCATTTTTATTTTACAAGCTTGTTTGGCATAATTACTGAATTAATAATTCATATTAGTGGTACATTGAACATTAATATCAATTAACATTAATTAATATTAATATGAATTAATATTAATTGATATTTACATTATAAACATTAATTGATATTAATAATAATTAATATTAACTGATATTAATATAAATTAATATTAATGGTACATGGTACCATTAATATTAATGTTAATACTGACAAGACTGAAATAGTGCTGTTTGTGGGCCTGTTGTAGTCTCTGGACTGAAACCCTCCTGATGATGTCACACAGACTCAGCTATTGTGTCTACCTGGTTCTAGAAGATTCCATTAATTAAAGTTTTTATTTATTAATATAATAATAATAATAATAATAATAATAATAATAATAATAATAATAATAATAATAATGACATCATAAAGGATGTCTTTAATCTGGAAGATTCCATTAATTAAAGTGTTTTATTAATATTAATATTAATACTAGTATAATTACTATTATTATTAATAATAATTACAATATTAATAATAACACTAACAAACACAATAGAAGAGTCTGTGTGTGACATCATAAAGGATGGCTTTAATCTGGAAGATTCCATTAATTAAAGTTTTTATTTATTAATATAATAATAATAATAATGACATAATAAAGGATGGCTTTAGTCTGGAAGATTCCATTAATTAAAGTTTTTATTAATATAATAATAATAATAATAATAATAATGACATCATAAAGGATGGCTTTAATCTGGAAGATTCCATTAATTAAAGTTTTTATTAATATAATAATAATAATAATAATAATAATGACATCATAAAGGATGGCTTTAATCTGGAAGATTCCAGTAATTAAAGTGTTTTATTACAATTGATATTAATACTAATATAATTACTATTATTATTATAATAAAAACAATAATTACAGTACTAATACTACTAATATTAACACTAACAAGCACAATAGAAGAATCTGTGTGACATCATAAAGGAGGGTTCTAACTTGGTACATTCCGAGACTATAAAAGGCCCACGAGCAGCAGCTCCTCTTCAGTCTCTTCAGAGCTACCGCTGAGAACACACCACTGTCTTTAGACACCCAAGTAAGTTTGACCAAACCCTTTTTGTCGCTGAAATGGTGAACAGAAGAAACGTGTCGTGGTACGACTCACATCTACACCCAGGAGAAATGGATTATGAGTCAGACATGGACTTTGTTTCTGACTATGGGGATGAAAACTCAGAACTACTCTCAGAAACTGAAGAGATGGAAAATGATATGTTTGATGAAACAGAACATACATGCGTCTTTGATGCTGAGATAGAGTCTCTTCACTATGAGACTAAATTACCTGCTGAACTGGAGTTCCCTGGATCTGAGACGGTCGACTCTGATTCAGAGACGATGGTCCCTAGACCTCAGACGGTTCAGCAGGAATTAGCTGGTTTTAAACGCCCAAGAAAGCCACAACAACACCTTACTTTCGCTGAAATGATGAACAGCACAGACATCTCCTGGTACGACTTCTGTGTCAACCCTGTAAACATGGAGTATGATTTAGTCATCGACTTTGGTGAGGACGAAAAGTCAGATCTACTTTTTAAAACTAAAGAGATGAAGTCTCAGATGACAGAACAAACATCGGTCTTTGATGCTGAGAAGGAGTTCTCTGAATCTGAGACGGTTGTCCCTAGACCTCAGTCGGTTCAGCAGGAATTAGCTAATTTTAAACGCCCAAGTGAGGCAGAACAAACCCTTACTTTAGTTGAAATGACGAACAGCACAAACATGTCCTGGTACGACTTATGTGTCAACAACGTAGAAGTGGATTATGATTTAGTCATCGACTTTAGTTCTGATGGTGAGGACGAAAAGTCAGATCTACTGTCTACAACTAAAGAGATGGAGTCTGAGATGCCAGAACAAACATCGGTCTTTGATGCGGAGAAAGAGTCTCTTCCTAATGAGACTCATTCATCTGCTGACCTGGAGTTCTCTGGATCTGAGATGGTTGTCCCTAGACCTCAGACGGTTCAGCAGGAATTAGCTGATTTTAAAAGCAGGCAAATCGATGAACTTTTGAAACAAGTGGATCATTTGAAAGAAAAACTGCAGAATACAAATACTTGTTTCAATCAGGAGAAGGAGAAGAGGCTTGCTGCAGAGAACCAGTGTGAAAAACTGGAGGAACGACATTTGGACTTAGAAGCGATGTTTAGCAGAGAAAAAGATGAGAAAGTCAGCGTAGAACAGAAGTTGACCGACAAGCTGGAGAATTTAAAGGAGCAGCTTTCAGAAAAGAACGTTTTCATCAAAAATCTGCAAACAGATTTAGATCAAGAACGTCGGTTCAGACTCGTTAGTGTCCAGGAGCAGAAGAACGCCCAGCGTAAAGTCACCGTCAACGAGAACTATAAGAAGGAGATCAAAGATCTTAAGAAAAGAACCAGTGACCTCTCTGAGATGCTGGACAACATTAAAACGGATATGAAGTACAGAGAGAGGATACTTCTGGATGAGCGAAATGATTTTAAACATCAGCTCAAACAGAAGAATCTGATCTGTGAAAGTTTAGAGAAACGTTTGAACAAAGAAAACGAGCTCCGCCTGACCTGTGAGGAAGAACTCAAAAAAACTAAAGATCAAATGAGTTCAATGAACGGAAATCTCAAGAAGGAGATCAACGATCTGACACAGAGCAACTCAGAACTCAGAGTGGTCGTGGAAAACCTGACCGCTGAAAACGCTGCTTCTCACCAGGAGTTGGCTGAGCAGCAGGAGAGAGTCAAACATCAACTCCAGGATAAATCTGTCGTCTGTGACCTTCTGAAACAAGTGGATCATTTGAAAGAAAAAGTGCAGAATACAAATACTTGTTTCAATCAGGAGAAGGAGAAGAGGCTTGCTGCAGAGAACCAGTGTGTGCTTTACAAGGAGCAAACTAAAGAGATGGAGAACGGTTTGGTTGAGCAGCAACAAAAGCTGGTGGCTTTAGAAAAGCAGTTACAGGAGCAGAAAAACGTGAATGAAGACTTACAAAAAATCTGCTCAGATCTAAAAGGCGAGACAGACGAGTCCCGTTTTTCTGGAGTCTCGAGAGACGTTCTGATCGAGAACTTTGAAAAACTGGAGGAACGACATTTGGACTTAGAAGTGATGTTTAGCAGAGAAAAAGATGAGAAAATCAGCGTAGAACAGAAGTTGACTGACAAGCTGGAGAATTTAAAGGAGCAGCTTTCAGAAAAGAACGTTTTCATCAAAAATCTGCAAACAGATTTAGATCAAGAACGTCGGTTCAGACTCGTTAGTGTCCAGGAGCAGAAGAACGCCCAGCATAAAGTCACCGTCAACGAGAACTTTAAGAAGGAGATCAAAGATCTTAAGAAAAGGAACGGTGACCTCTCTGAGATGCTGGACAACATTAAAACGGATCTGAAGAACGGAGAGAGGAAACTTCTGGAAGAGCAAAATGATTTCAAGCATCAGCTCAAACAGAAGAATCTGATCTGTGAAAGTTTAGAGAAACGTTTGAACAAAGAAAACGAGCTCCGCCTGACCTGTGAGGAAGAACTCAAAAAAACTAAAGATCAAATGAGTTCAATGAACGGAAATCTCAAGAAGGAGATCAACGATCTGAAAAGGAGGAACACAGATCTCAGTCAGACGCTGAGAAGTGGTCAGGCTGTAGTAACTAAATCAGAACAGATGTTTGAGGATCTGCAGAAGTTTAAGCAGCTGCTCCATGAAAAAATGTCCGTCTGTGAAGAACTTAGCAGATGTCTTGACATGGAGAAGCAGCTCAGAGTTAGCTACGAGGCTCAGCTGGACTCTAACAGGGCAATAGTCTGTGAGAACTCAGATCTTAAAGAGCAGATCAAAGATCTGACACAGAGCAACTCAGAACTCAGAGTGGTCGTGGAAAACCTGACCGCTGAGAACGCTGCTTCTCACCAGGAGTTGGCTGAGCAGCAGGAGAGAGTCAAACATCAACTCCAGGATAAATCTGTCGCCTGTGACCTTCTGAAACAAGTGGATCATTTGAAAGAAAAAGTGCAGAACAGAAATACTTGTTTCAATCAGGAGAAGGAGAAGAGGCTTGCTGCAGAGAACCAGTGTGCGCTTTACAAGGAGCAAACTAAAGAGATGGAGAACGGTTTGGTTGAGCAGCAACAAAAGCTGGTGGCTTTAGAAAAGCAGTTACAGGAGCAGAAAAACGTGAATGAAGACTTACAAAAAATCTGCTCAGATCTTAAAGGCGAGACAGACGAGTCCCGTTTTTCTGGAGTCTCGAGAGACGTTCTGATCGAGAACTTTGAAAAACTGGAGGAACGACATTTGGACTTAGAAGTGATGTTTAGCAGAGAAAAAGATGAGAAAATCAGCGTAGAACAGAAGTTGACTGACAAGCTGGAGAATTTAAAGGAGCAGCTTTCAGAAAAGAACGTTTTCATCAAAAATCTGCAAACAGATTTAGATCAAGAACGTCGGTTCAGACTCGTTAGTGTCCAGGAGCAGAAGAACGCCCAGCATAAAGTCACCGTCAACGAGAACTTTAAGAAGGAGATCAAAGATCTTAAGAAAAGGAACGGTGACCTCTCTGAGATGCTGGATAACATTAAAACGGATCTAAAGAACGGAGAGAGGAAACTTCTGGAAGAGCAAAATGATTTCAAGCATCAGCTCAAACAGAAGAATCTGATCTGTGAAAGTTTAGAGAAACGTTTGAACAAAGAAAACGAGCTCCGCCTGACCTGTGAGGAAGAACTCAAAAAAACTAAAGATCAAATGAGTTCAATGAACGGAAATCTCAAGAAGGAGATCAACAATCTGAAAAGGAGGAACACAGATCTCAGTCAGACGCTGAGAAGTGGTCAGGCTGTAGTAACTAAATCAGAACAGATGTTTGAGGATCTGCAGAAGTTTAAGCAGCTGCTCCATGAAAAAATGTCCGTCTGTGAAGAACTTAGCAGATGTCTTGACATGGAGAAGCAGCTCAGAGTTAGCTACGAGGCTCAGCTGGACTCTAACAGGGCGATAGTCTGTGAGAACTCAGATCTTAAAGAGCAGATCAAAGATCTGACACAGAGCAACTCAGAACTCAGAGTGGTCGTGGAAAACCTGACCGCTGAGAACGCTGCTTCTCACCAGGAGTTGGCTGAGCAGCAGGAGAGAGTCAAACATCAACTCCAGGATAAATCTGTCGCCTGTGACCTTCTGAAACAAGTGGATCATTTGAAAGAAAAAGTGCAGAACAGAAATACTTGTTTCAATCAGGAGAAGGAGAAGAGGCTTGCTGCAGAGAACCAGTGTGCGCTTTACAAGGAGCAAACTAAAGAGATGGAGAACGGTTTGGTTGAGCAGCAACAAAAGCTGGTGACTTTAGAAAAGCAGTTACAGGAGCAGAAAAACGTGAATGAAGACTTACAAAAAATCTGCTCAGATCTTAAAGGCGAGACAGACGAGTCCCGTTTTTCTGGAGTCTCGAGAGACGTTCTGATCGAGAACTTTGAAAAACTGGAGGAACGACATTTGGACTTAGAAGTGATGTTTAGCAGAGAAAAAGATGAGAAAATCAGCGTAGAACAGAAGTTGACTGACAAGCTGGAGAATTTAAAGGAGCAGCTTTCAGAAAAGAACGTTTTCATCAAAAATCTGCAAACAGATTTAGATCAAGAACGTCGGTTCAGACTCGTTAGTGTCCAGGAGCAGAAGAACGCCCAGCATAAAGTCACCGTCAACGAGAACTTTAAGAAGGAGATCAAAGATCTTAAGAAAAGGAACGGTGACCTCTCTGAGATGCTGGACAACGTTAAAACGGATCTGAAGAACGGAGAGAGGAAACTTCTGGAAGAGCAAAATGATTTCAAGCATCAGCTCAAACAGAAGAATCTGATCTGTGAAAGTTTAGAGAAACGTTTGAACAAAGAAAACGAGCTCCGCCTGACCTGTGAGGAAGAACTCAAAAAAACTAAAGATCAAATGAGTTCAATGAACGGAAATCTCAAGAAGGAGATCAACGATCTGAAAAGGAGGAACACAGATCTCAGTCAGACGCTGAGAAGTGGTCAGGCTGTAGTAACTAAATCAGAACAGATGTGTGAGGATCTGCAGAAGTTTAAGCAGCTGCTCCATGAAAAAATGTCCATCTGTGAAGAACTTAGCAGCAGTCTGGACATGGAGAAGCAGCTCAGAGTTAGCTACGAGGCTCAGCTGGACTCTAACAGGACGATAGTCGGTGAGAACTCAGATCTTAAAGAGCAGATCAAAGATCTGACACAGAGCAACTCAGAACTCAGAGTGGTCGTGGAGAACCTGACCGCTGAGAACGCTGCTTCTCACCAGGAGTTGGCTGAACAGCTGGAGACAGTCAAACATCAACTCCAGGATAAATCTGTAGTCTGTGAAAACCTGGAAACAGGTTTCACCAACGAACAGAAGCTCAGACTCCAGCTGTACCAGCAACTCCAGGAAACATCTGGCCTGTGTGAGAGCCTGGAAAACCAGCTTAGAGATGAGCAGAAGATCAGACTTGGTTTGGAGACTGAGCTCGCCCAAAACAGAGACGTGGTCAGTGCAGGTCACGATGATCTGACGACCAAACTAAAACAGATGGAGGAAAAAGAAACAAAACTCCGTAAAGCCGTCGCTAAGCTCCAGTTAGATCTGTTTAGAAGCAAAAAGCAGCACGAGGAAGAGTTGGGAATCCTGAAGGAACAAGCCTCTGAACTCGAGTCACTGACTACAAATCTGGAAAGTCAAAATCAGATCTTGAGACAGAAGACTGAACGTGTTAACCCAGATCAGCAAACCAAAGCGATCAGTGAGCAGAACGTGGACGCTGCAGAAGGAAACGAGAGTCTTCCTGCTGAAAACGACTCTTTAGCAGAAAGCCTCGAGTCCCAGAGAGACGCTCCACACTCAGACACAAAAAAACAGGAAAAAGTTTCTGTGTGGAGGCATTTCAAGAAATTTGTAACCCCGGGATGTCTCCGTCAGCACAAAAACAAACAACCTAGCAACTAACCTCCCTGCTAACAAGTCAGAAAAGGCTAATTAGAAGACATCCCCTCTCCTGGTGGCAGCGGGTAGCACTGTCCAGGATGAATGTGAGTAGTTAAACCAGCCACTGGCTCCCCAAAGACCCTGATGTTCTCATTAGGATTTTCTGTTTCAGAGATGGGTGAACTTTCAAACATGTAATCCCCAACACACAAAAAACAAAAACAAAATATAAAAAGCAAATAAATAAATCATAAACTAAAATAAAAGCAAAAAAAAAAAAAAAACTCTCTAACTCTGCCACTGCCGGTCCCAAGCCCGGATAAAAAAGAGGAGGGGAGAGTTTGACTTTCTAACTATGTGACAAAAAACAGATGAAAATAAATAAATATGTTTACAAGAGGGAAAAGGGGGTCACCAACATCAGGGTCGCCAACATCAATCATTATAGTTCATTCTGTGAGAATCATGAATGTGCACCCTAAATTAGTAAAGATCTGGATGAGAGATTTGTAAGATACACCAACTCTAAAGTTTGACCTGACGGCGGCGCTGCAGGAAAGGTCATATCATCACCAAAACCCATTAAGGTTCATAATCTTGTGATCATTAATGTTGTTAGAAAATCTGAGAAGATTTGTATCAAAACTTTTCAAGATACATTTATTTTAACTTTGGTCTGGTGATTTCAGTTTGGCCTGATGGTGGCGCTAGAGAACAGGTCAGCTTTCACTTTCAAGGGCTTATTTATATATTTTACATAAATACATACAATGTATTCAAATTTAACATAGAAAACCGTTAAGCGTAGTTTCTGGTCAGCAGAGGGATACAGAGTGCTGTCCAATGTGAAGCTGCTAAAGATTTTGTGAAAAATCACTGAAACCAGTTTTAAAGCTATAGCTAAAAGTGTTAACTCTTTAGCATCGCTTTAATAACCCTTTAAAAATTGTGCAATTCTGTTGTTGTTTTGATTTTAGAAATTATATTTTTCTTTTAAAGCTGTTACAGCAAATCTACAAACAAGCTTTGAACACAAACACGGCCATGGCACACTCCCCCCTCCCCCCCCCACCCCCACCCCGGGTATCTTCCCTGAGACGCTTCTGCCAGAACTAGTAACCCACAACGCCAGAGGAAAAGAGATGGGGCTAAACACCCATCACCGTTTTCTAGGTCTAAATGTCTTTTGTTGTCCGCGACTTCAAGTGGTGTTTTTTTTTATAGGGACTCTAGTAGTTAGTCCTAAAGTAGAAGTGGTAGCAGCCGACTGTTTCTCCTTCTCTGATATTGTTGAGCTGAGAAACTCACACCAGTGGCGTTCTGTTGATAAATACGTGAGTGTGTTTTGAATGCAGGTCCCTGGGAAGTGCAGTGGTTTGGCTAGTCCGACATCCGGATGATCCAATAATTGCTTTAGGTCTGAAACGTGTTACTGGCAAAGGATTTTAGATAAACGCCAAAGAACCACTTTGAATTTTTTTTAATCTCCACAATTTATTTATTGTGTTAGAACATTTTTAAAAGGCATGAAAAAATGTTTTAAGCTAATTTGTTTTCTAAATTTGCCATTGCAGCTTTACTGTTTACTAGTTAGCCTCATTTGTCCCTTAATTGGCTTGTTTGTGTTGTTTCAAATTTGTCTGTGTTTACCGTGCTGCAAAACTGACATCTTTCTATATTCTAGGGTGGAACTGATTGATTTTGCTTGTAGACTGTCATTTTTCACTAAAACAGCTCTCAATCTGTTTGTTGTTCTGACTTCCAGGATTGGCTCACCCACCAGGATAGTGGTCCTCCAAAGGCAGTCAGTGTTTTCCTCTTTCTGTCTTTTATCTACACATTAATATCATCAGCATTACGATGGAGTCATTTTGACCCTTTTCAGCCACGTCACCTGACGTAGGGTCTGCCATGGTGGATGTCAATAGTGAGTTACACAAATATTCAACGGAGGGGGAAAGTAGCGATTTAGACTGCTTTTCTTTATGCCAGGTTAGCCTGGCGTCCACTAGTTGGGGCAAATTGAGTATGGTATATAAAAGTTAGTTAGCTAGCTTGGGATCCAACCTTTACTTTCCCTATGCTCCAGGGTTCATAGATTTGAACAAGTGGTCGATTTAGTCAGAATTCACCTGGGAGGATTTATACCGTAATATGATTACACTGGATGATTTACAAATTTACAAAAGTTAGGATCCCTACTAGTTTTTGTAACTGGCTGGGTCACCAGGACCAGGTGCTACTCTCATATCTGGGAAACAGATATCTTATAATGGAGAAGCTCATCATTACATATAAATAATGTAATTTTAACACACCTAGTCCTTATCTTTAGAGGCGCTATAGAAATGATATTTTCTTCTTCTTCTTCTGACACAAGTCAGTGACTCGATGAGATCTGCTGGGTTTCCTTCGATAGGAAAATTATAACTAATTAGAATAATGAGGTGAACTCAGGACACGGTTTAATACGAACGGTTCAACTGCAGTGTTGGCTTGTTGAGATGACTGATGTTTAACTTGGTGCTACATAAATAAAATGAACTGAATAACTAATCTGAGAAAAGCAGCTACCGCTTCCCCCAAAACCCTTAAAGAGAAATCAGACCTGGTTTCTCTGATTACCCAGCGACTGCTGCAGGTACCAAAACAGCAGGAGAGCTAAATAATACTTGAATAACTGGAAAAATCCTGAAGAAAGTCTGAAAGGGGCCGGCCCGCTGGCACAAGATAGAGGCCATGTGTCATCCAGGCCCAAAATGGTAATGGGTAAATGGCCTGTATCTGATATAGCACCTTCTAGAGTCCTGGAACCCCCCAAGGCGCTTTACAACACAACCAGTCATTCACCCATTCACACACACATTCACACACTGGTGGGGATGAGCTACGGTGTAGCCACAGCTGCCCTGGGGCGCACTGACAGAGGCGAGGCTGCCGAGCACCGGCGCCACCGGTCCCTCTGACCACCACCAGCAGGCAACGTGGGTTAAGTGTCTTGCCCAAGGACACAACGACAGTGACAGACTGAGCGGGGCTCGAACCTGCAACCTTCCGATTACGGGGCGAGCACTTAACTCCTGTGCCACCGTCGCCTACAAAATCATGATATCACACTCACCATGGCCGGGCCGCTCGTGTTGATGCCGCTCGAGCCGTTGGCGGAAGAATAATAAAGAAAGCACATCCTTCCTTTTAATGTCCTGGGGTCTCATTTATCAAAGATGGCATAGAATCCTTACTAAAACCGTACTTAAGCTCAGCAAAAAAAAAAAAAATGTACTTACGCCAAGTAGGTTTGTGATCTATCAAACATGGAGGACGCACAGCTGCACGTAATCTCCGCTTCATAAATCGGAGACTAACGAGAATGTTTCTCAGCTGCATTTTAGTCACATCCCGCCCTCACCACGCCCACTTACTGCCATAAATGGTCAATGCAAAGTGCCTTGTGGATCTCATGCATATACATAAGCTGGCTGTTGCAGTGCTCCACCAATGACGATGGTGACCGTAGATCAAAACAGATCAAGGAAGCGCGATTTCACAGAAGCAGAAGTTGAGGTACCTGTGGGTGAGGTGGAGAAATGAAAGGAAGTACTTTTGCAAAACAAATAAGAGAAAATCCACGGAGTGGCACAGCGTTGCTGAAGCTGTCAATGCTGAGTTCTTCAGAGAGATCTGTGGCGGATAAAAAAAAATGGTCCAATCAGGATTCGATCCCCAGACTCCCGGCCGAAAGTCACGCGCACTAACCCGTCACCCAAACGGAGATCTCACTTGTCCAGGTAGCCAGGGCGCATGATCAATCGGGTCACACTGACAGGACACACACTGTCACAGATGCATGACGTTCTGTCTCAATCTGTCCCCCTGCTGATATTCTGCATTCCGTATTCTGGCTTCAGGCTGTGTGTGTGTGTGTGTGTGTGGGGGGGGGGGGGGGGGGGGGGTCATGTTGTGTGTGAAAACAAAGCGGTACAAGTGATAATGCTGCAGGATTTCATAATTGTATCCTTCTCAGCAGCAGCACTGCAGGTGCTCTCCATGTCCAACATGTGCATAAGCCGGGTCCTTAAGCCTGATTCATGCTTCTCCATCTGCGTCAGTGCGGAGACACGCAACGCCCTTGCGTGCCTGCTGGAGAGCTCCGCAAGGACGGACGAAGTCAAGCTCTCTTTTCTAATCATCCGTCAGTCGAGACGGACAACGCAAGCTTGTGATTGGTCAGGACGCCGCTGTCGTTTACTCAGCCGAGGATAACTAGTGGCAGACATGGAGCAGCTTGAAGAATACCTCACGAAAAAAACTCTAAAAACATGAACGTTTAATTCTCCCGTGACTGGAGGAGTGAAAAGATACGCAGCAAGCGTTTTATTTGTGGACGGAAATGACAGGAAACGTGGGTTTAGAGGTGGCGAGCGCATGAAGAGGTGGAGGAGGGTGAGAGACAAATTTGTCTGTGTTAAAAAGTCTCTTATATACAAAAAAACATAATACAAACACACGATCTTGGACCGATACATGACAGGATACCACAGAACAGCGCTACGCCCTCTGTTGTCCTGCCGGACAATTGCTTTGCAACACTCTCCAGGAGACGGAGAAGCATGAGAGCAAAACGCTTCCATCAATCCGTGAGTGTCTGTCCCTTGCGGAGCTGACGGAGAAGCATGAACCAGGCTTTAGTCAACTTAAAGTTGCGCACATTTTTCCACTGTTTTCTTTCGTAGATCCCAAAGTTTGCGTGGAAAGTTGCTTATGCAGTTTTCCGACACCGTTTTGTGCGTTAAGCTTGATAAACGAGGCCCCAGGTCTCTTAATTAATCTTAAAATGTAGCAGTCCTTCATAAACTGAAAGCAAAAGAAAATAACACAAAAACACACAAAAAACAAATTTTTGAAGTAAAAACACCCTCAATTATTTCAAATAAAGAAAATTTTAGAAGAAATAAAGTAATGCATCTTCATTCAGGTCTAAAAGGTACATTTTTCTTTCTGTAGGTCTTGGTACAGCTTTTGCTCTCCTCAGCAACACAAGGAGTTAAAGGCACTGCTGGAAGTGAGACAGGGTTCGATTCCCTGTGGTGCCCTGCTGACACAAACAAAAGTTGTTTAAGGTAAACCTACATTTTTCTAAGGTGTGAGCCATGTTTTCCGATAGCTTTGTAACACCTGGGGTTATTAGGAATGCTTTTATTAAGTTTACTGAGGTATTCTAAACTAGACGATCGATGAAACTAATGTCCAGTTCTTTTTTTCTTTTTTTTTTACCGTGTCCTGTCTGGCTGTGAAGCAAACAGAATTGATGTCTGAATGATGGTAACAAGCCTTACAGATTTACTCTCAGGTGGAGCATCAAAGCTTCTGCTTTTAATGTCACGCCTGATACTTAAAACTTTATTGTTGTTGTTTTTGAATGCTTTGTAATTCCGAACAGACACGGAGACAGAGGTGAAAGAGAAAGGAAATGACAAAAGGTGGTGGTGGTGGGGGTGTGAAAGTCAAATGTAAATGTGCGTATTATTGTTGTGTATGGTTGTGGGATTGTTTCCTATCATGTAATAAAGCCATATTTGTTACACATGTATTGAGTAAAGGTAAATGACCACAGTACCACGACGCCTCGCTCTGGACCCAGAGACCGATATTGAAGTAGAAGTCCATGATGAACCATTGAGACCACATGATGCTGATGGACATTTCAGATGGGTAATTTAAAATTATTTTTAGATTTTTGTTGCCAAGCATTTTGTGCAATTGACTCTCATGTAAACAATATTTTTCTAATTAGCTTAAATATTAGCATACTTTAATTTATTTTGGGTTTTCGTAACTGTCCGAGACCGAAATAGTAGTTTTTACTATTTTCCACCAGATGGGGTACATTACTCCATATTTTCTCAAAATAAGCACCCAGAAGAAGCAAATGTAAAGAGAACAGTTAGAGGGCCAAGCACTGAGCCCTGGGAAACACCACATTTAAGGAGCCTACTTGGAACAAAGTCACCAACACTGATAGACGCGCACCCATTCAACAAATATGATTCAAAACGGCTCAGGACAATGCCTCTTAATTCCACACAATTCCTAATTTCCTACAAAATTCAGCAGCTCGTGTCCTGACTAAGACCAGGAGGCAGGAGCACATTACACCACTCTTAAACAAGCTGCATTGGCTTCCTGTACATTTCAGGATTGATTTTAAGGTTCTTTTAATGGTTTTTAAATGTCTTAATGGTCTTGGGCCTTCTTATCTCTCAGAACTGCTTCATAAATACGAGCCTTCGCGGTCCCTGCGCTCCTCTGGCAGCCATCTCCTCGTCATTCCAAAAGTCAGGACACATTCCCAAGGCGAGGCATCCTTCCAGTTTTATGGCCCTCGCCTCTGGAACAGTCTGCCAGAGAACCTCAGGGCTGTAGAGAGTGTTCTTGTTTTTAAGACCAGGCTCAAGACTCACCTTTTTAGTATAGCTTTTAAGTGATTTTGATCTATTTTAGCCTGTTTTTACCTCTTTATTTATTTATTTATTTATTTATTTATTCATTTTTAACATATATTTTATCAGTGTTTTATTACTTACTACTCTTAATTAAATAACACATATTTTCTTACACATTTATTTTAACTTGTAATAATTATTAGTTTTAACCAGTCTTAATACTTTGTGGTACAATATTTTATAAATGTAATTATATGTTTCTACTTGGTCATCTTTTATCACTGTGTTTTATTTAGATTTTTATTTATCAGCTGTTTATGTGTAATTTGTTTCTTAACTGTTATCTTAGTAAACTAGTGTTTCCTCTGTGGGGGCCGGCTGCCTCGGGGGCAGCAGTGGGCTGTGGCGGCCGGGGTGCTTCCCATGTCTACTCTTGCCAAGGCTATTGCTGCCAGTCTTGGTGCTCCCGGTGCAGTTGGTTCCTTTCATGGCGTTTTCATCTTCTTTGTATCTACTACATCTGCACCCAGCCAGCTGCCCTTTCTCTATTACGTGTGTGTGTGTGCGTGTGTTTGTGTGTTTGTGTGTGTGTGTGTGCATGTGTGTGTGTGTGTGTGTGCGTGTGTGTGTGTGTGCGTGCATGTGTGTGTGTGTGCGTGTATGTGTGTGTGCGTGTGTGTGTGTGTGTGTGTGTGTGGGTGTGTGTGTGTGTGTGTGTGTGTGTGTGCGTGTGTGTGTGTGTGCGTGCGTGCGTGTGTGTGTGCGTGTATGTGTGTGTGCGTGTGTGTCTGCGTGCGTGTGTGTGTGTGCGTGCGTGCGTGCGTGTGTGTGCGTGTGTGTGTGTGCGTGCGTGCGTGTGTGTGTGCGTATGTGTGTGCGTGTGTGTGTGTGTCTGCGTGCGTGTGTGTGTGTGTGTGCGTGTGTGTGTGTGTGCGTGCGTGTGTGTGTGTGTATGTGTGTGTGTGTGTGTTGTGTGTGTGTGTATGTGTGTCTGCGTGTGTGTGTGTGTCTGCGTGCGTGTGTGTGTGTGTGTGTGTGCGTGTGTGTGTGCGTGTGTGCGTGCGCATGCGTGCGTGTGTGTGTGTGTGTGTGTGTGTGTGTGTGTGTGCAGGAGTTTGCATCTGCTTGGGACGGGATTGAGGGTGGGAGGAGGGAGAAACAAAGGGGATATCTTATGTGAATCTGTGTGGGAGGGGTGGGAAACCGACTGCTGTCTGGTTGTTTTTAAGATCGTAAAGCGCTTTTAGCTGCATTTGCATGAAAAGCGCTTCATAAATAAATTTTGATTGATTGATTGATAGTCTTTCATAGTTGACATGACATCTTATATCACCAAACAGACACTTGTCCTTTTATCTGTGACTTTCTCAAAAATATTTTTTCCTTTAATTATTGAGCAATTTGAAGTTGTTTCTCAGTAAAAATGTACTATCATCTTTTACAGTGCAACAGCTTGTAGAGAGAACAAAAACACGTCTCATATTGCTAAGTTCCTGTTCTGGTCAAGCTTGCTCACATCTACTTCAGCCCCCCTGTGGTTTCGTCAGCACCACTTTTCCACCCTGACAGGATGTCTCTGTGGTCGTATTTGTGATGCAGGTTTTCTGTTTCTGTTTTCCAGTAACACCTCTGACCTGTCACATCTTATTCACAAGATAAAAACATCACAAATCCATCTTACGTTTTCATAATGTCGGTTCACATCACCGCTGCATCTGAAGCTAATTAGATCAGAAAGAGTTTGAAGATGGTGGACCTGTCGGCTGAGGCTGTTGGGAGTCTCACTTTTCTTTCTGTTTCGCTCTAAACTTTAAAAAGTTTCAAAGTTTGATTCTCACATAACGTGTCAAACTGAAAAGAACTTTTTTTTCTAAATATGTTTGAAAACGGAATGCTGTCCAAAAGATTTGCAGTCTACTGCGACCATGTGAACACACTGGCCTAGGTCCTAGTGTAGTGACAAACAATAGACAGAGTTGTAAGTAGAAGAGAGAGAAAAACTGTCTGTTCCCAGGATTTGGTTTTGATGGGCATCAACCTCTTACCAGAAGGAAGCAACAGAAACAAAGTTCCCTCCCTTTTGACTTAAAAGGGACTTTACGGAGTTTTGAATTTTTATGCTCATGATTGCCCCCTCAGGCCAAAAGCGTAACAGCAGCTTCAATAGTAGACTCGTGCACGAGGCGCGCATGCTGTACGTGCACACTCCTTAATGAAAATAACAGCTGAGACAGTCAGCTCTGTGTGTATGTGTGTGTGTGTGTGTGTGTGTGTGTGTGTGTGTGTGTGTGTGTGTGTGTGTGTGTGTGTGTGTGTGTGTGTGTGTGTGTGTGTGTGTGTGTGTGTGTGGCCCGGAGGACAGAGAACAGGAGAACGTGCAGCTAATTAATGAAATAATGTGGTTCTGTAGCTTTCTCTTCAGCACAGCCGACAAAGGTTTATGATGGGTCAGTCCTCCTGCATGCTCAGATCATTCCCTTCCCTTGCTTGAAAAATTGTTCCAAAATGAAAGTTGAACCCACATCTTTTTTATCTGTGGATTCAATGCCGTTCGGCGAGTCTCAAATAAAAATTTGGGCATCTTACTGTAAAAAAAATACCATTAATGTAAAAAATATACTCTAAATAAACTATGTTCACACCCAGAATCAAACCCAGGTCTTCTGCACGAAAGCCCGACGTGTTACTAGGCGAGCTAACGCGCCAGAGATGTCACTTGTATCTGTACCACTTAAGAACGGTTCGGAGGGCGATGCCTGAGCGTGAACGCGCATGAAGCAGCCTGCTCGACCCGAGCATCTCTCTTTTTCTGTGATTTTACAGAAAAACAGGCAATCACAGTAAAAATGCCAGGGCTCATTCTACAGGACCAGGGCATTGCAGGAGAATGTATGAAGAAGACATTTATTATTTCTACACATGTTTTGGCTGCCAAACTTCCTTAGAGTCCCTTTAAGTGTGAAAAGTCTGATGGTGAACCAATGGTAAATGGCCTGTTTTTGTATAAGACCTTCTTAAGCTTGGTTTATGCTTGACGCCTCCGCGAGGTTCGCACGGGTCCGTGGGGCAAAGTTGCGTAATTTTAACAACCACGCCCCTCCACCGCGCCTCTGCACGGCCCAAACTTTCCGTACCGCGCACCTGCCAGAGGTGCCCACAGTATTAACTTCTCCAAGAGGAATGACTGTTGCTGCGGTTTGTTCAATCATCCAACATCGATCTCTGAGGGATGCATGTGTGTGTGTCAACAAAGAACCGGAGCACACACCGACCCTAGAGCACACTGGCTGTTCTGGGAGTCTCCAGAACTCAGATTATATCGGGCTACAGTCGGAGGCGTTGCATGCAGTTGAGCAGGGCAGAATTTAGCCACAGAGGCGAGGGGCAGAAATGATATTCATTATCCTTGAACGTCTTGCCTCTGATTGGTTAACAGCAACTCAACTCTTTCACTGCCTCCATTCGCTTTGCAACGTTGATGTTTCATCTCCACAAATGACACAAGCCTGTTGTGTAGTTTCTATCGCTGATGAAAAACCTCATCTCTGAACATCCTCGGATGACTTTGTTTGGGGACAAATTGGTCTACTTGTGGCTCATCTGTCTAAAAATAACTGTGAATGAAAAACTGTGTTTGGTCACACATCATCAACTTACACCCTGCCTGTTTCCGTGAAATGAGCACGAAGGGCTGTACCTTCCCCGAGGAGAAGCTCCACTCTGACACCACAGTTGTTTTTCCGTTTCCTTGTTTGTTTTTTGGCTTTTTACAGCTTGCGGTCGTTTGTGGTGTGAAACTGAAGCTTCTCCTGCTTGATGCTGCAACCCAGCATGCCCAACTCAGGGGAATCTCCATTTCCACACACAACTGGTATCAGTGTGTATCTTAAGACATGAAGTCTTCACATTTTGTCCTGTCACAGTCTTTAAGAGTAACTTAAAATTTAAGATTTTGTATGTGCAGACTTTTATTCACATGCTGCATAGTGTGCACAAAATGACTGAATCAGATGAAACTCGCATTAAGTAAAGAAAAACAGCTTTGACATTTTTAAGATGTAAAGTTTTCCTTTGGTCCGACTGTCCTGGTGCTCATGTTGTCACAATAATTGTGTAAAGAAACAATTAAATAGTTTTGCAGCAACTGCACCGACCCAATCTGCGCCTCCTGTCACCAGAGTGAGCAGACCTTCTGGACCAGAACAACTCATGGAACATCTCACACGCCTAGCCAATCACAAACAACCTCGGCCTCCTAAAAGAGTTAGGTGGATCCATCAGCAAACACCACAGAGGCTGAAGAGCATCAGAGATGATGCGACATTTCATTATCCTTTTACTTTTACAGAAAACATGTGAGTATACTTTATATATATATATATATTTACACTTCTGCATACACTAATCTGACTTTAAAGATGTAATGAAGTTTTTAAACTTCAACGTCAACTACAGTTGCTGGAATCACTTATTTATTTCTGGTTTGATTCAAAACACCCAAACTTTATTTTAATATTAAATAAGGTGTTCTGGGACTTTATGCAGCACTTTAGGTTTATTTGTCGTTTGTTCACTTCACTCTTTTTTTTTTCACTTAATTAATTGGAAAATTTCTACGTTTGCACGTTTTGCATAAAAGGTCCGACAAATCTGACATTCAAAAACGAATAGGCAAGCCTGAAAATACAAACAGAACACCGTGTAGCACGTACAGATGCCTGATCCGTGGGAATCAAAGCCTTTCAAGCTTGATTATGCGGTATAAATCTAAAGAACGGAGATTTACAAATGTGTTTTCACAACACATTACAGGTAACACTTTGCAAAGTTGCTGTTAAAACTTCAGCAAACACTTGAAGAGCTTCATTACTCTTCACTTTTACTCTCTTGCTGCTGCCGTTAACGCTGAATTGAGACTGACGTTGCAAGGCACACTCTTGCCTCCAACACCATCGATGGAGAAGGGCAGCAAATTGGTTCAGAGTAAAAACAAAGCATATTTATCAAGAGTTTTCAAGCTCATTTTGATCAGTAACTGTGATTTAACTAATCATTTAACCTAGTTACTGTGACCTGAATATAAATAAAATGATATAATGCTGTAACATGTTAAACCACACCTGATAATGATGCGTCACAGTGAAATGCAGTCTAAACTGAGTTCTATAACACACCAAACCTAAATGTTAGGCAGCTTATAGAATAGGATAGAATAGAATACCTTTATTGTCACTAATTGTAAAATGAGATACAGAGCATCTCCTACTCAGTGTAAAAAACCTGCTGGGGGGGGGGGGGGGGTACAGTTCTGCAGCGCTATATACACATGGACAGTAATAGTGTTATGTATATACAGTCATTGCACATAGAATTGGTATAAATAGATAGTGGTGGTCAATAGAGGAAGTGGGAAGTGGGGGGCTGTGTTATCGGTGCATGTGTGAGTTCAGGGTGGTTATTGCTTTGGGGAAGAAACAGTTTTTGAGTCTGTGGGTTTTTGCATTAATGCACCTGTGGCGCTTCCCTGAGGGAAGCAGTCTGAACATGTTGAAGCCAGGGTGGGAGCTATCCCTGATGATGTTTGCTGCTCTACTGAGGCAGCGGGACGAATACATGTCCATCATGGAGGGGAGAGGACAGCCGATGATCCTCTGTGCTGTCTACCACACTCTGAAGCCTCACTCTATCCGCCTCACTCTTTGCGCCTCACTCTATCCGCCTTGGTGCAACTGCCATACCATACCGTGATGCAGTAGGTTAGCAGCCTCTCAATGGACAAGCGGTAGAAGGTCAGCAGCAGGTTAGAGTTCAGCTTGTACTTCCCGAGGACTCTCAGGAAGTGCAGCCGCTGTTGGGCCTTCCTGATGACCGCTGAGAGGTTTTCCGCCCAGGAGATGTCAGCAGAGATGAGGACACCAAGGAGCATTGTTATGCTAGATGTTTTTGTGCTTTTAAGTGTAAGAAAGAAAAATGAACCTCATCTGGATTCATTGCTCATTCAGTGAAATATTTCAAGCCTTTTGCTCTTGTTGGTTTATGATGGCTTACAGAAAACTCAAACCTCAGTGTCTCAGAGAACTGCAATATTACTAAATATCATTAAACACCTTTGACCAACATGTCCCACATCATCACTGAATGAGGAAAATTCACTCTGGAATGGATCTGGGTCACTCCACTCTTCTTTCGGGCTCTGGAACCCTGATTTCCAAGTAATTTGCAGACAACCTTTAACTTTCCTTTGAAGAGGATTGTGGGACACCACACAGTGGTTCTCTTTGGCAGGGACAAAGGTGAATAACCCTAACACCAACCCTAACATCAGAATCAAACACCCGAGCAACTCCCATTAAGATGTGGGTTCATGCCACAACCTTGATCTAAACTTTTCTTACTTTTTTGTAATTTTTCTCATTTTTATGAAAAAAAAATTCATCATTTTTTAAAATCTTTATTTTTAGCTCTTGTGAAGCACCTCATGATTTTTATCTTGAGAGGTGCAATAGAAATGATTGTTTTCTTTCTTCTTTCTTACTTACCATCAGTTGGATTTTTACTTGTTCAATTGTTTCACTTTAGGGCCACTCCCCCTAAACATTTATCTTTTATTTATTTATTTATTTTTTTTATTTTTTTATTTTTTTAGAAGAAGTTTATTTTTCATTCAGTTAAAAAGTCAATATCTTTGAATAATTCTCTTAAACATGCAGTTCAGTAAGTTAGACCAGATCATTTAAAGCTTTTCCAAATTTCAGCAATTTGAAAAAATGTTCAAGTGCAAACATGCAACAGATAAAAATACATGCAAATCAACCTTGCATATAAAAATAATAAATAAATAAATAAAATCTCGCTGTGACATTCTGTGTAGAACTGGACAAAGCAAAGTGGATGCGTGAAACAGCTTTTCAAGTGATTTTCCTACAATACATACACAATGACAATATGTTAAATTTGTTGTCCAAGTGTTATTGGAACATAAACATTTCTATTAGTGAGGAGCTTTGTGTACGTTACGTATAATGTGACATATTTAGCCCAGTTCTACACAGAAATGTCTAATTTTATCCTCAAAGTAAAATGTAAAGTCAAGTCCAAGGCAAGTAATTACAATGCAGTGCAAGACAGCAGCCAGTAGGAGAGGAAGTATCCCAGGATGCACTGGGTGGTCGGAGAACAGGCTTTGAAGTGGGGCAGCAGTGCAGCGATGGGGTTCTGAGTGGTGTTCTAACCCTAACACTACTCAGAACCCCTAAACATTTTTCTAATCCTAAATACCCTTACAGACATATGTCCACTCCCCCTAGAGATTGTTCTAAACGTAAGGCCACTCCCCCTAGAGATTGTTCTAAATGTAAGGGCACTCCCACCTAGAGATTGTTCTAAGCCTAAGGCCACTCCCCAAGAGATTGTTCTTAACGTAAGGCCACTACCCCTAGAGATTGTTCTAAACTTAAGGCCACTCCCCCTAGAGATTGTTCTAAATGTAAGGCCACTCCCACCTAGAGATTGTTCTAAACCTAAGGCCACTCCCCCTAGAGATTGTTCTAAACCTAAGGCCACTCCCCCTAGCGATTGTTCTAAACTTAAGGCCACTCCCCCTAGAGATTGTTCTAAACCTAAGGCCACTCCCCCTAGCGATTGTTCTAAACTTAAGGCCACTCCCCCTAGAGATTGTTCTAAACCTAAGGCCACTCCCCCTAGAGATTGTTCTAGACTTAAGGCCACTCCCCCTAGAGATTGTTCTAAACTTAAGGCCACTCCCCCTAGAGATTGTTCTAAATGTAAGGCCACACCCACCTAGAGATTGTTCTAAGCCTAAGGCCACTCCCCCTGGACTAGTTTCTAGACTTATGGCCACTCCACAATGCCTCCAAACACCACCATCTTCCCACCACACACACACACACACACACACACACACACAGGCTTTACTACTACTACTAATAATAATAATGCATTGAACTTATATAGCGCTTTTCTAGACACCCAAAGACGCTTTCACACACTCTCACATTCACACACTGCTAGTGATGGTAAGCTACATGTAGCCACAGCCGCCCTGGGGAGGTCTGACAGAGGCGAGGCTGCCATTTGGCGCCGTCGGCCCCTCTGACCACCACTAACACAGGCAAGTTGGGTGAAGTGTCTTGCCCAAGGACACGACAGCAGGATACCCCTGGCGGGAGATGGAATCGAACCCATGACCCTCCAATCATGAGTCAACCCGCTCTACCACCTGAGCTACTGCTGGCCCTCTGTATTCCTCTCCCTCCCCTCTCTACTGAGCACAGCCTATGAAGCCTAATTTCTGATTCTCCATCAGCTCCACAAGAAAAAGACGCACACACATTGGTGGAGATGTTATACCTTTGGACTTCTCCGTCACATGGGGAGTGCTGCAAAGCGATTCCTTGCCAGGACAACAGAGGGCGTATCACTTTTTCTTGGGCATCCTGCCCCCATTACAGTCATGTATCTGATCCAAGACAGAGCATTTACTACGGTGTTTATATTATGTTTTTGTATTTTAGAAGAAGAAGAAGAAAATATCATTTCTATAGGGCCTCTCAAGATAAAAATCACGAGGTGCTTCACAAAAACAAAAAATGTAAAAATAAAAAATAAAGAATTTAAAAATGGTTAAAAATATATTTAAAATGAGCAAAAAATAGACTGTTGTGATTAAAAAGTGTTAAGAAAGAGAGAGAGTGAACAGGAAAGAGGGAAATCAGTGGATCCTGAGGAAGGTGGAATAGGTGGGGAGAGCAGAATAAAGAGAGAGAGGTGAAGAAGGTCATACAAAAGCCAGCTTGAACAAGTGAGTCTTCAGCTGCTTTTTAAAGGAGACCACTGAGTCCACTGATCTCAGGCTCAGGGGGAGAGAGGTCCAGAGTCTGGGGGCCACAGCAGCAAATGATCTGTCACCTCTGACCTTTAGCCTGGTGCTGCACAACCAGTAGGCTTTGATCACTGGACCTCAGGGACCTGCTGGGGGTGTAGGGACTAAGAAGATCACCAATGTAAGATGGTGCTTGTCCATGTAAGGCCCTATAGACCAGAACCAGGATCTTGAAATGAACCCTGAAGTTGACTGGCAGCCAGTGAAGCTGGAGGAGAAGTGGGGTGATGTGGGTGTGTTTGGAGGACTTGGTCAGAAGCCGAGCTCAGGCATTCTGAACCACCTGTAGACGGTTCAGGGAGGTTCTGCTCAGACACGTGAAAAGAGAGTTACAGTAGTCTAAGCATGAGGAGATGAAGGTGTGGAGAACTGTCTCAAGTTCAGAGCGGGACAGAATGGGACTCAGCTTAGCAATGTTCCTGAGATGGAAGAAGGAAGAGCGAACAAGAGAACTGACATGAGAATCCAGGGTGAGAGCTGGGTCAAAGGTCACGCCAAGGTTCCTGACAGAAGGTTTGGTGTGAGAAGCAAGCTGACCAAGAGAGTCTCTGACTTTGGGAACCAGCTTGTCTGGGGCACAGATGAGGATCTCAGTCTTATCTTCATTCAGCTGAAGAAATCTCCCACCATCCAGGTTTTGATAGAGTCTAAGCAGGTGTGTAACAGCTGCAGCTTAGACATCTCATGGGGCTTAAAGGAGATGTACAGTTGGATGTCATCTGCTTAAAGATGGTAGGAGATTCCTTTGAAGGAGCTCAGGATGTGCTGAAGAGGAAGCAGATAGAGGAGGAAGAGCAGAGGCCCCAGCACAGAACCTTGTGGGACACCATGGGTAAGGGAGGTGGTGGAGGACCTAAACTTGGAGATGGCACAGTAAAGGAGCGCTTAGAGAGATAAGAGAACCACTCCAGAGCAAATCCTGATAGGCCTACCCAGTCTCTCAGCCTCTCCAGTAGCAGGTGATGGTCAACAGTGTCAAAGGCTGCAGTCAGGTCCAGCAGGACCAGAACAGAACAGTCCCCTGCATCACTGTGAGTCAGAAGGTCATTAGAGACCCTAAGAAGAGCTGTTTCAGTAGAATGAGCTCTACGAAAACCTGACTGGAAGCTATCATAGATGTTATGTTCATCAAGAGCAGCTGTAAGTTGTTTAGCCACAACCTTTTCCAAGATCTTGGAGATGAACGGAAGTTTAGAGATGGGTCTGAAGCTGCTATGGAGAGAAGGGTCAGGACTCGGTTTTTTAAGAAGCGGGTGGATTACAGCGTTCCTAAAGTAAGCAGGACCTGACCAGAGACCAGAGAAGCATTAATTATAGAGAGCACGCTGGGACCGATGGACTGAAAAGCACTTTTAAACAAAGATGAGGGTAAGATGTGGAGGGGGCATGCAGAGGTCTTCATAGAGTTAACTAGTTTGGTTAACTCAGGCAAAGAAACAGGAGCAAAGCTATCTAGGATGATGGGCCTGGTTGGAGTCGGGAGAGGCGGCGATAAGGCTGAAGGAGAGATGCTAGATCTAACCTTATTGACTTTGTCCACAAAGAAAGACAGAAAGTTCTCACAGTCTAGCAGAGTGGACGGAGGCTGTAGGAGAAGCAGGAGAGACGATGCTGCTGATGGTGTTAAACAGCACCTTGGGGTTCCCTTTGCTCTGGGACACCAGGTTGGAGAAATAGGAAACCCTCGCATCTCTGACTGCAGAGTTAAAGGATGTCAGAAGATCCTTTAGGTGCAGCAGATGGACGTGGAGACTTTTTAACGCGGACAAATTAGTCGCTCATTCTCCTCCACCTCTTCATGCGCTCACCACCTCTAAACTGCATGTCTCTGTTCCGAAGCAGACCGAGAAGCATAAATTAGGCTTAACACTCGAGCACTGCTTGGGTTTTAGCTAAACTAGGCACATGCACTCAACAGGGCACAGCCAGTGTTCGGAAAGTTCATTTAACAAAATGAACTAACTCATCTTTTCATTTTGTTTGTTTTCATATACAGTCCAGGCCAAAGGTGTGGACACACCTTCTAATTCAATGTGTTGTCTTTATCTTCATGACCATTTACATTGGTAGATTCTCACTGAAGGCATCAAAACTATGAATGAACAATGAGGAGTTATGGACTTAACCAGAAAAGGTGAAATAACTGAAAACATGTTTTATATTCCATTTTCTTCAGAAAAGTCGTCCTTTGCTCTGATTACTGCTTTGCACACTCTTGCTGTTCTCTCAGCGAGCTTCAAGAGGTAGTCACCTGATCATATAAGGGTTTTGAAAAGCTTTTTCTCTGAAACGCATTAAAAGTGATTAGAAAGGTTTTCTGAGTTCTAGACTTGAAAAGTTACTCAGAAAGTGGAGAACTGTTACTCAAGGCCAATTTAAACAATTGAGAAGTCTGGATGTTTAATGTTACAGGTCATGGAGACATTTGGAGTTATTCAAGAGAAATATGACACTGTTTTGTGCCTTCATTTGCAGGTGAGGTGCTCTCTCCTTATGGGGACTCACACATCATTCAGGACAGAGGTGTTAGGACCGTTAAAGCCAGGGAGACAGAGACTCTGTCCTGCTCTTGTAGAAATCAAAGTGCAAGTTTTTTCTCTTGGTACAAACAAAGCTTGGGAGGAAAACCACGCATCATATCAAGTCGAATGAAGCACAGCACGCATGCTGAGATTCCCACTGAATACAGAAAAAGGTTTCAAGTTGTTGCACCAACCCAAGAGAGCACCAACAATCTGGTCATCTCAGATCTCGAGCCATCAGATTCAGGTACGTATTATTGTGGGATTTTCGTCATGCACGCCATTGAATTTGGACAAGGAGTTTTCCTTCATGTCCAAACATCTCTGCAAAGCCCACCATCCGTCGTCCATCAGCCAGCGATGGAGCTACTTCGACTGGGAAGCTTTGTGAATCTGAGCTGTGTTGTGTATGCTGAACAATGTGAAGAAGAGCAAAACTTCTACTGGTTCAGAGACGGTGTTTCTCAGTCTGCAGTCACACACCCCAGTGGCAAACACTGCACTAGCCTCTCCAGTAGGAAGCCAAACTGGACAAACTGCACTTTAAGCCTTGAACTGAAATCGCTGAGCTCCTCTGATGTTGGGACTTATTACTGTGTTCTGGTCTCCTGTGGGCAGACTACCTTTGGAAACGGAATAAAGGTCGAGATTGTTGGTAAGTGATAAACATTGTTGTGTCCAGCCATCATACTGATCATTTTACCAGGAAGTTACCTTTCCTCTCTCCCTGACTTTAGGTTCCTCTTCACTGGTGTTCTGCCTGAGTCTGCTGTTGGTCGTTTCCCTGATCGTACTCCTTGTTTTGTTTGTCCTTACATACAAAATGAAATCAAAGTTGCACTTTGCCTCAAAAAGTAAGTTTCCAGAATCATTATAAACTTATTGCATCAAACTGATCACTGAGGTCATTTATATGTTTAACGTTTCAGAGGCCAGTTCTGAATCTGCAGCCTCAAACTGTGGGGTAAGTTTAATACTTGTGTAGAGTGGATTAAAGTGTAATGAAGTGAGAGATTATTACATTTTTAATTAATGAGCCAATTCAATTCAATTCAAGTTTATTTATATAGCGCCAAATCACGACAAGAGTCGTCTCAAGGCAACTAAAAATGGATGAGGCGGTGAATGGATGACGTGTCATGTAAATCAGAACCAGAAAATCCGAAGAAGCGATTAGTTCTGACGGGAACTGAAGACGTTGTTTTGAATTAAGCCTTGGTTAGCTTCAGAAAAACATGAGACACCATCATGTCGGTCTACCTTTGCCTTCGGTGGAAGTCCTCTGTAGATCAGGAATATCGAGGTCCAGTGAACCCTCTCTGGAAACCGAGCCGGTAGAAGAAGCCACGGTTCCGACCAGACCCGTCTCGAGTTACCTCCGGCACACGACACTTTATTGGCATCTGTTCAGATCCAAGCTTGGGTCGGTGGAGCTTTTATTCTGAAAGGAGCATTTGTTGCCGCTGGTTGTTATAGCGACTGGATTTTTCAGCGTGTCGAGGTTCTTTCGGTTAAAGAGTAAAAGGTCAGGATTGGCCACTCCGTCACTTTCTCTGGAACGCTTTGAACTGGCGTTAGAGCTGACGTGGCGTAGTTTTGTACCTCGGATGTTTTGGTTTATTGTCGAATGAAAATGACCAAACACCGTCAGAAGCACGCCTCCGTCAGATCTGTAAGGTTCTGATTGGATCAGTGAAAGGAATGTGTCGTGTCCATTTAACACGACGTGAAATGAGTCCTGTTGGAACACTTAAAATCACAGTACCTTTATATTCTATAGGATCATAATAAAGTAATTAAGATTTTGATTTCACAGGTCGGTCACATCTTATTATATTGACTAACAGTTGTTTTGATTAGCTTTATTGAAAATAGAGTTCTTTGGCTTTTAATAAAAGAAAAGAAAGGAGTCTTCATCTTCTGTCTTCATTGCTGGAACGTAAACAGTTTAGAAGCGAATGCATGACCTTGAGGCTGTTTCATGCACTCTGACGCTGTGTCAAAGGGAACAGTGGTTAGAGGATAATAACCCTGAGAAATGGCTCCTTCATCACGTTACAAAAGCGACTCATCACCTGATCTGTGCAAAATATCACACACACTCAGTTTAGCATTTATTCTGCTGACAGGAGGGAAAAGAGTCCACCATCCTCCGGCATTTAGACACCAAAGTTATTCAAATAGATCAACAACATGCATTACAGTGAAACTAAAACCTGAAGGTGATTTTGTCGGTATTCTGGAAAAATGGTTGGCAACTTGTATTTTTTGTTCTCGCCGTTCAAGCAGGTTTGACAATTGATATCAATATTTGCACATTTGTTTCTTTTATTTTCTCCAAAAGTATGTTTAGATACACATAAATGTAAATTCTTTTTGTACTGAGTTTATATTAAATGTGCTTTTAGTTTTCATTTCATGTCTATCTGTTATTAGCAGGGACACGATGCCGACAGCCTTCATTGCGCTGCTGCGAGTTTCCGGAGAAGCAGTGAACGGCACCATCGTGAGGACACTGGCGATGTTTGTGTGTACTCCAGAGTAAAGAGCGGAAATGTGTGAAGTACTAAAAACAGCAATGCATGATGTGAAATGATGTTAAATAAAAATGACCCACTTTTGTCTGCTGTACTTAGGTGATAAGTTCAATCGGACGTTAGAAATGTCGTCATCAGTGATGGGAATTCCAGCTCTTTTTAGAGAGCCGGCTCTTTCGGCTCCCAAGTGGCTCCTCAGATTTTCTGTTGCGTAGAGTACATTTATCACCAAAATAATGCAAAACTATATGTAAAATGATTTACTAATGTAAAAAAAATGCAATATATCAAATATTTATCATTTCTATGGATTTAATAACTGAACACTTTAAGAAATCTCCACTTTCCGACCGCTGGCGCTCATTTTCCCACCGTCTTCGTTGCATTCTCCTCTCTCTCGCTCGCCTTTTTCCTCCTGCTCCTATATATTGACCTACAACAGATCTGTTAGATTTCCAAAATGTGTCTCCCCCAATATTAAAGTCGTTCCTAAGCCCTTCCAGGTCTTCATGAGAACATTGTGAACATTCAGATATCTGAAATATTCATTCTAAATAGTAAAAATCCTTCAGTTAAAATATCTTTAACGTTATAGATTTTACAGACTGTAACTGCGTTGTAGAACTTTAAAGTAACGCCACAGTTACTTTGTTGGGTAACTAATTCATTTTAAAATGTAGTGAGTGTATGTGAGTTACTAACTCAATTACTTTTTGGGAAAAGTATCTTGTAACTATAATTAAAGAGCAAGTCACCCCCTGCCAGAGTCTAACTCCACTCACACTTCCTGTTTGAAAAATGCAACAAATACTGTTGCCTGGCAGACCGAGAGGGCGGAGCCGCTAACAAATACACACACACTCAGGCTCACGACAGCATTGTGACATCATAATGTACCAGTTTACATCATAGCATACTTCTTAGCCAATAGCGGTGGCAGATTTAAATTAAAATACAGTGCAGAGTTTTTATCTGACAACGGCACAACACTGACAGTTTTAGGCAGAATATTTAAATTTTAACTAAGATGCACTGAAGTGCCAAATTATTGACGACACGTGTCTGCAGCACGATTAGACACTCGTTTATTTAGTTTATCAGCAAAAAAAAGTTTATTTGGGGGTGACTTGCTCTTTAATTACCTTTTAACGTAAGATGCCCAACATTGGTTTGTAAAGCTAGAGTAGATACGTTGTTTGAGGTGGAGCTGAATGGCTGGGAAGAGTGAGTGGAGCAAGAGTCCGGGGTGTAGGTGGTTCCTGGGCCACCTGAAGCAAGCTGAGATGAGAATCTACTCGTCTCTGAACCAAAGGCGGATTTCATGATTCTTATGGTAGCCAGTGGAGGAATGAATGGTGGGTCGTTTAAACAGCTTGGTGGATGATGGAGCTTTGGAGGCCTTCCTGTAACTAGGTACAAACTTTGTAAAGCAAGAATTTGGTCGAGTTCACTAGGTTATTCCACAACGCCTCGTGAAATTACATCACAACCAGTTTATTAGCTACTGTAGAATACGTTTATGACCGTTGGTTTACAGTTCTTTGGTCTGAAATGCTCATCTTGATTCAAACATCAAGTCATTGTGTCCAAAAAGGTCCATCTTTGTCCTATTTGACTTGTTTTGAGTAACTCTTGCTAGAAGACATTTATATCCTTTGGACACGTGTAGGTAATCCTTTTTGTCTGCTCTGGATCAGCTGATCTGCGGGAATGACGTGACCCTAACCCTAACCCTCTGCATGGGGGTCAGACTTGTGCTTAGCATGAAGAATCAAGATGTTTTATTTGTCATGTTACCAGTGTCCCAGTACAACAAAATGATGGCTTATAGTTATTAAAATGGGATAATCAGCTGAACCAGTTGAGGGAAATTTGTTGAAATTTAACCACAAGAGATGTCCAGAGAGCATTGTTAAAATAATAGTATGTGTTTTCTTTTATCGTGCTTTATGCTTTTATTATGTTTAAAGATTTTACCATTTATGTTGACAGTTACTTTTTTGTTTAAAGTCTTATGAGAAGACAAAAAATGTTGTGCTTTGTTGAACAGAATGTGACCCGAGGACACGTCTGCTGACTCGTGCAACTGCCTGTTGCTCTTTGTATGATTAGAAACTTGAAAATGTTTCAACAATTGCTGAGAAACCGAGAGCTGTCGTTTCCCCCATCCTTTAGCTCAGCTCTCAGGCATGTGACTAGGGAACGTCCAGCTTGTAATAACAGAGACACGCTCGGACTTGGATCCAATCCAATTTTATTTATAAAGCGCATTCACAAGGCATTACAACCAAACAAGGCGCTGTACACTAAAAATGTTAGTTAATTAAACCGGCGTTATACAAACATGTCGAACACAGATAAAGGATAAAAAGGAAATACAACAAAATTCCTAAAACTAACAGCTAAAAATCAGTAAGACACAGGGAGAATAAAAAAATTAGAAAAACATTTTAAAAAAGAACTTCAATAGTACGGAAGTTGATATTGTAAAGTCCATTTTTAAACAGTGCAGATGTCAGTGAGGTCTATAATTATGTTATATAAGCTAGGTTGAAGTAGTGAGTTTTCAAGCATGATTTAAAAATGCTAGCTGTTGGTGCTAGCCTCACTAGCAGTGGTAATGCGTTCCACAGCTTGGGTGCACAGACAGAGAAAGCCCTCTCTCCACGGCTTTTTAAACGAGCATTGGGAACAGCTAGGAGGAGCTTATCTTCAGACCTGAGAGCACGCGGCGGGTTGTAGTGATGGACCAGTTCACACAGATATGGAGGAGCTTGATGGTTCAAGGATTTGTAAGGGAGAAGCATCATTTTGAAGTTTATCCTGAACTGCACGGGCAACCAGTGGAGAGATTTCAGAATTGGAGACATGTGTTGTCTTCTGTCAGCTCCAGTTAGCAACCTAGCTGCTGAGTTCTGGACCAGCTGAAGTCTAGAAAGAGCTGCTTTACTGATGCCGTATAAGCAGGAGTTAGAGTAATCCAGCCTTGAGGTGATAAAAGTGTGGACCACAGATTTCAGAAGACGGACACTCAGGATGTGCTTTAGTTTCGAGATGCGTCTTAGTTGGTAAAAACATGATTTAACTGTGTTATTGACCTGGACATCCATCTTCAGAGCCTGGTCCATTTTTACTCCAAGGTTGGAAATTACAGAGGATACATTAGGTGAGAGATAGTTGAGGTCAGGTTGATGAGTCGCCGTGGTTTGACAGAGGGGCAAGGGATTACACGTGTGCAGTGGTGACCTGTACTGGTGCTGACTCTGTCATTCTCCTCGAGCTCAAAACAGAATTCTCACTTTGTCTCTCTTTCCTTGTGTTTGCTTTATGATGTCTTCGGTGTTTAAACCTGACAAGTATGGAAGTTTGTCTGCTCATCATGGCAATAAACAAACAACATTTCAGGTCATTTGCATTAACGAGCTGTTAATGCAGATCGGACATTATTGTTGCCCAGAACATTTTACTGAGGATGGATTTTTCTGGTCAACATCAGACTCAAAACCCAAACCAGGTGTGTATAACCAACGTTACCTCGTTTTCTTTACAAGCATGTCATCATTCACCTGCTCCAGCTGGGGGTCCGTGATGGGGGGACCTCTGCAATGAATCTGCATATTTCCAGTAGGCCTGAACACATTTGCCGACTGATTTGTGCAATCGGATCACATTTTACTTTCACAAAATGCAAAGTCTAGATGAGATATGACAGAAAACGGGCGCGGCTTTCCTTCAAATCTAAAAGCCGTCCCATCCAAAAACCTGCCAAGGAATAATCTATTGAACGAGTTGCTACAAAAGTGAAAGTAAAGCGTGTCGCCCAAGCAGATTAATAATAATAATACATCAAACTTATATAGCGCTTTTTAAGTCACTCAAAGGCGCTTCACAAAAAATGCAAAAAGCAGCACATAATAAAACAAAATGAAACATATTAAATAGACTGAGGGATGCTGGGTTGATCCTGTAGCGTTGGCAATCTACATACTAGAATTAACGCTGTTTGCTATCAGCTTTGTTAGATTCTGAAGAAGATCAAACGAGTTAGCAAATGAAGCTTCTACCATATCCTGTATAAATATCTAGGATATTAATATATTCGATAGAAGTTCATACGCCAACGAGCTTGGTCTATTTTTAATCCAAAAATTAATTTTTAATTTAAGATAATTAAATTTTAGCTGAAGTTTATTTATTGAATCAGAAGCTTAAAGGAATCTTTGCTTATTCAGTAACCAGACATACCATTGTGTGTTTAAATTCAAAGAAGAGTCAGGTTTAGAAAGTTAAGAATTTATTACTCACAATTTTTAAAAGGACAATTTGAAACAGCTTGATATTAAACTTGTTATTAAAAGCAAACCTGTGTCTGGATGGAAAGCTAAAATGAAATACGAGGTTTGGATGCGTGAATGATATCTCAGAAGATTTCTTTCAGAGAGAGAAAGTGTTCTGGGTGGACTTGAAGGAAAGGGAGGAGTCGAAGATGATGCTGAGATTACGGACTGTAGAGGAGGGAGTCACTGTGAGACCTTCAGTTTGTAGAGAAATCTTTTAAACTGAGGGTAGGAGAGATTTGGGACCAGTTATGATGAGTTATAATGAGATTAGCAGCATAGCGTGTGAGAGACAGACTGTTTTTAACACGGAGGAGACTGAACCATTGCTCTGACACTGGGTGTGGTCTTCCTGCTATTTAAATAGAGCACGCACAATACCGCTGCCTCAGTAGATGTGACAGGATTGCTTAAGGGCTGGAAAATGGAGTTTTGCGGGCCAATTCTGGACCGCAGGCCACCTATTGAAAGACACTGGTCTAGAACCTTAAGCATCTCTTATCAAAAGATTTAAACTGAAACGAGTTTAGATTTGAAACCGTATCTATTATGTGGACAGTGCATGGAAATCAAGTTAAACACGTTATTGTTTTTCAACAGTCATTCAGTTAAAATGCAGACGGGTTATTCCCCGTTAGAAAGAGAACCGTTTACCCTTAAAGTCCAGGTTCCATGCATGTGTTTTGTGACAAGGGCGGGACGCTGGAATGACAATCAACCGTTGAAAGTCACAAATTAGAATAATAATCTTGCTCCAAACAAGTGATTGTAAACGGCAGCATCTTTGCTGATGTAGCACTAGTGCGATGATCCACCCGACAGTTCAGACAAGAGAACGGCTCCATATCCTGTCTTCTACGTGTTTAGCATGACTTGTGGCAATCATAGGTTTCCTACTCAGGTTAGGGGTTTTAAGTGTCACACACTATGACCCTCTTTACAACCAATCAAAAGCAACTCGATGTTAATACTGTTGTAAGCTTTTTTTTTTTGGGCTCAAAGTCAGTCTTGATGAACCCCGCAGACGATGCAGCTGCATATGATCCTCTTTGGAGTCTGTAAGTATGGATTAAATATATTCCAACTGAATCAGTGTTCTGTAACATTTCTGTGACGTGTTTCCCTGAAACGGTTCATCTATCAGCTGTGATCCAGTCAGAGGCGGTTAAACAGGACGCTGGCGTGAGACCTTCCACCGTTGGGGAAAATGTTACGTTGCATTGCTTCTACAACAGCCAGTCGGCAATGCACTTCTCCTGGTACCAACAGATGCTAGGAGGCAAGCCCAAGCTCCTCTCCACGGTTTACAAATATGACGTTCCATCCAAAACCCTTCGCCGGCTGGAGAAAACCCCCCGTTTCTCTGTGCAGACACGGGAGGGCATAAATCATCTACACATATCTGATGTTCACCTCTCAGATGCAGCGACGTACTATTGTGGAAGCTCACATTCCAACACAGTGAAGTTTGGAGAAGGCGTGTTTTTGAGTGTTCAAGGTACGTCTCCTTTCAGTGGCAGGGACTTAGGAAAATAAGAGTTGTTGAACTAATTAAAGAGCAAGTCACCCCGTACAAGAAATTTACTTCACTCCCTCTTCATGTTTGAAAAATGCAACAAATACTGTTGCCTAAGAGACTGAGAGGGCGGAGCCGCTAACAAAATACACACACACACAGGCTCACAACGGCATTGTGACATCATAATGTACCAGTTTACATCATAGCATACCTCTTAGCCAATAGCGGTGGCAGATTTAAATTCCAATGCAGTGCTGAGTTTTTACCTGACGACGGTGCAACACTGACCGTTTTAGGCAGATTATTTAAATTTTAACTAAGATGCACTGAAGTACCAAATTATTGACGACACGTGTCTGCAGCACGATGAAACACGCATTTATATAGTTTATCAGAAAAATAAGTTGATTTGGGGGTGACTTGCTCTTTAAATAATTAATGTCTATACCAACCTAAAAAAGACAAATATCTTATCTCTGGATGCTGACTCTCTTCAGGATCAAACAGCCCTGAAAACATCCAGGATTCAGTATCTGAGACCTTCAGCTGTATGATACAGACCAAAACCTGTGAGGAAGGGCTCACCGCCCAGTGGCTCAGACACGGATCTCAGCAGGGAGTCCTCCACACTCACAAGAATAACCGTCGGTCCATCTCAGCTAAAGACTCTCCTCCACAGAGTTGCGTCTACCACCTGCAGAACGAGAGCCTGGGCCCCGTGCGTGCTGGTGCATACTCCAGTGCTGTAGCCTCCTGCAGCAGGATGCTGTCTGGAAACGGAAGCAAGCTGCTAATCGGGCAAAATGCTGAAGAGCAAGCTGTCCAATTGAAAGTCTTTCTCTGGCTCTCTGTTATTAGAGGTGGGATTGTCTTTCTTTGTGTTACATTTAGTCTCCTTGCTTTTGTCAGAAAGATCAAATAAATACTTTTATTCTTGTATGATGTCCAAAACGTGGTGGAGCAGCATTTTGGATGTTACTCTATCCTTAATTAAACGTGAAACTAACTTGCTGTGCTCAGTTTATTCAGTTCTATCAAACAGGGACGGGTGGCTGGGCTGGACAGGAATTTAAATTATCCTTGGTATTTTGGACCAAAGTCCTCTCATCCAAGAAGCATCTTCAGTTCCTTAAACTTGGGTTGGGAGGAGGAGGCTCATAGGTTACCCCCCATCGCTTGTTTTAGACCACAACTCAAAAGCTGAAGAAGCTTCTTGGCTGAAAGGCAAAACGTCTGAAGGAAAACAAAAAGTTAGTTTGTGGTCAGTTAAGATTGTCACGCCTTGGACGGCTGAGCATCTGTACAAGCCAAGCCCCCACAATGCAGGTGAAAAATTTAAGCAAACACGGAAGTGACATAAATTGCAGTTCCACCCTCATCCACTAGGGGCTGGTGTCAGAAGCGAGCAAATCCTCATTGACTCCCATTTTAAAAATACCTATTTCACAGCAGAAATAAACATGTTTACAGACTGGTTCCAAAACATGTTTTTGGTTTAAATGATCTAGTTTACACTCATGACAACTCTGAGGGGGGTGAATTTTTTTCTGACTCTTCTGTTTAAGTCAGGGGTGTCAAACTCAAACTCACAAGGGGCCGAAACAAAACTCTGGGACGGAGTCGAGGGCCAAACTTAATATTTTTTGAAAAAGTGACAGCAAATTTGCACATTTTCTTTATCAACATGTATGCAATTTTGAATCTTTAAATTCGGAAACAAACTTATTTCTGCATTAACACTGAATGTGGAATAACCAAATGACACACGAGCAAGTCAGTTTTAATTAAAAGGCATCAGTGGTATTCATTACTTGTGGTATATTCAGCATTTTTAAAATCTATTCATGATTTATGTTTTCTTGTTTATTCATTTTTCTTATTTTTTATTCTCCTTTTTTCTCCTGTAATAAGTGTCATCGCTGCTGTGACCTCTAGTTTTCCCCACTGAGGAACAATAAAGGGATTTTCTATTCTATTCATCTATCTGCAGCCTTTCCACTTCCTGTTTACTGTAGGTTAAATATTTTCTCACGGGCCAACAACAAAATAAAAATGTAATTTTATCTTAAATGAAAATGCAACATCTCACCTGTTAACTTTCATGTTTTGGAGCAGAAAAAGAGCATAAAACCAACATATTTAAAGCTCAGTTTGCTCCACTGGTTTACTGTGATGCTCACCTGTTCCAGCCAGATACCTGCATCATGGGGTTGAGCTGAGCTGAGGAGGAGACTCCTGTTGTTTTGTTCATCTTCATCATAATAATGACAACATTAGATGACAACAGGTGCTCACATAGGTTTGTGCTGATGAACATGTCTGAGCAGCTTGACCACGTTGTTGTGTGTCGGGGAGGAAAATAACAACTACAGCAGCCACAGAGTCATGCTGGTTTGAGCGTGTCGCTGTTCGCTGGAGTTATATCGGCTCTGTCTGGACGTTAGTTGGAAAACTTTCTCTTTCAGTCGTGAACACATTACTAAGCGGCTAGAATCTCCGTTTCTGGGCTTCAACGTCAGAAAACAGCTGAGTGAACTCGGTGCTGAGTGAGAGGAGTGTAGTTTGTCCGAGACAGCGGAGCTGCAGACACCGGCAGCAGACGCTGGAAAAAACACAAAGGAGGGGGCGCGTCGGCTCCGCGCTGACGCCACAAAGCATCATGGGAGTTGAAGTCTTTGCGGTAAAATCGGCCAGCGGGCTAGTTTTAATATATTTTTGATATTTATCTCACAGGCCACATGAAAATTCTCCGCGGGCCTTGAGTCTGACATATGTGGTTTAAGTGTATTAAAAGCCTAAAATTCTGTATAATTAATGAGCATCAGACCCACGTGACCACAGAGCTAGCTCCAGCGAAAGGCCTCGAGCCTCGGCCTGGCCTGGAAACTGTTCCGGGATTTTGAGTCTCTGTGTGTGTATTCTTTCTTGGATATTTTTTGTGCAATTGTTGGACAAAATGACTTGCTGTGGTATTAATTGCACTAATAGAGCGTCCAAGGAGTCTCCACTTCATTTTTTTCGGTAAGTAAAATTATATTTATGTATTTTAGGTCACTGCCGAGCTGAGCTTAGATTTTAACATGTACTGTTTAACCATGAAATTTAAATGTAATAGGGTAAAACCCAGTGCATTTAACATAATGCTGCACTTTAGAAAATGGGTTGAAATATAACATGTTGGTGGAGCTGGGTTCCCACTATCGGCTTGTGGAGCTCTCGGGAGACCGATGTTTTCCACCCGGTTCTCCCCTCCCCGCAGCTCGGCGCATCTCTGTCTGATCGCGGCTTCTGTGTGCTGTGGGGCTGCCGGCTTGTGGAGGTCTCGGAGACCTCTGTGTTCCACCCAGTTTTACCCAGCGGTCAGCCCGGCGTATCTCTGACTCAGAAGCTCTGGTGTTGTGCACAGTTAACTCTGGTTGTAGCTAGGTTGCTACCTCAGTTAGCTTAGCTCCCACCTCCGCATTAGCTTTGGGTTAGCTTCAGGTAAGCTTGTAGCTAGTTCGACCGGGTGTCGTCAGTTGATCCCAGCCTTACAGCCCCACCCTCAGCTCCACCTCTCTTCCCTTTTGTGGAATTGTCTGGGCTTGACGGAACCTGTGACACGGTCAAAATGGTGGTGGTGGCCACCTCCCATTTTAGCAGAAAAACTTGTTATTGGACCCTATGGAAACCCATTGTCCATATATTAATGTCGATAATTCTTACTATAGAAGTAAGAGGCCAGGCTCCTTTATTTATATACAGCACGTTTCGTACACAAAGGAAAATCAATGTGCTGAAGGTCTCACAGACTGTGTTACTTATTGAAATATAAAATCTACTTGCAAAGATTTATATAGAAATTAGTTCCGACAGGTAGTTTACCTGTAGGAACCTGTAGTTCCTACAGGTAAATGCACAGTAGACTGATCAAACAAGCAAAGAGATAAAATAAACAAGTGAAAACATTAATCACTAACATGTTTATCTGAGACTTTTCCCAGAGGGGTGAAAATGTTTATTCATCCTGCTTTATAATGGAATACACACAGTTGGTCTCGGTGTGCTCCGACTGTCGTCTGGACCTCTTGGACTGCCGCACATTTATAGACGCATAGTGGAGGTTGTATGTATCGTGATGGCTAGCCTGGAAACCAAACAGATGTTTTAGTGTTAGTAGAGGAAAAAACTGGGTGCAGGTGTGAAGCTAAGGGAGACAAGATGCTTTCTGAAGCTGGAAAATGTAAAATTTGAAAGAAAAAAGATTTACCAAATTAAAACTTTGATTTTTTTATACATTTTGAATCAAACATTTGACAGAAGGGTGTCTGGACATTCTCTAAAGCGTAAGTGGTATTTTTTTAAACTCTTGCCTCTTTGCTTTGACTAACTAATGTCATTATACAATTCTTTAAATTCCTTCTAATAAGAATCCTGCATTCAGGTCAACCTTTTGGCGGTTTCAGTGTGAGCACCGTCCCCCAGCATGATGATTTCCTCATGGGATGCTTTCACCTTTGGGTGTTTCAGAACTTAAAAATAGAAGCAAGAGATTGTGAATCACTTTTCTCTGCGTTTGAGAATTAAAGTGCTTTATAATCCTAAATAAATGTTTTTGTTTTGTTTTGTTTTACAAAATGTAAAACAAAACAAAACTTTTGTTTTGTTGAATGGTTCATATATTCCTTCTGGTATCTTTAATATTTACACCACAGAGATAATACAGCCAGATGTGTGTCATGAACCAACACATTCTCACTCCCAGCGCGACAAAAACAAACGCTTGGTCAGCCACCCTCTGCGTCACATCCCTGACGCCAAATGTGCCCTTTTTCGTTACTTATGTGCGAAAAGGGGTTTTTCCCTTTTATGACTGCAGATCCCAATGCAGCGTAAAACTGTTGCGATGTGATGTCCGCAGCCAGGGCACCAAACAAGCTCATTGTACCTCACCCTAACCTTCCCCTCACCCCTATCCTAACCTTAAAGGGGCATTATGGAAGTCTGACAGCCAAAACATGTATAGAAATAATAAATGTCTTCTTCATACGTTCTCCTGCAATGCCCTGGTCCTGTAGAATGAGCCCTGGCATTTTTACTGTGATTGCCTGTTTTTCTGTAAAATCACAGAAAAAGAGAGATGCTCGGGTCGAGCAGGCTGCTTCATGCGCGTTCACGCTCAGGCATCGCCCGTAGCATTTGCTATCCGTAGCTTTAGCAGCAGAGAGAGAGGCAGTGCCACTTTGTCGCTGTTCCTAACGCCTAGTGACAAAGCTAGCTACATTTCTGAGGACCCTTAGCTACTTTCTGTAGAACTTTCTTCTAGATATTTCCTGCAAATTAGCAACAAAATAGCCATTTTCACTCCGAACCGTTCTTTGAACGTTGTTTCAGCTGTCATCAAGGCAGTGGCGGTTCTACATCGAATTACTCCCCGGGCGAGGCCCCCTTTGAGCGCCCCCCCAACCGCCCCCCCCCCCCCCCCCACCACCACCACACCACCCCACCTGCATGAACACATGCATGTTTTCTACAAACAGGCATGTTTTACTAGAACAACTATTGAACATTCATTTTTCTAAGTTGCACATATTTACATTAATTACTATGAAGTTGTCAGAATGTAAATCACTATACATTATATACTGTATCAAAATATATCGAATCAAATATACAAAAACAAACAATAACTAAATATTAAGAATATATGAACATAATAGATTATAAATATTCTAAATAGCAAAAATATTTCACACATAACAAACTAAAGATAATCACTACAGCATTGCACTTAGAATAGAAAACACAAACTAAAATTAAAACCTAACCTTGATGCAACATCATCAATAATGTCATCACATGAAATCTGCTCCCCTACTGAGTGATTGATACTAATCAGAGCCAGGTTAGTGAGCCGCCCCTGAAACATAGTTGACCTCAGGTATGACTTGATCAAGTTTTGAAAAGCTCCTCTCAGCTGGAGCCACAGTGACTGGCAGAGCAGTCCAAAAGTTGGGGTAGATCTCCAATAGATCTTTATCATGATCCATAATATTTTAGATTTGCCTCTGGAATTGTAATTTAAACTGACATAAAAAAACTGTAGACTACCAAAAATGCCACCTTTTACAGAACAAATCATGTAAAAAATAATCAGTGCAGCCATCTGCAATAAATAAACAGGATAGTTAGTGGTGACTGGGGAGTTTTCTTCTGCTTGTAGAGTTGTTTTATTTATTATTATGTGAACATGATCAACATGTGTTTGTTGTTGTTCAGGCAGGCCACAGGCTGCAGTGAGCATTTAACAAATCCTAGTTTGAATCAGTAAAAACCGATTCAAGGACTTTTTTCAAACCATTTGAATATTTGTTTAAATATTTCAGCCCTATTAGCTCTGTTAGCAATTAGTTGACCGCATTTAACCGTTAAAATCGCAGTTAACTGGTTCAAAAAATTGAAAACATGCATCATGAGAGCTACATACCTTTACCTTTCTGCTCTTTTTTTCTTTTTTTCCCCCTGAATGGGGCACCTGGTGGTTTTAGCCTTTTTATGTTCATCTCTTCTGTTTGGCTCCTGACTCAGTAAGTTTCCTTTAGTCAGGACTAAACTATTTGACCTTGATGGGGGGGTGACCACAAAACCGTTTTGTTTTTCCTTTTTTTATTCAGCCATTTCACACAATTCAGAGAAACCTGAAAGAATGATAGGCCTGCATTTATGATATTATGAATGAAATATGGAAGAACGTTAAGATGTGATTGACTTTAGCCATGTTAATACAGTGTATTCAGCCCCTGCACGCTCATTTCATTTGGGAAAGACGCAGAGGTGAATTCCCCCGCCGCACCCCTCCCCTTCCTGTTCTTCATAGACACACAGAGCACGTGAACGTTCTCAGTCAGCAGGAGCACCTGCAGCTGCAGGGGGCGCCAACTTGCTGTTTCCAATCCAGACACTGTCATATGACAGATAATAGAAAACCTCGGTGCGGCGCAGATTTCCTTTTTTTTTTTTTACTCCGCGCTTGTGCGCCCCTTTTGTGTCATGAAAAAATGCCGCCCCGGGCAACTGCCCTGTCTGCCCGTGCCTAAAACCGCTACTGCATCAAGGATATAAATGTTACAGGTATGAAAGACATCACTGGTGCTTTAGCTCACCTAGTAAGATGTTGGACTCTTGTGCTGAGGAGCTGGGTTTGATTCTGGATGTGAACATAGTTCATTTAGAGTTTCTTTTTACATTAATGGTATATTTTTTTACAGTAAGATGCCCAAATTTTTATTTGAGACTCGCCGAACGGCATTGAATTCACAGATAAAAAGATGTGGGTTCAACTTTCATTTTGGAACAATTTTTCAAGCAAGGGAAGGGAATGATGTGAGCATGCAGGAGGACTGACCCATCATAAACCTTTGTCGGCTGTGCTGAAGAGAAAGGTACAGAACCAAATTATTTAATTAATTAGCTGCGCGTTCTCCTGTCCTCTGTCCTCCGGGCCACACACACACACACACACAAGGGACTGTCTCAGCTGTTATTTTCGTTAAGGAGTGTGCACGTGCAGCATGCGCGCCTCGTACACGAGCCTACTATTGAAGCTGCCGTTACACTTTTGGCCTGAGGGGGCAATCGCGAGCATAAACATTCAAAACTCCGTAAAGTCCCTTTAACCATCTTGCTAGCGAACACGTTAGTGATGTGTTGGTCACTCTAAAAGCCGGCTCTATGAAGTGAACGGAGGGAGCCGCCTTGTCATTGGTCGGGTTTGGACCGAGGCAACATGAGGGGGAGGTTTCAACTACCAAGGTGGAGGTTAAAAGTAGAGGGTATTTGTAACCTCCCCCTCGCCAGATGGTATGTTCTAACGTTCCCCTTGGGCGGCAAATACGAAAATTCAGTCAGAATGCATGGGAAACAGACACTTGATCACAGTGAGAGTAACGTTTTAGGTAGCAAGAGGGTTAAGGTTAGGATGAGGGTGAGGGAAAGGTTAAAAATAGCAAAACATTAAGGTTTAGGTGCGGTTAAATGAGCTGGTTCGGTGCCACATCAGCAGCTATCTCATCACGTCAATTTTACGCTGCATTGGGATCTGCAGTCAGAAAAGGGAAAACCCTTTTTCGCACATAAGTAACGAAAAAGGGCACTTTTGGCGTCAGGGGTCTGATGCGGAGGGTGGCTGACCAAGCGTTTGTTATTGACGCGCTGGGAATGACAATGTGTTGCATGAACATTTCACTTTAGGCCTTTAAAGATCAGTTGTACTTTTTCTGTTCTTTAGCTGTCAACTTCGTTACTTCTTTAAAGAGGTAATTCACTGAGAAACCATGTTTACGTATTTATGAAAATGACAGGATATCTGCAGGTTTAAGGAAGCCACATTTAAGACTTTCTAAGACCTTTTCTAAGGCCACTTTGACCAAATTTAAGCTATTTTTTTCAATTAAATTTAAACTATAATTCCAAGCTATTGCCTGGAACCGGTGCTAACCACATTGCGAACGTGGGATTAGCCATCCAGTTACCATTAAACTTGCACTTCCCCATGGCGCAAGCTCCCACTAGCTTAACCAGCTAATGTGCTCATCTAAAAATAGCCCCCTTTCACAACCAACTGAATGTGTACAGTTCCGCTTATGCCAACATCGTACACAAAAAATTCTGAACACTAACTAGAAATTCACAAAAATTTTATAGAAATAAAAGAACCTTGTTTATTGGGTCTTTCGTAATTTAAGACCTTTGGAAACTGTATTTAAGGATTATTTGTCATTTTTAAGGATTTTTAAGGCCTTAAATTTGGAAAAGCTAATTTAAGACTTTTTAAGGACCCGCAGATACTCTGAAATCATCTGCTTGTTTTATTTGTGAGTATAAATCATCAATATCGCAAAGCAACATGGTCAGTAGCAGACATGTAGCTGCTAGGCAATCCAGGGTGAGAAGTCCAAATATCAGGAAGACAGACTACAAATCCTGCTGTCTGAAGCTCTCCTCTGATGCCAATCTTCTAATTCCTGAAAGCACATCTGAGCTTTTTACAGTACATCTTAAAAGGCATTCATTCCTACTAGAGACCACTGCAATTAAATTAATTCTTAAAAATTATGAGTGAAGAACCTGCCAGCATAAGTGAGGATAATCTTTTTTGTTCAGCTCATCTGAAGAACTGCCTGACTTGTGTATGGCGCTGTTGCACCGTTGTACGCAATATATCCAGGCTGAAATGTTACCGCACAAGACACGCTGATGGTGAAGCTGCTAGACTGGGTTAGTGTTAGTCTTACCTGTCTCCTTGTTGTAGCGTCAGCAGGAACGCTTGGCTCTGGGTGCAAAACAAATACTGGTTTTTTACATTTCTATTGTACATGTACAAATGACACTTCAATTATGTACCTGCTGCCTGGTTTCTTTTCTTCATCCTATACAGCAAGAAAACCAGTAGAACAACCAGTAGGGTGGTCAGAGTTCCAGCCAAGAAATACACCAAGAAGTCCAGCTCACCTACAGAGGCCCAGGTATCAGAAACAGATCTTAGCTGTCTGCGCAAAACACACAATTACGTGTTTTTAACCACAAACTGAATTTTTACTTACGTGAGAAATTCAAAGTTGTTCCGTTACCAAACAGTATGTGTCCACATGAGGCCACAGCACAGTAATAAGTCCCAGTATGAGACGCATTCAGGTTGTTCAGAGGCAGGTTGTACACACAGGTGTGTGTTTGTGTGTTTGGTTCCCTCTCACACTGATCATTCCTGCCTCTGCGGCTGTAAATGAGTCCTGGACGAGAGTCTTTAGAGTCTTTGAACCAGTAAACACTGTGTTCTCCATCACAGGTCCCAGTCTGGACTGAACAGTTCAGAGTCACAGAACCTTCTAACCGGATGGTCTCTGATGCTGACTGATGAACCAAAGTCTGGATGCCCGTGTCCTTTACACTTACGGTAGCACCTTCTGCAAAAGTCAAAACTTGTGTGTGCATAATGCCACAGTAATAAGAAGCCGAGTCAGAAGCCTTCAGATCTGAAATAGTTAAACTGTTTGTTTGCTTTTCTCTAATTAAAGTAAAACGATCATTCCTAAACTCGTCATAAAATGTGATTTCTGACCCATATATGAAGAAACTAGACATGAGTTTTGGTTTTTGCCCCAGAGTTTGTTTATACCAATAAACCCACGCTGATTCAGTCCCCTCAAAGGAACATCGTAAAGTCACACTGTCTCCAACATCAGCTGAGACCAAACTGCTGTCTTGATGAACAGATGATGCGGTCAGATGAGTCTCCTGAACTATAAATTAGAAAACAAGTGATAAGATTAAGAAACATGAACCAATTCTTTACATTGCTGTTAAACTCTGTATAATAATAACAATAATAATAATTATTCATAGAATCTTCTCACCCATCGTTCCTAGAAGAAAACAAGCCAAGCAGGAGATAAAATGTGTAGAGATCATCGTGTTCGGATTATCGTGTCGAGTGGAAAGAAGCTTTGTATTTTCACTACACTTAAGAGACGTGACTGCGTTTGATTGGCCAGCAACAAGCAGCAAGACAGGAAACATGATCACATGACCACATCAACCTGTGATGTTTGTTCTTGAGAAGGTTAGCCTAAATTAGCAACAGTAGTCTGTAAAACGTGAAGGTTTTTTTTCTTCTTTTTAATAAAATATAAGTATCTTATTGTCATAAAATCCCATAAAAATTGGCCCAAGATGAAGGCTTGGACACAGAGTCAGAGAATTAACAAAAGTTTTTAATAACAGGTTTTTTAAAAGCACAAAACTTACTAAAGAATGCCCAAAACCCTGAATGAACATGAAGGAGGATGTGACACCGAACTAAAGAACCCAAAGAATAGTAAACTTTTTGGCCAATCTAATGAGATGCAAGTGTGTAGTAGTCCGTGTAAACTGGGAAGCTGAGGGAAAACGATCAACGGTGACAATAAAAAATAAAAAACTACAAAAGTAAGAAAGACATTTTAAAAAAGCCTGGCAAGCCATCGTATATATGTATATATGTGTATATATGCAATAGTATTCCGTTGCAATCCTTAAAAGAAAACAACACGTTTACCCTAACCAACTTACCTGAGGGAAGGAAAGCACTGGGGGGTAGAGGGGTGTATGTGAAGAAAAACAATGGTGATGGATCAGTAAAATATAAAGCAAGGTATGTAGCCAAAGGTTACAACCAGAACCCCGCTGTAGACTATGAAGGAACTTTTTCTCCAACCACAAACCTTACAAATATAAGAGTACTGATGTAGTGTGCAATACAAGAGAATCTAATTTTACACCAAAAGCTGCATACCTGCATACACCGATAGATTCAGAAGTTTACGTTGAGCAGCCAGAAGGTTATGAAGTGACAGGAAAAACCAATGAAAAACTGGTCTGCAAGCTGGAAAAATCCCTTTATGGGCTTAGGCAATCAGGCAGAAACCGGAATGGAACATTACTACATTAGTCTAGTAGAGAATGGGGATTCGGCAAGGGTCATTTTCTTTTACTTAACTTTTTTTCTTCATATAGATAAATTACTTGTCCCAGATAACAGTCATAGAGGGATTTTAATAAAAGAAAAATATAAATAAATGACCTGACATGTACATTGACAAAAGTACAAACAATACATTTTAAGAAAATAAAACCTTTCTAATGACAAAGAAAACAATCTTTTACATGCGCCTCTCAAGATAAAAATCACAAGGTGCTTCGCAAAAAAAAATTAATAAAAATCAAAGTATTAAAAAGATTTTTAAAAGTACTTAAAAATAGGGAGCTCATGTCACGCCCATTTACTTCCGCATCATGGGTCCCCAAAAGAACGAAATAAAAGTCAACAGGGCTAAATACGCTATTTTCTAATTCCGCTTGTTATGTGCCATGGATTTCACATATGATATGATTCATGCATGTTGATACCATCGACATATAAATATTGAACAATGGGTTTCCATAGGGTCCAATAACACGTTTTTGAGGAGAAATGGGAGGTGGCCACCACCGCCATTTTGACCGAGTCACAGGTTCCGTCAAGCCCAGACAATTCCACAAAAGGGAAGAGAGGTGGAGCTGAGGGTGGGGCTGTAAGGCTGGGATCAACTGACGACACCCGGTCGAACTAGCTACAAGCTAACCTGAAGCTAACCCAAAGCTATTGCGGAGGTGGGAGCTAAGCTAACGGAGGTAGCAACCTAGCTACAACCGGAGTTAACTGTGCACAACACCAGAGCTTCAGAGTCAGAGATACGCCGGGCTGACCGCTGGGTAAAACCAGGTGGAACACAGAGGTCTCAGAGAGCTCCACAAGCCGGCAGCCGCACAGCAGACAAGCGCCGCTGCGATCTGAGATGCGCAGAGCTGCCGCTGGGGAGAACCGGGTGGAAAAGTTTCCATCCCAGAGCTCCACAAGCCGGCAGCCCGCGCAGGAGACAGAAGCTGCGATCAGACAGAGATGCGCCGAGCTGTGGGGAGGGGAGAACCGGGTGGGAAACATGGGTCTCCCGAGAGCTCCACAAGCCGATAGTCGGAACCCAGCTCCACCAACATGTTATATTTCAACCCATTTTCTAAAGTGCAGCATCATGTTAAATGCACTGGGTTTTACCCTATTACATTTAAATTTCATGGTTAAACAGTACATGTTAAAATCTAAGCTCAGCTCGGCAGTGACCTAAAATACATAAATATAATTTTACTTACTGAAAAAAATGAAGTGGAGACTCCTTGGACGCTCTATTAGTGCAATTAATGCCACAGCAAGTCATTTTGTCCAACAATTGCACAAAAAATATCCAAAAAGAACGCACAAACGCTACAACAAATGGTCTAAGTTGAGGGACTGAAAATGACCGAACAGTTTCCAGGCCAGACCGAGGCTCTACTGAGGCCTTTCCCAGGAGCTAGCTCTGTGGTCACGTGGGTCTGATGCTCATTAATTATACAGAATTTTAGGCTTTTAATACACTTAAACAGAAGAGTGAGAAAAAAATTCACCCCCCTCAGAGTTGTCATGAGTGTAAACTAGATCATTTAAACCAAAAACATGTTTTGGTACCAGGCTGTAAACATGTTTATTTCTGCTGTGAAATTGGTATTTTTAACATGGGAGTCAATGAGGATTTGCTCGCTTCTGACACCAGCCCCTAGTGGATGAGGGTGGAACTGCAATTTATTACATTTCCGCGTTTGCTTCAATTTTTCACCCGCATTGTGGGGGCTTGGTTGATACCAAGAACTCGATTATTTTCGAACGGGGGGGGGGGAATCGTTATTTTAGGTTTTGTGTGAAAATAAGTCCAGGACTAAAAATACACATCATGAAAGTGATATCATCGAACCAGACATGGAGAAAAACAGAGGGAATATTACTGTAAGTTTAGCTAACATCAAATCCTTCCTTCAGGAGGAATAAACCACCATAAATCTAACCATGTAGTAAGTAGCAGCTACGCTAGAGGAGAAGAGATTCTGTGGTGACGTCACATATGCGACGTGCTGACATCTAATTTACAGTCTGTCATGTGCCGCGGTGAGTGCTCCTCTCATTTTTGTTCCAGCTTTGAACTGCTGTGTTTCAGGAGAGGGAGGCTCCAGCTGCAGCTCATTAACAATCAGCGGGTCCAGCTATAAGAGGAGGAGGAGAAGACACCTCGACGCCGAATGATTAACTACAACTCGGTAGTTCCAGCCCTTTGCGTCTTCTGGTTAACTCTAGTGATTTTTGGATTTTGGAACCCTTGTGGATATACTTGTGCTTACCTGTTCCCAGGATTTTTGGATCATTTGTGGACCTTACCTTGACTCCTCAGGATCTCCTTGGATTTGTGAAGCTTCTGGAGCTTCTCTGGTTTTCCTGTGGCTCCTCTGATTGACTACTTGGACATTTCCACGATCCCACTGGATTACTCACCTGTGCCCCATAAATCTCCTGGACGCGGCAATCACCATTCTCCTCTCCTCCCTGCCGGCCCACTCTCCTCACGCCCCCTCTCCTGGACACCCCCTCTTGGATTCACCCCGGCACTCCACCTACCCTCCCCAATTCCTCAGCCCCCAGCTTCCCGTAGGTCTTTACTCTGCACCTTCCCAGTTTAGACTTACCTCCCTGGACTCATCTGTTCCTCTGCTCTCCCCTCCTCAGACGCTGCGGTTCATTTGCAATCCCCACTGGACCTTATCCAGTGCGCCCTTAGTTCCCGATTTTTTTAAATAAAATTCTTTAATTTTTCTAATTGACTCGTGAGTGGTGAATTCTGCATGTCTTGGGTTAAACTCGTCCCAAAAACCATGTCATAGTCATGCTAATTATGAACTTTTACAAGCTGATAAATCTCAAACTGGCGTGGTAGAAACACCCACCATTAGTTAAATTTAAATTGCTGCACAACATATGTGTGATCCAGGGCGTAAAGCAAAGCGGATTAGAAAATGGCGTTTTTAGCTCCGTTGATGAAAAAAATAACAATGTAAGGAAAGGGACAGAGAAAATTAATAGGAAAGAAGGAAATCAGTGGATTCCGGGGAAAGGCAAAATAAGTAGAAAGAGCAGAATAAGGAAGGGGTGATGATGAAGGTCCAGCCAAAGCCTGAACAAGTGAGTCTTCAGCTGCTTCTTAAAGGAGACCACTGAGTCCACTGATCTCAGGATCGGGGGGGAGAGTTCCAGAGTCAGGGGGCCGCAGTACAGAGTCAGCTCTACTGAGGGTCTTAAATGATATCTATCTATAACTAGATCACGGTACATCTGTGGTGCTTCTGTTGTTAGATCTGACGGCAGCTTTTGACACAGATGACCACGCAATTCTACTTGATCGCTTGGAACGAAGGGTTGGGATCAAAGGGTCTGCTTTGGATTGTTTTAGATCGTATCTCCACAACAGGACATTCTGTCTTAAACTGGGTGATGTTTTTTCTTCTTGGGAGGGGCTCCGCTGGGGGGTCCCGCAGGGATCGATCCTTGGTCCTCTTTTGTTTGCAATTTATTTGCTTCTTCTGGGGTCAATCTTTTGTAAACATGGCCTATCGTTCCATCTCTATGCTGACGATTGCCAGATTGTGTTTATTACCTTATTTGTTCTTATTAGTTTGCTGATTTTTGTATTGAACCTTGTATGGAATGATTCTTTGGACAAGTTAACAGGATTGAGATTACGATCCGCAATAGACATATGATTGCAGCACCTCGTGCTGTGTTCCCACTTCATCATGTTGATTCTGAACCTTTCATATCTGATTGTAGTGTTTATTACTTTACTTATTATTTTTGTTTTGATGCTTATCATTTTTGTCTTGAGTTACTTGTTTGGACCCTATTGGCCCTTACGACTACTGAGATGATCACCTTTCCTGGTTTACCCCCTTTCTATGCCTTGATTCGTGATTGATGTAGCTTTCATAGTTAATGGTGACAAGTTGTGGAAGTGGATAAAATTACTTATTATTTAACTTATTTTTGTTTTCCTTATTTGGTTTTGTTTTGTTTTGTTGCTTCCTTTTGTTTGGTTGTTCTATTCGGATAAACAGGCGGGAATGTTATGGAAAAATTTATGTTTATTAATTCCTGATCATGGACTCAATCAACTGAATGTAAATGTATTGCTCTATGCCTCTTTGCATGACGCACCCACACACATTCTTGACTTCCCACACACACACAATCTCTACCTCTCTATAACTAAACTCTGTGACCGGATGTTCGAGGCACTTTGCCACAGTTATAACTGTTTGACTTGTCTGCTCATTGTCTCCTTCTCTCCTCACTATAGGAAATGGGTTATTGATTAACATACTGATAAAATCCATGACACTTTATTATTGTTCTCAACCAAAGTCAAAAAGAGACCATTTTTCTAAACTTTGAAAGTGTCAGTGTTGGGCAAGTTACTTCAAAACTGTAATGCATTATTTATTACTTGTTACCCTCATTTTAAAGTAATTCATTACATTACAATATTACTGATTTTAAAATGTAAGGCATTACACTACTTTTGCATTACTTTAAGTTACTTTCACTAAAACAACTTCAACATGAATCTGGTAATCTGACGCTCAGTGAGCTCATGACATATATGTGGAAGGTGATGTGGTGTCTGAGCTAGGATTGCTGTTAAAAACAGTCAGATATAATAACAGTGCTTTAAAATGATTGTTTATTTACTAAAAGCAACAACAATCTGTACTCTCAGCACGCTGCCATCTTATATTAACTGAGCAGGGAGTGAGGTGGTGGGGGCTCCAAGCCTATATTTGCCTTGGTCCCCAAATGCCTTGATACGGCCCTGGATGTGGGACTGACTTCTGGGGTGATCTGATTCTATCACATGTATAAATATTAAATGCTTATATTATTGCTTTTCACTGGTAAAAATGTGTATTGGGGATAAATCTACCTACTTTTTTTCTTTTCAAGCACTTTGTTTTGTTTTCTTGATTTTATTTGAATAATTTCCTGCCCTTTCTCTCTCTAACCTTCCTGCATGCTGCATGTTTTCTCCGTCTTCCAGAAAAAACTGTTTCCTAGACTTCGTACTTTCTATCAGCCAGAGGGATCTTCACATGCGCGGCGCTCCAGCAGTAATGAGTTGAAATCACCGGGGCCCAGATTATGAACTCAGCTGAGAAAAAGCACGTCAGAAAAGCACAAAATACCAGAGAATATGCGCTGATATGAACGATCGCAAGTGAATTATTTTGTTTTAGTGGAGCGATTTTGTGAATGTTGCAGCGGCCGCATGCAGGACGCAGCTGGAGTATTTGAGCCGTTACCGCTGCGTCCTCTCTGCTCATGCCCACAAAGCTGAGTCCATAAATGATGTCATATATGCAGATACTGGATCTTTCTTCGGGTTTCCCGCAATTTGAATTTTTAAGGAACACATCTTGATTCTGGGTTTAAAAATGCATTGTAATTACCGCGTTACTGACAATTGTACCGAGTAAATATTACCATTTTCTTTCCCTGTAATGCCTTACATTACCACATTACAGCAAAAAGCAATGCATTACAGTAATTAACTACTTTTGTACCACATTACTCCCAACGCTGGACATAAACATCTTTATACTCACTGTTATAAAACATTTACATCTGACAAATGTGCCACTGACTTGTTAATTTATAGAAAATATCATTCTAAATGAAATAAAATTTAAAAAAAATAGGGACACTTTCAAAGTAGCTTGCTCTAAAATCTTATCCAATTCATCCCAGAAACATTGGTGTGTAAAAAATATCTAGGAGAAATACGTATTAGTACTAGTGTTAATGTTAATATCAAATCCCACTGACGAGTGAGGATTGCTTAATTCTTTGTGCACTGAAATGTTCTTACACACACACACACACACACACACACACACACACAGAGAGAGAGAGAGAGAGAGAGAGAGAGAGAGAGAGAGAGAGAGAGAGAGAGAGATAATGAAAAGACACACACGGTGTTCCACATAGGTTTATTTTAAGAGAATACTAAAATATAAGCAAGGATGTTCAGGTATAAAAATGCTGAATGGACTTCTGCAGTTAAAACCATTTGTGATCGAACACAAACTGTAAATACTGGAGTTGATTCATGTCAAATCTATTGTTTCACACTGGAGTAAACACACTGTGTGTGTGAGCTCATCCTGCGACTTGTTGATCTGGTGTTAACACCCACAGCAGCATAATGGAGGTTGTCTGTGTTCTGGTTACCGTGCTTACAAAGAAAAAAGGATGGGAATGAATCATTCAGTAGGATGTGCTCTTCAATGTTAAGTTTATAATACAAGCTGATAATTACCTCTTCATTAGTTGTTTGTTGAGATGCAAATCTTATTTGAAACTCTGTTCAAAACAAAAGTTTGAAATAACATTTTTTTTTCAACTAAACTGTTTAGAAAAAAAATCACCCCCTTTTGAAACACTTGAATTTTGTTTCCTTTACTTCTTTAAATAAACACAAACAACATATTTAGCAGCTTTACTTACCCTGTAACATCCAACTGAAAAATGTCACAATTATGGTTTAGAAACTTACAAATATCAAGAAATACTGAGGACACCCAATGTCAATTTTACCAGCCTTGACTTTCTTGGGATACTTCATAAATGTACTGTGTTCCATGTTCAAGATGGAGCAATATTTGCCCACTCTTCTTTAGTAAAACTGGATGGTAAGCGTTGGTCTGAACTCGGACTGGGTCACATGATCAGCGGTGTGCTTTGAATCATTGTTTTGTTGAAAGGTGAAGCTCCTGTCCATGGTGAATGTTCGTCTACAGCACTACCAAGCCAGAGAACGTTCCAGACAGGAACAACTGTTTTTATGCTCCACTCATCACATTGATTACAACTGATCACAGGTGGAAGCTAGTAACCACGGTCTGCTGAGGAAATGGTAGTTACCTCCCCTGACTGTTTAAAAGTCTTGCACATTCCAGGGTGGCCTTTTGTTGTGGGCAGTATAAGGTACACCTGTGCACTACTCATGATGTCAGATCAGTATCTAGATGTGGCACACCTGTGAGGTGGGATGTTTTTAAGTCAAGACTCAAGACCCATCTTTTTAGGTTAGCTTTTATCTAAATATTTTCTACAGTTTTATTTCTCATTTAACATGATTATATTTTATTACTTGCTTAGCATGTTCTATATGATTATATTTTAGCACAGTTTTATTATTTAAATTATTATTTTACTGTCTATATCATTTTATTTATTACTTATTTTCTAATTTTTGTCATTTATATTAGCTCTTTATATTTTTACTCATTTTAATCCAGTGTTTCCTCTGTAGGGGCCCTCTGCCCCGGGAGCGGTGGTCGACTGTAGCTTCCTGGGCACTCTATAGGTGGGGGGCTATGCTCCTCCTCCACTGAGCACCCTGACTTAGTGTGGAAGACCTGATGCTGCCGGGACAGACGGCTCCTCTGATGGCGTTTCCTTGCATTACCATACTTGGCTCATCTGGACTCAGCCTAAAATAATTTTTACTTGTGTGTGTGTGTGTGTGTGTGTGTGTGTGTGTGTGTGTGTGTGTGTGTGTGTGTGTGTGTGTGTGTGTGTGTGCTTGCATATGTCTGTTAATGTTTTTAACCTGTTATGGGAATCTGGGGTCATTTTGTAAAGCACTTTGAATCACACTTTGTTTGAAAAGCGCTTTATAAATAAATTTGATTGATTGATTGGTGGATTGATTGATTGATTGATTGATTGATTGATTGATTATCTCAGTGTCAGCATGTGGCGGTGAGTGAAGCAGATGCAAGGATCCACATGCGGGTGAGGGAAGCAGGCAGGCAGACAAACCAGTACGAGTAAAAGTATTTAATGACTGGACAATGAAACAATGATCCACAAAGAGACACAGAACTGAAGGGGTTTAAATACAAGAGGGCTGGGAGCTTGGGTGAGTGGAAAACGAGAGGCAGGTGGGAGCAATTAACAGAGACGCAGGCTGAACCAAATGGGGAGACAGGACAGGGTGTGACACTCAGCAAAGTAAAAGTGCTCACTATCACACATTTAGACTGATTTGTGAACAATGTTTGAGAGAAATGATAATATTGTGTATCTGGAATGAATTTTAGATCTTTAAGTCCATCTCATGAAAAATTGGAGCTGAAACAAAGGTGTTGCAATTATTACTTTGATGAGTGTATATATAATATATATATATATATATATATATATATATATATATATATATATATATATATATATATATATATATATATATATAGTCTGTAAAGTCAGACTGCAGGTTTACTGGTGGTTCCCAGAATATCTAAAAATAGGATGAGAGGCAGAACTTTTAGCTATCAGGCTCCTCTCTTGTGGAACCAACTCACGAGCTTTACTGTGAGGCAGACACATTGTCTACTTTTAAGACTAGGCTTAAAACATTTTTATTTGATAGGGCCTATGGTTAAAATCTGATGTTAGCTTAGATCTGGACAAGTGGGGGAGTAGACAGAGGTGGAGTGTACAGTCGGTAAAGACGGCTCTCCCTTGCCCTGCCTCCAACATGCCTCCATCTAAAAGGCTAGGTTATCCAGAGTTATCTCTGTAGTTATGCTGCTATAGGCTTAGACTGCTGGAGGATACACTGACCACTTTTCACACTCTACTGCTTTCTTCTACAATCTGCTCTTTAACTGTATTATTTCCTGCTATTTCGGCTGTTAACTTTATTTTCTCTCTAAGTGTTTTTCTCCCCAGAAGAAGCTACAATGACGTTCTGCTGAGCTGTGGTGGCCTCATGGAGGGGGTCATTGTCTAGCACACTGCTGCTAACCACTTAAACATTCTCCCTCTCCTTATAATAACTTTTTATTTTCCTTGACGTTGGATGTGCTACTACTAGTTTACCTGTTTAATTATAGATTCACTAGGATAAATACAATAAAGTTTATCTCTCGCCAAACAGAATATTTACTAAGAAATCACAATGTAACCATAGAAACACTACTTGGTGTGTGTGTGTGTGTGTGTGTGTGTGTGTGTGTGTGTGTGTGTGTGTGTGTGTGTGTGTGTGTGTGTGTGTGTGTGTGAGTGCGTGCGTGCGTGCGTGTGTGTGTGTGTGTGTGTGTGTGTGTGAGTGCGTGCATGCGTGCGTGTGTGTGTGTGTGTGCTCTGTCTTCTCCATCCCCAGTGAGTCGTGGTGGATGGCTGCTTATACTGAGCCAAGATCCTCTGGAGGTTTCTACATGTTGAAAGGGAGTTTTCCTCTCCACTATCGCTAAATGCTTGCTTAGTATGAGGATTTCTGTAAGGACTCTGACTCTAGTCAGTGACTCTTTGCAATTTGCTGGGTTCCTTATATAGGAAACGTTTTACTGATTGGCTTAATGAACTTACCTGTATTGGAATGTTTACCAATACAGAAACGTCAGAAACGTGGCATTAGAGACTCCAGCAACCATAGTTAAATGTTTACCTGGGGCCAGAGCGGGCAACACTAAATCTTATCTGAAACTGCTGGCTAAGGATAAGCGTAAATACAGTAAGATTGTTATTCACGCTGGCGGTAACGACACCCGGTTACGCCAATCGGAGGTCACTAAAATTCGGTGTGTAAGTTTGCCAAAACAATGTCGGACTCCGTAATTTTCTCTGGCCCCCTGCCTGATCGGACCAGTGACGACATGTTTAGCCGCGTGCTGTCCTTCAACCGCTGGCTGTCTAGGTGGTGTCCTGAAAACAACGTGGGCTACATTGATAATTGGAAAACTTTTTGGGGAAAACCTGGTCTGATGCGGAGAGACGGCATCCATCCCTCTTTGGATGGAGCAGCTCTTCTTTCTAGGAACATGGCCAGTTTTATTAGTCCTCCATGACAACCCAGGGTCCAGACCAGGAAGCAGAGACGTAGTTTAACCCACCCCTCTGCAGCTTCTGTACTGTTACCCACCCACTACCCCATAGAGACAGTGTCCTGCCCACGGCCAAAATCACACAGATTAAATATCAGGCTTAATAAAGCAAATCATGGAAATCTCATAAATATTAGAACAAATTCAACTGAGCAGAAAACTAGAAAAATTAAATGTGGGTTGTTGAACATTAGATCCATTTTTTCTAAGACTTTGTTAGTTAATGACTTGATTTGCGATAATCAAATCTCTTTGCTCTCTCTCACAGAATCCTGGCTGCAGCAAGAGGACTATGTTAGCTTAAACGAGTCAACTCCTTCAAATTATTTAAATCATCATATTGCTCGAAGTACAGGGCGAGGAGGAGGAGTGGCAACTATTTTTCATTTGGACTTATTAATCAGTCCCTTACAGATTAATAGCTACAGTTCGTTTGAACATCTTATTCTTAGTTTTCCTAATCCAGATTGCAAAATTGTAAAACCACTCTTGTTTGTAGTTTTATATCGTCCACCAGGCCCTTACTCTGAGTTTTTGGATCAGATCTCTGATTTTTTATCTGATTTGGTGCTAAATATAGTGGGGGATTTTAATATTCATGTGGACATTAAAAATGATAGCCTCAATGTAGTCTTTAGTAATATCTTAGACTCAATTGGTTTCACTCAAAGAATACATAGCTCCACCCACTCCTGCCATCATACATTGGACCTTGTGCTGACTTATGGCATAGAGTGTGAGGAAATAACGATCTTTCCACATAATCCAGTCCTCTCGGACCACTTTCTGATAACCTTTGAGTTTTTTATAACTGAGTTCTCGAGACATGAAAGTGAATTTCACTATAGTCGGTCTCTATCTGACAACGCAGTTGCATCTTTTAAATCAACTGTTCCATCTTTACTGTCCTCAGCATCTCAGAGGAACGTAGCAGAGGGCAATATTTTCAGTTCTAGCCCCTCACAAATTCATGCCTTAGTTCATCATGTGAATTCCTCTTTACGTGTGGCATTAGATGATGTAGCCCCTTTAAAAAAGAAGGTAATTAGGGACAGGAATTTGGCTCCCTGGTTTAATTCTCATTTACGAGCTTTAAAACAAAACTCTAGGAAATTGGAGAGAACATGGCGCTTTATGCACCATGAGGAGGCCTACCTATCCTGGAAAAATAGTCTTGTGCTTTATAAAAATAAGCTTCAACAAACTAGAACTGCTTATTTTTCAGCACTAATTGAGGAGAATAAGCATAATCCTAAATTTCTTTTCAGTACAGTTGCTAAACTTACACAGAATCATAGCTCTGAGCCATCTATTCCCTTAGCCCTCAGCAGCAACGACTTCGTGGGATTTTTTACAAGTAAAATTAATTCTATTAGAAACAAAATCTTTAGCATCCTCCCTAATGCGATTTCTTCTTCCTCAGTAAGTGAGGCAGCATCAGAGGTGACTTTAGAACCTCATCTGTGCTTGAACCGTTTTGATCCAGTTGAGCTTTCAGAGTTATCAAAAATATTAGCGTCATCTAAACCTTCAACTTGCATTTTGGATCCAATCCCAACCAAATTATTTAAAGATGCATTTCCTTTGGTTACTGCCCCCATTCTAGATATAATCAATATATCCTTAGTAAATGGGTATGTACCACAAGATTTCAAGGTTGCTGTAATCAAACCTTCACTTAAGAAGCCTTCTCTGGATCCAGATGACCCAATGAATTATAGACCAATATCTAACCTTCCATTTTTATCCAAAGTCCTGGAGAAAATAGTGGCCATCCAAGTATGTGAGCATTTAAACACCAATGCTCTGTTTGAGGAATTTCAGTCTGGTTTTAGAGAGTATCACAGCACTGAAACTGCATAAGTGAAAGTTACAAATGATATTCTCATGGCCTCAGATAAGAATCTTGTGTCTGTTCTAGTCTTGTTAGATCTCAGTGCTGCCTTTGACACAGCTGATCACAATGTTCTTTTAGAAAGACTTGAACATGTTGTAGGGATCAAAGGAAAAGCATTAGGCTGGTTTAAATCTACCTGTCTGACAGATTTCATTTTGTAAATGTACATGACAAATCTTCTTCATACTCCAGGGTTACTTGCGGAGTACCACAGGGTTCAGTGCTTGGACCAATTCTTTTTACTATATATATGCTCCCAATTGGTGCAATCATTAGACAGCATGGGATAAACTTCCACTGTTATGCCGACGATACTCAGTTATATTTATCCATTAACCCCGATGAACCTAATCGGTTGGGTAGATTACAGGCTTGTCTTGAGGATATAAAAAGTTGGATGACTCTAAACTTTTTGCTTTTAAATCAAGACAAGACGGAAGTTCTCATCTTTGGACCAGAAATCCAGAAAAGGAAATTGCTTAGCCAATCTCCTGACCTGAATGGCATTACATTAATCTCCGAGAACGAAGTAAGGAACCTTGGTGTTATCTTTGACCAGGACATGTCATTCAAATCCCAGGTTTCACAAGTTTGTAGGATTTCCTTTTTCCACCTTCGGAATATTGCTAAGATTAGAAGCATCCTTTCCAGGAGTGATGCTGAAAAACTAGTTCATGCATTTATTACATCAAGACTGGATTACTGTAATTCCTTACTCTCAGGAAGTCCACAGAATGTAGTTAAAAGTCTTCAGCTTGTCCAAAATGCTGCAGCTAGATTTCTGATGAGAATTAAAAAGAGAGATCATATCTCTCCTGTCTTAGCTTCCCTACATTGGCTACCTGTTAAATTCAGAATAGATTTTAAGATCCTTCTTCTCACATATAAAGCTCTTAATAATCAAGCTCCATCATACATCAGTGATCTGATTGTTCCATACGTTCCTAACCGAGCACTTCGCTCTCAGACTGCAGGTCTACTGGTGGTTCCCAGAATATCTAAAATTAGGATGGGAGGCAGATCTTTTAGTTATCAGGCTTCTCTCCTGTGGAACCAGCTCCCAGCTTTAGTCCGTGAGGCAGACACTTTGTCTACTTTTAAGAATAGGCTTAAAACATTTTTATTTGATAGGGCCTATGGTTAAAATCTGATGTTAGCCTAAATCTGGACTAGTGGGGGAGTAGAGGGAGGTGGAGTGTACAGTCGGTAAAGACGGCTCTCCCTTGCCCTGCCTCCAACATGCCTCCATCTAAATAGGATAGATTATCCAGAGTTATCTCTGTAGTTATGCTGCTATAGGCTTAGACTGCTGGAGGATACACTGACCACTTTTCACACTCTACTGCTTTCTTCTACAGTCTGCTCTTTAACTGTATTATTTCCTGCTATTTCAGCTGTTAACTTTATTTTCTCTCTAAGTGTTTTTCTCCCCAGAAGAAGCTACAATGACGTTCTGCTGAGCTGTGGTGGCCTCATGGAGGGGGCCATCGTCTAACACACTGCTGCTAACCACTTAAACATTCTCCTTCTCCTGATAATGGCTTTTTGCTTTCCTTGACGTTGGATGTGCTACTACTAGTTTATCCGTTTAATTATAGATCCACTAGGATAAATACAATAAAGTTTATCTCTCGCCAAATAGAATATTTACTAAGACATCACAATAAAACTATAAACACATTACTTGTGTGTGTGTGTGTGTGTGTGTGTGTGTGTGTGTGTGTGTGTGTGTGTGTGTGTGTGTGTGTGTGTGTGTGTGTGTGTGTGTGTGTGTGTGTGTGTGTGCTCTTTCTTCTCGATCCCCAGTGAGTCGTGGAGGATGGCTGCTTATACTGAGATGGGATTCTCTGGAGGTTTCTTCCTGTTAAAAGGGAGTTTTCCTCTCCACTGTCGCTTTATGCTTGCCTAGTATGAGTGTCAGAAAGGGTTATAGTTATGGCAGTTTTACAAGATCCATTTGTCCATCCTGCCAACAACGCCACATGTGATAGAGTGGGAACTCTGGAAGTTATTTGCTGATCTGACAGTATCTTCAAGATAAGGGCTCCGGTCAGAGAGCAGGGCATGGAGAGACAGTTTTACGTATTTAATGACAGTTGAAGTATGGACATCTGTACATTTCTGTGGTTCCGTGTGGTATATCAGTCATGAACGCACACGAGGCTGTCTGCCATCACCAACAGCTTGGACAAAATGGTAGAAACGGCTTTACAGGAAGTGACTATCTAGAGGAAGTGATGTCACAAACTGGACCACCAAAATAAGAGTGGGGTAACTTTACAAATGGATCTTGTAAAACTGCCATAACTATAACCCTTTCTGACAATGAGGATTGCTGTAAAGTCACTGACACTAGTCAGTGACTTGATGCAATTTGCTGGGTTCCTTATATAGGAAACATTATTTCTGATTGGCTTAATGAACTGACCTGAATTGGAATGTTTATTATGTGAAGTGCCTTGAGACGACTCTTGTCGTGATTTGGCGCTATATAAATAAACTTGAATTGAATTGAATTGAATTAACCTTCTTCTTTTGCAAGGAATGGTTGTGTTGGATAAGTAAGCTGCTAAAAGATCCTTTTTGTTTGTGTTTCCATTTGAGGCTTTAAAGCAAAAAGAATGAAGTCTCAAAAGGGGGTGATTCTTGTGTAGAGCAGCAGTTACCTGAGGTTCGGCTCAGGCCCTTTTGTTGCAGCTTGTACAGAACAACAGCCAATAAAGCACTCAGGGTGATGGTGAAGATCAACACTCCACTTAGTAGGTATACCAAGTACACCTCACCTGCATACAAGAGAAACACTGAGATTTTGAAAATAAAGTTTAGATGAACTGCAAAAACTAAAGTGGTTGTTCAAACATGGATTTCTTAGAAAATGTTTTAAACAATTAAAATTGTATCTGCTCATTGCCAAGCTAACAGTTTATTAGTGCAAAGTTAAAGTTTAAAACCTCTAATCTCAATAATATTATAGCAATGTATTTAGGATTTAATAAAACTTTATACTTAAACGTTTTCTTTTCTTGTTTATTTTTTGTTTAAATTGTTTAATATTCTGTGGTTAATCGCAGCAAAAATTTGTATAGAATCTAGCAAACTATTGCACTCCTGGTTTTGCTTGCAATATTTCCTAATCCGTCATATTTTTTGCACTTTTTTGTCCTAATGCAAGGTTTATGAAAATGAATATTTATAAAATGTGGTTTAAGATGATTGCTGTAAAACCATGGAGATTAAGAAAGCAGTGAGCTTTCTGCATTTAGTCCTTTGAGCTAATCTCTATTTTCCTAACATTGTAAAGAGATTTATTATTTATTTGTTAATTTTTTTTTAGACAGAAATTCGTCTTTAACATCAGCAAAAAGAAAAACTCACTCGTCATTTCCAGCTTGGTCCCGTTTCCAAACAGTATGTGTCCACATGAGGCCACGGCACAGTAGTAAATCCCAGCATCAGACACATTCAGGTTCTTCAGAGGCAGGTTGTACACACAGGTGTGTGTTAGTGTGTTTGGTTCCCTCTCACACTGATCATTCCTGCCTCCGTGGCTGTAAATAAGTCCTGGATGAGAATCTTCAGAGTCCTTGAACCAGTAAACACTGTGTTCTCCATCACAGGTCCCAGTATGGACTGAACAGTTCAGAGTCACAGAGTCTCCTGACTGGACGGTCTCAGATGCTGGTTGAAGGACCAAAGCTGTGTTCTCCAAACCTGAATCTTTCACTATGACTGTGGCCCCCTCTCCAAATTCAAACATAAATGACAGACCGCTTGCACAGAAGTAAGTCCCTGTGTCTGAAAGCCGTAGGTCAGATATTTGTAACTGGCTTTTCCCATGTTCAGTTTTCAGTTTGAAGTGGGGATTGTCCTTGAAATCATCATAAAATGTTCCACTTTCATCATATTTATAGCTAATGGAGACCAGTTTCAGCTTTTGTCCCAGAGTTTGTTTGTACCAGTAATATCTAACAGCAACACTTTGATGAGTGCAGCTCAGAGTCACATCTCCACCAATATGAGACGTTAGAAAGCCAGGAGAGTCCCGACGCACTATTGGTTCCACATCATTCGTCTCCGCTAAGGTAAAAAACAAAAGTAGTTACTTTAATTCCTTAATTGTATTCCTCATAAATAGCAAGTCTAAAAGTTCAGCTGAAATCTAGACTCACCCAGGTTCCAGAGCAGCACACCCATTAAATAGAAAAAAGGCTTTGAAGGTGTCATTGTGATGAAATGGTTGTGTTGAATGAGAGCATGAAAGCATCTTGAAACAAAGCAGGGAAAGGACTGTGCTTATTCGCTACAGAGGAACGTGACCTCATCACAGCCACCTACAGACGAGTTTGATATGAGAAGAAACTGAACTTCTGAGACCCCTCACACCTAAAAGCACTGATTAGACAAATCTAATAATTAGATGAGTGGTCCCATCAAGTGAACAAAGAATAAATAACCTTACATCCAAAGATTCTTCATCAGTTTATTTGTTCTAAAAAACCTTCAACAAGTTATATTTTTGCAAGAGTAGATGCTCTTACCAGTGTGTGCTCTAATCACCTCAGTTGGCTCCTGTCAAAGGAGAAGTGGCTCAGCACCCAGCCTCTATGAGATGTCTGAGCTCCTTACCCTAACTCCGAAGGTGCTTTTATAGGACACGCCATGCCGGCAAATCAGCGTAATATTACCGCGATGGTATGTCTATAAACGCGCCATGCCGGCATAGCGTTGCGCAAATATCGTGGCATTCGTTCCGCCACGCTTGGTAGTAATCTTGCCACATCAACCCCTCGCCTCTGACGGCTAAATGCTTGTCAGCCCCGCTAATCACTTTGGAGCGACTGTGGGAGGTTCCCCCGCAAAAGAGGGTGGTCGCGTTGGTGACGTATGCTGCCGGCCGGAAGGCATATAAACACAGATAAACATGGCCTCTCACTAGTATCTTTCAACCACCAACAACATGGCAAACTGGACGGACGCGGAGACCATGGAGCTTTTGGCCGTGCGAGCGGACGAACAGATTAGTCGCCTTTTTACGGGGACGGTGAGAGACAGCCAGTCCTGTAAAAACAGCTCACGGCTGAGCTTGGCCTCCTTGCAAAGGAAACTCATTTCAGCCACTTGTGTTCATGTTCTTGTTCTTTTGATAATTACCCAAAGCTCAGGACCATGGGTGAGGACTCCCCAGCCCTTAATCCCATTGAGAATGTGTGGTCAACCTTGCAGAGGCAGCAGGATTAAAAAAACCACAAGTTGTCCAGAAAAACTAACAAAGTCAATAAAACCGTTACATTTCTACTTCAGTAACCATAAAACATCTGACAAATGGATCTAAAACACTGAAGCAGAGCATTTTGTGTGAACCACAACTCGGGTCGGACGTTTGAATGCAGCTGTAGGTTTCTAACGGTGTTTAGAGAAAAGCTGATGTGCTAAATAAACAATAATAGAACATTTAGTCCTGTTATTGCTCATGTTTTCATATTTTCTGTCATTTAGCCTCATTTGAGCCCAACGTGTAAACTGTGATTCCAACATTTTAAAAGGTCACTGAGATCTGAACCTGCAGGCAGTTTGATGAAGCTGATGCGTTCTACGCATCGACACACTATATACCAAATTTATTTATGAATGAATGATCAATTTTATTCAGTCATCATAAAAATTATTCATGTAAACAGTAACACATCATACAATATTTTTCCATTCCGCCACAACGTATATATTCATATATTTGTAAATAGTATCTATTTAGTATCTCGTAACTGAACAGGTTTAGGCAGTCGCAGCAGCTTATAGAATTGCTTAACCTACTTACAAATCAATTTTTCAATTTGTCTCAATGTGCCAATAACCAAAAAGAAAAACACAAACCCATCCACCAACATCAAATTAATACTCTTCAAAAATATTTTTACTGGTAAGTATTGTATCGTGATGAAGGAGCTATTCCTCCAGGGTTATTTAACCTTTTCCACAGTTCCTTTTGACACAGCGCCAGAGAGCATGAAACAGCCTCAAGGTCATGCATTTGCTTCTAAACTGTTTACTTTCCAACAATGAAGACTGAAGATGAAGAGACTCTTTTCTTTTATTAAATCAAAGAACTCTATTTTTAATAAAGCTAATCAAAACAACTGTTAGTCAATAATACAATGTGACCGATCTGTGAAATCACAATGTTATGATTAATATGTTTTAATAAGTGATATGACTTAATTTAGTTCACTAGACACACTGACACACGTAAGGAAAACAATCGCATGACACATTGCTGTACTGATCCAATCAGAACCTTCCTAGTCTGAAGCGTGGCAGAGTCTCTGTAGTGTTTATAAATCTGCCAGCTTTGATTCGTCCAGAATCAAAAACATCCAGATTAATAAAACAGTTCCAACGCCATCTTAAGTTCAGTTCTCAAGATCCCATGAAGTTCACCGTATGCTAAGCAAAGTATTAGACCGGCCATCTGTACTTTTCTTTTTAAGCTGAGAGCCATTCAAGCTGGGAAAATTCTGTTGTTTTTACCAACCAAGCAACGGTTCCTTTCAGAATAAAAGCTGAACTCACTGACCCAAGGAGGGTCCCCTTTTTGACGCTGTGAACCACCTGTCCCTTTTTACCTGGAGACTATCCAAGGACTAGTTTGTCGTGCTGTGACGCTGTACCATTGGCTCCAGTACCGGAAGGAAGGTCCGAGGACCTGGCATTCTGGATCCATCGTTGGAGGTCTCACTGAGGGTATGTGGATGCGACATAAATGGCGTCTCATGTGTTTATGACTACGAGTCTCAGACTCTGATCAGTTAGGAGCAAAACATCATCTCCCACTCAGACTTTGTTTCTCCGGATACGAGGGTTCTGAATAACCCTCATTCGTACACACCATCCATCTCACACCTCATTCAAACAGAGCATCCATCATTAGAGAGTTAGTCTTGTTAAATTGTTTAAAATTATTTAGTAATAAATTTCCTTAAACGTTTGAAGGTCTCTCTCTCTTCTCTTGTCTCTAAGTTATTACAAAGTGTTATCTAAATCCCTGCAATAAAAAGATCCAATCTTCTGATTTAAATAACTCAGTGTCCATAAGATGGAATTCATACTCGATATGAATTTTTTATGTCTCATGGTCCTTAATTAAATGTAATTAACACTCATTACAGTATTTTAAAAACTGAAAGTGAAGTTGCTAATTTAATTCTATTTAAGCCTCATTCCAAAATTTTACTCCCATTAAAGAGATGCATCTCCTTTTTATACCCTTTTTAGCTTTTTGTACAACAAACATACATATGCCTCTTAAATCATCTTTACTTTCCCTCTTTTCAAAAAACATCTGTATATTTTCTGGCAGAAACATTAATTTTGCTCCAAACATAAATTGCATTATTTTATAATAATATAGATCTTCTATTTTTAATCTGTGATTTTAAAACAACGGATCAGTATGAGCATAATAATAGCTCTGGTTTATAACTCGAATAGTTTTCTTTTGTATAGTTTTTATTTCATTTACATGTGTTTTAAAAGTTGAACCCCATATTTTGATACAATATGACATGTAAGGTTGTGTTAGTGAGCAGTAAATTAAACGTAAGGCCTTATAGTTTAGCCTGTCTTTCACTTTATATAATAGACCCAAAGATTTTGCAATTTTTCCTTTTATATAATTTAAATGATGTTTCCAGGATAAATTAGTCAATCACAACGCCAAGAAATTTCATTTCAGACACTCTTTCAATTTTAGTATTTGAAATTATTAATTTAAAGTCCCCATTTTTTACCTTCTTATTACCAAATATCATAAATTTAGTTTTTTTTATATTCAATGATAATTTACTTACATCTAACCAAGATTTGAGGACATTTAACTATTTTTCGGCCTTCTTTAAAATTTATTTTACATCTTTACCTGAGCAAACTAAATTTGTATCATCTGCAAACATTATAAATTTGAAAAATTCTGTCACATTACATATGTCATTTATATATAAAATAAATAATTTTGGACCTATTACTGACCCTTGTGGAACTCCACAAATTATTTCTCTAAATCCAGATTTTATATCCTTAATTTTTACATTTATACAATATGAATATAACAGAATATTTTATAAAGTATTTGATCATTACAAATTTTACATATAAGCTCAAAAAGTAATTAATAGGGAGATATTTTACAGCAGTTCGTAATTATTTGTTTTTAAATGTGACTTCATCCTTTTTAACCTGGTCAAAACGTTTGTTTTCCAAATGTTGTTATTACATGTTTGCCAAGCTAAATTAGGTACATTGCTATGTATCCCAATTTGCTGTAAGAAAATCCTGTGATTCAACATAAGCCACTTGTTCTTTTATGTGATGCACATCCAACACAGTGATGCAAGAAGCTATTCTTAGGTTCCCCTGTGGTCAAAAGATGAAATCTCTGTTTGGTTGTATGGTTCTTTTACGTCGATCATAGACAAAGCTCTGCTCTCTTTGTGTGGTTTCAATCAGGAAGTCTTCACTTACTTTGTTGTGCAAGCAACCCTATCTTGAGAGAGAGAGAGAGAGAGAGAGAGAGAGAGAGAGAGAGAGAGAGAGAGAGAGAGAGAGAGAGAGAGAGAGAGAGAGAGAGAGAGAAGAGGTTTGTAGCTAGGAGGATCATTTACTTTATAATCTGAACTTTGTTACAATAGGACAGTCACATGAAAGCATTCAGAATCCATCTTGGGCCTTCGTCTTCTCTCTATGAAACCATACACTGACCCCTAGTGGTTACTAGGGTTCTCACGGTAACCGGTGTAGCGGTAAACCCCGGTAAAAAAGTTGACAATAATAATAACCGTCTTGTTTTTAAAAACATATATTATCTCGGTGGATTACCGTGGCTGCGGTGTTGGCACGGTGACCCTTACCAGCCACCGTATCATCTGCTGAAGTTGCCGGCGGCACATGCGCACTTTGTTGTTTACAACCAAAACTTTCTTGAAGCTAAAGCTGAAATAATGGCCAAAGGAGGAGACGGCAGCGCTCAGGACATTTATTATCCCTCAAAGAAGACAAAGTGGGAAGTACGGGCATCTTTTGGATATCTGAAGAATGCCGAGGGACAGTTGATAGAAGACGACTATCCTGTTTGCAGCACGTGCAGAAAAAGTGTCTGTGAAAGGCAGCAACGCTTCAAATCTCATGACACATCTGCGTGACCATCACCCACAACTCTACAGTCAACGCAAGGCAAGCTAGCATTAGCGTTTTAGCTAAAATGCGTGATCCGAGGATTTGGGTTGAGGGAGAATGCAACGAGTCGCTATATAAAGCAGCCGCAGCGCCGCTACCTGCATATAAACCGTGTCGCGGACACCGCCATGTTGAAATGACGCTATGCATTACGGGGCTCCCAGGGGCAGATAAGAGTTGGTCTCTCTCCGAGAATAATTATGAATTTAACAACGATTACTGCCTGATGACATTTTCCCACATCTGCAAAGCTCACAGGAAGGACACAAACCGAGGACGATATTTTCCTGATATAGGGTTTATTACTCAAGTAAGGGTAAAAAAGTATCTGATTAGAAGGCTACTTGAGTACTGAGTGTCATCTGATGTAATATTTTTAAAATGATGACATCAGACAGACAAAAAATAAGAAGTTATGGGCAAATATTGGTATTTTAAAGACTAAAGGGGAAAAATGTAAACAAATAAACAACATAATTACAAAATAACAAATTTTAGGCAAAATCTAGACACAAACTGAGGACAATTTTTTCCTGATATACAGAGTTTATTTAGTTGTCTGAAAATGTAACACGTTTAAAAAAATACCGCGATAATACCGAAAACGTGATAATTTTGGTCACAATAACTGTGAGGTTAAATTTTCACACCGTGACGACCCTAGTGGTTACAGGACACAAAGATACTGTTGAGTATTTTATGCAACACTGATAGTGTGTGTGAATGTAAAAATCTGCATTAAAACATGAAAGATGATCAGAACTCCAGCTAGAGTCTGGTGTGGATCTGGTGTTGATGTGGAACGTTGGTCCACTCCTCTTCAAAAGCTGAGCAGAATTGGGTTGCTCGGCGTAGACGACGGTTCCTGCTAATATTCACCAACGTCACACAATTATTAAGAGGAGTGGACCAACATGACCACCGGATACACACACACACGCGCGCGCACACACAAGTGGGATGGATTATCAAAGGAGAAGTGCTCACTCACAGCTTAGTGCTTAGTGAACTATATTTGACAGTAATGGGTCTTTTGTGTATTTAGTAAAAGTTTCAGATTTTTGAGTTCCGCTCCTAAAAATTGGGAGCAAAAACGAAAGTGACACGTGTCATCAATAA